TTATTATTATTATTATTATTATTATTATTATTATTATTATTATTATTATTATTATTATTATTATTATTATTATTATTATTATTATTATTATTATTATTATTATTATTATTATTATTATTATTATTATTATTATTATTATTATTATTATTATTATTATTATTATTATTATTATTATTATTATTATTATTATTATTATTATTATTATTATTATTATTATTATTATTATTATTATTATTATTATTATTATTATTATTATTATTATTATTATTATTATTATTATTATTATTATTATTATTATTATTATTATTATTATTATTATTATTATTATTATTATTATTATTATTATTATTATTATTATTATTATTATTATTATTATTATTATTATTATTATTATTATTATTATTATTATTATTATTATTATTATTATTATTATTATTATTATTATTATTATTATTATTATTATTATTATTATTATTATTATTATTATTATTATTATTATTATTATTATTATTATTATTATTATTATTATTATTATTATTATTATTATTATTATTATTATTATTATTATTATTATTATTATTATTATTATTATTATTATTATTATTATTATTATTATTATTATTATTATTATTATTATTATTATTATTATTATTATTATTATTATTATTATTATTATTATTATTATTATTATTATTATTATTATTATTATTATTATTATTATTATTATTATTATTATTATTATTATTATTATTATTATTATTATTATTATTATTATTATTATTATTATTATTATTATTATTATTATTATTATTATTATTATTATTATTATTATTATTATTATTATTATTATTATTATTATTATTATTATTATTATTATTATTATTATTATTATTATTATTATTATTATTATTATTATTATTATTATTATTATTATTATTATTATTATTATTATTATTATTATTATTATTATTATTATTATTATTATTATTATTATTATTATTATTATTATTATTATTATTATTATTATTATTATTATTATTATTATTATTATTATTATTATTATTATTATTATTATTATTATTATTATTATTATTATTATTATTATTATTATTATTATTATTATTATTATTATTATTATTATTATTATTATTATTATTATTATTATTATTATTATTATTATTATTATTATTATTATTATTATTATTATTATTATTATTATTATTATTATTATTATCTTTGTATATCACGGTTGTTCCGGTGTGATCACAGTTGTGTCGGCCACTTTTGGTGGCAGAGACACGACTGGTTAGACTCAACTCAAGTCTAGTACTTTTCTGACTGTTCTACAACTCTGAAGTATCACTGCTTTTTGCATTTCATAGATCTTAGTTTTTCTGATTTCCAGTGATTCCAAACTTAGGGCCAGATTTTTCGGTATTACGGCCATTGATGACAGGATTATAGGTATGATTTCAACTTTCTTAATGCGCCACATTTTATTGATCTCATAGGCCAAGTCTGTATATTTTCGGCGTTTCTCACTATGCGTGTCCTGTAGTTTGTGTGTTAGTGGGACCGCTATGTCTATTATGTACGCCTTATCTTGATGTTTGTCTACTAGTACTATATCTGGGCGGTTGTGGGCCACAGTCTTATCTGTTCTTATCTTTCTTTATCCCAGTAGAGCTTGGCTCTGTTGCTTTCCATTACACTTTGTGGCTCGTATCTATAGTATGGTAATGGTTCTTTGGTTAGTCCGAATCTTATTGCCAATTCCTGATGTATGATTTTGGCTACTTGGTTGTGACGGCTTAGGTACTCGGTGTTTGTGAGTACTTTACACCCATTTAGTATATGTTCTATTGTTTCGGACTCCATATGACACATCCTGCACTTGTCTGTTGGTATATTTAGCTTTTGGATGTATTTCTGATGGTTTCGTGTCGGAATCACTCGATCTTGTATTGCCATCATGAACCCCTCTGTCTCTCCATGAAGACCGGCGTACTTCAACCATTTTGTAGACATTTCTTCGTCTACGTGTGTTTGGTTGAGTTCTGCTCTGTATCTACCGTGGAGTTCTTTTGAGGCCCACGTGTTAATCCTCTCTTTTTCATTTTGTATTTCTATTTGATGTTCATTATTGCTGAGATTTAGAGGTGTGTAGTTGTTATCAAGTGTTGCTGTTATTTTGTGGAGCTCTGAGACATTGCATTTTTGTTGATGGTATTTTCTCAGCAATTCTCGCTGTTTGGCTTCAAGGCTTACAATGTTTAGTAACCCTCTACCCCCATGCTTTCTACTAACACACAGTCGTGCTACAGAACTTCTAGGGTGGTGTAGTCCAAACATTGTAAGTTGTCGCCTTATATGTCTTTCAATGGTCTCAAGTTCTGTTTTACTCCATTTTATTATTCCGAACGAGTATGTCAGTACAGGTATAGCCCAAGTGTTTATGGCTTTGAATTTGTTGTTTGAGTTTAGTTGAGATTTTAGTATTTTTATTATTCTTTGGTTTAATGTTTTCTTTATTTCTTCTTTAACTTCTGTCATTTTAGATTTATGCATTTGCTTAATTCCTAAGTACTTATATATATCTCCATTTTCTAGTGCCTTTATATATCCGTTTTCAGTTTCGTATTGATTTCTTTCAGAATAGACTCCTCTTTTCAGTTTCATTATAGCACATTTATCTAATCCGAATTCCATATTTATATCATTGGAGAAAGTTTCTGTTGTTTTTAGCATTGCATTTAAATCAGATTCTTTTTCGGCGTATAGTTTTAAGTCGTCCATATATAGTAGATGTGTTAGATTATATTTTGTATCACTTGATTTTAGATTTACGCCTTTTAGCTTTTTAAGTAGTGATGACAGTGGGTTTATGGCTAAGCAGAACCACAGAGGACTGAGTGAATCTCCTTGAAATATTCCTCTATTTATTTTGATTTCTGTACTTATTTTTGTTCCATTATTTGTATTGACACACAATTTAGTATTCCATTTTTTCATCATATTTTCTAATGTGTTTATCAGTGTGTTGTCAATTTTATATAGTTTTAACACTCTTAATAACCATTTATGAGGGACTGAATCGAATGCTTTCTTATAGTCTATGTATGCCATTTCAAGATTTCTATGTTTTTGACGAGCTCTTATTGTTATGATATTGTCTATTGTTAATTGCTCTTTACAGCCCATAGAGTGTTTTATACAGCCTTTTTGTTCTTCAGCTATTATGTTGTTGTTGCTTAAATGATTATATATTTTTGTTGATATTATGGATGTTAGGATTTTATACATTGTTGTTAAGCAAGTGATTGGTCTATATTTGCTGGGATCTGATGTATTTTCTGTTTTTGGGAGTAGATATGTTATTCCGGAAGTGAGGAAGTCATCGGTTTGTCCTGTTTGTATTATTTTATCCATTGCTATTGCCATTGGTTCATGTATTGTTGTAAAGTGTTTGTACCAGAAGTTTTGTATTTTGTCTTGTCCTGGGCTTTTCCAATTGTGGGATTTCTTGAGGGCTTCGGTTAAGTCATCTTTAATTATATTTACTGAAGTCATATGAGGTATTTCTTTATTTTCATCTTCAATATCATTTATCCAATTAGATTCTTTATATTCCTTTGGGTTACTCCAGATTTCTTTCCAGTAGTTTTCTATTTCATCTATTTGTGGTGTATTGTTATAATTGCTTGAATTTATTTTATTTTGATTTCTATAGAACATTTTTTCGTTATTATAGAACATTGTATTTTGTTTTCGTCTTTCGCTTTGTATTTTATATCTTCTAATTCTTTGTGATAGTGCTTGAACTGTTTGTTTTAATGTGTCGTTGTAATTTCGGATTATGGATTCAAATTCAAGTTTTCCAGGTTTTGTTTGTAATGATCGGTATATATCTTTTAATGATTGGTTAAGTCTTTTTGATTTGTTTCCATTTAACACTTGCGTTATTCTTCCAATTATTTTTCTTTTCCCTTCTATCCGTGTCTCTATTCGCTTTTGCCATTTAGGTATTACAATTTCTTGATTTGGTTTTGTTGTAGACATGTGTTCTATTTTGTAGCCTAAGAGTCTCGATACTGCTACTGCTGCACAATACGTTATTGTATTAATTGCGCTCAACGACATATTTTCTTCGATGTAATCTTTAAGTATATCATTTATCGATATTATAGTAGATCTTGTTTTAATGCCACTTCTTATTTTTGGTAATTTAGGTCTGAATTCTATTTCAAAGTCTTTATATTGTTCTAAAGATGTTTTTAGTTCATTTTCTGCTGTTATTCTGTTTATTTCATCATTTGTATTGTTTATGTTATCTGTTGTTGTAGGTGTCTCTTCTATTTCTGGCACTACTTCTACTGTGGTATTTAATTCAGTTGTTTCATTTAATGATAGTTCATGTGCTACTTGTTGTTTGATTTCTTGTAATTCGATCGGGGATATTTTATTATTCTTTGCTAAGAATCGCCGTTGGTCTGCAATTCTTTGTTCCGTTACATTTAGTTCTGGATATTTTTGTTTGAATGCTAAGTATATTTGGTTTCTGTAATCAGTCATATTTGTTTCGAGTCGAGTTGATCTGTAGTATTCGCGCATTATCAAGGTATTCATCTCATGTGTCCATCTCATGCGCTTTTGCGATTTGTCAACCAAATTGGTCAGTTGTTGCTGAGAACCAGCTTGAACTGAAACATTTTGGAGGTTAGTCTGATTTTGTTGACTAGTCTGCGGTCGCATTACATCACAGCTTTGCCCGCATAGCACATCACTGCGTGGGATATGATGCATACTTAACGAACTGCAGTCAATGCCTACCTGCTGAACGCGGGATTTATTTGAGAGGGTACCTCCCGAACACCCCCCGTTATTCCTACGACTACGTGTAATCATATTTATATATTTTGTGGCCTTTTTACGGGGTCCCGGTCCCTAGAGAAAGCTCAACACTAACATGTGTCTATTGCCACCCATTTCTCACCACTAACATGTGTTTGTTGAAATAGGATTTTTATTTTTTGAAACAAAAGTGGCCATTGCGTGTGAGGACGAGTAACTACTCGAAGGGTGAAGGGACATCCTTGCGGACGTCCCTTCGGGGTGGGGGCACCTTTTTACAGGCACCCCCGGGTGGGAGCACCCTTGCGGGTACCCCCAGGTGGGCACCGATACCGAAGTACCGATACCCGGGTCGGGCAGAAACTCGTCCTCACTTAGCACCCCGCTTTCCCCATACTACTTAAGTTGGCCGTCCTAAACAGCGTTGGTTGGGCAGGGACGGGAAGCACAGTTAAAACAATTTTTTTTTTCAGAAAAATTGCTTTACCACATCGGGGCTCGAACTATAGATCTTACTCTCCATTACACTACATAGCCCTACACACTAACCACTACACCACTGTGCCTCCTTTTTTTTTTTTTTTTTTATTATTATTATTATTATTATTATTATTATTATTATTATTATTATTATTATTATTATTATTATTATTATTATTATTATTATTATTATTATTATTATTATTATAGTCCTTGAAATAACCACTTTTTTAATTGGTTATACATTTAACATTTAGATATTAAAGGATTAAATCATATACAACAAAAAATTGTTTTATTTACTATTACTATTGTTATTATCAAACACATAGATAACAGAAACAGTTTTATTGATATATATATATATATATATATAAAGTTGTTAATCGAAAATTAGTATTGAATTTTTAAAAATCTTATTAATATTTATGTTTTTTTTACAGATCAAGAAGTGGATGACTTAAAACCGGAAATATTCGGTGTTACAGATAGTCTAAAATATAATGATCTCAATGGAAAGATAACCGATACGGATCTGTTGGCCACTTCGTTTGTTTTCTTTGTGGCCGGTTATGAGACAACTGCCACAGCATTGGCTCATCTGTTTTATTCGTTGGCCGTCAATCAGGATTGCCAGCAAAGACTGTACGAAGAGATCAAACAAATTGATGGTAAGTATGACTACGAAACTATCGCTCAAATGCCATATCTGGAGGCCTGTGTCGCCGAAACATTACGTCTATACACTCCGATTACAGCAGTCGGTCGTATGGCTGCCGATGAGTATACTATAGGTGTGTATATAAATATGTTTATAAAATAAATATATCTGATATATATTTTATATATGTATAACTTGTGTGGGAATGAGGTTTGCATTGATGAAGATAAAGACAGCCATCGCATACCTGATCACGAAATACAAGTTTGTAAAGACAGCCAACACTACTATTCCGTTGAAACCCAAGAAATTTAAGTTTCTAGTGAATACTGGCGACAAATTTGTCGGTATTGAACACAGAAATTAATTGTTTACAATATTATTTAAAAAATATTTTTTTTTTATTTTTGAGTATATGAATAATAATTTATTTTTTTCCTACTGGTTAAACACATTCAAATCAATTATTTAATTTTAGTAGACTTATTAATCTAGGATACAGTAGACTGCACTCAGTTACTGGATAATACTGTATATATTTATAACTGATGATTATTTTAAATATTTTTTTTATATATATTTAAAATGTATTTATTAATAAAGTAATGTACAATTTTATAATACTAAATGTTATAGATATTAGCAAATATTTATTTTATTTGTCACAAAATTGTTATATCTGTTTTTACTTATTAAAAAAAAATTTCTATTAATTTTAATTAGTATTGATAACACTATTACTGTATTAGTTTAACTAATTATAATTTTTTTTGAAAAATATCATTATTCAAAATAATAATATTATTAATAATTTTTTGTTTAATATTTATATTTTTTGTATTTATAATAATACACATTATTTATATTAATAATTTATATTAATTAATAAAACTACTTATAACTATTACTGATAGTAACAAACAAATAGTAAAAATTATATCATAATTATCAAGGTTATATATGTTGAACTTAATTTATTGCACCTGATAATATTGTTTTTTTTGCATATCTATTTAATAAATAATTTAACCTTTTTTTTATATAATTAATGTGTATTTTTTAAATTGACAATAATAAAAATATGAAAATATTATTTACAATTGCATTATATAATGTGATTTATGTGTATAATAATAATATTTAAAGTATTAATTATTTTCATCAATTTTTTCATTATTGCAATATTTTATTTCTGATGCTATAACAAGTATTTAGTATACAATAGTTTAAGTAAAAGATGAAAAATTAAAATCTTTTATAGTTTTTTGTTTGTTTGTTGACGATTTAGACATCCTATTGGTTGTTATTATTATTTCTATCCTATTATTATTACTGTAATAATCATAAAACAAGTCTATGCATTATTTTGGAAATCACTAAATACTTTTAAAGTATTATAATATTGATATAATAAAGTATATAAACACTTATAAAAGTTTATTTAATATTTGGTTTATAATTTTGTTGCAACTTATCTAATAAATTGATGAATTAATTAATTTATTAATTAATAATATAATAATAATTACAACAACAACAACAAAATGATTTTCTCGGTACTGTTTAGTTTAAATTCATTAATTATTATAACAACACTATTGATAGCGATTTATTTGTAAGTATTTATTTTATTTTTCTTAAATTTACATTTAGTACTGATTATAGTCAAAAAATAACTTAAATTTTTTTTGTTTAACTTAAAAGCTATTTGACCCGAAACTTTAAATTCTGGTCATCCCGCGGTATCAATGGCCCGAAACCTATACCCGGTTTGGGCACAATGTGGCAAATATTTTTCAAATCATTAGCTGAAATAAATATGGATAACTATAAAAATTTTGGCAAAATTTATGGGTTAGTATTAACAACAATCATAAAAATAGCAACAAAACAAAATAATAATAATTATTATGAACTTTTACGAATGTTATTTATTTAATAAATTAAAATAATTATTATTAAATTTTAAAAAATATAATTATTTAGATTATTCATTGCCGATCGTCCAATGCTTGTGGTATCGGATCCCGAAATAGTCAAAGATATGAATATTAAAGACTTTCATTTGTTTGTCGATCGCAGTGACTACGAAACGGGTGATCCGATTAGCGACAGGTCATTGTTTACCTTGAAAAGTGACGACTGGAAGAAAATGAGATCAATTGTAATTGAAAATAATTATATGATATATTAATTGATTTATTTTTTGTTTATTTTAATTGAAAATATTAATTGAAAATATCTCTTTAAATTAGATATCACCGACATTTTCATCCGGTAAAATGCGTTCAATGCATCCGATTATTATTGATTGTATCAAACGATTGGACAAACACTTATCGGACAAGAAAGAGGTTGAGATGAAGAAAACAATGGGTAATCTGACAATGGATGTCATAGCTACCTGTGCTTTTGGCACACAAATCGATACATATAATGATCAAAAACGCAATGAATTTATATTGAATGCCCAGAAAGTGTTTCGGGGCAGTTGGCGTGTTTGGGCAGTGTTTGTATTGATGCAAATATCGCAAAAACTGTTGCAATGGTCGGGTCTGAAATTTTTGGATCCGACGGCAACTAATTTTTTTGTTAACGCTGTAAGTGTTAATTATGTTTTTTTTTTTAATTTTCACTATTTATTTTCATAACGCAAAAAATAATTAATAATAATAATAATATATTAATATATTTTTATATCAAACAAACAGATTAAGTCAATAGTCAAACAAAGAAAAACTGACATCAATGGCAAAAAACATAGCGATTACCTACAGTTGATACTTAATGCACAAAACAAGACAATGGACACGACTGATGATCAGGAAGTGATTGGTGGCGACAAAAGCGAAGAACTTTATGGTACGACAGACAGTCTGAAGTATAATAAACCAAAAGGAGATATCACTGATACGGATCTGTTGGCCACTTCGTTATTATTTTTTGTGGCCGGTTACGAGACAACGGCCACAACATTGGCTCATCTGTTTTATTCGTTGGCCATCAGTCCTGATTGTCAACAAAAACTGTACGAAGAAGTAAACAAATTTAATGGTAACTACGACTACGAAACTATAGCCCAAATGCCATACCTGGAGGCCTGTATTGCCGAAACATTACGTATCTATAATCCACTTACGGCTGTTAGTCGTCAGGCTGTTGAAGATTATACTATAGGTTTAGTAATTGAAAAAAATGAAAATATTTTTTTAATAGATATTTCAATTTTGATGTTTTTTAATTGATATATATTAGGCGATACCGGTATAACTATTCCAAAGGGAATGATTGTTAACTTTGATATTCAAGTACTGCATCACAATCCCGAATACTATCCCGAACCCGATCGTTGGGATCCCGAACGGTTTATGCCCTACAATCGGGAAAAGTTAGTTCCCTATACTTATATGCCGTTTGGTTTGGGTCCCAGAAATTGTGTGGGAATGAGGTTTGCATTGATGGAAGTCAAGACAGCTGTCGCATACCTGATCACAAAATACAAGTTTGTAAAGACAGCCAACACTACTATTCCGTTGAAACCCAAGAAATATGAAATCCTTTTGACTACCGATGCTATAAACGTTGGAATTGAACACAGAATTTAAAAAACTTAATTATTGATTCATAAATTTATTATTTGTTATTATTAATTAAACTTATTATTAACTAATTGATTTTTTTTTATTTTCTTACATAACAAATAATTAGTATCATTAACAGTATTATAAAAATAACAATTTCATGTAAAAAGTATAAATTTATATATTAAATATTAATATTATACTTTATACTACAATTACAAATAGTTATGGATAAACTAGATATATATATATATTTTTTAAACAATATAATATCCGTTTTTGTTTTTAAAAAAAGATTTACTATATTTATAATTAGTATTAAAAAAACTATCTATCATTTGAATATTAATTTTATAAATTAAAAAATATAAGTTTTATTTAATAATAATATTGTGTTTTATATTTATATTTTGTCTATAATACCGAATATTATTAAATAATTTATATCAATAAAAAAAACTAATTATAACTAATAATGATAAGACATACAAATAAATTTTGTGTTAAATGTTTATAATCAAGGTCATACATGTATATTGATCTTAATGTACTATAGCTAATAATATTTGTTTTGTATATATTATAAATAAATAGTTTTAAAAAATATTATAGTAATCACTGTATTTTTTTAATTATTTTTTTTAAATTGACAATGATAAGATAATAAAAAAATTTTATTTACAATTAATTATATATTCTGATTCGTATAATTCTATTGGTTGTTAATATTATTTTATTACAATTATAATTACTGTTATAATTATTATTATAAACAAGTTATATTACTTTTATGATAGATATAATTTAAACTTATTATCAATAAATCAGTTACTAAACAGTATATAAACACTTGGAAAACTGTTTTTTAATTTTGTCTTTTAATTTATTTCAACTATTTTTAAAATAATTTAAAAAAATCATCACTTATTAATCTACTAATTATTATTTATAACAACAAAAAAAATGATTTTCTCGGCTTTGTTTGGCTTAAATTCATTAGCTATTATTATAACACTATTGATTGGACTTTATTTGTAAGTATTGTTTTTTAAATTTAATTTACATTTTGTTTTTAACAGTAGAAGTAATAAAAATTATTTATTAAATAAATTTTTTAAAAATAAATAAATTTATCCTAAAAGTTATTTGATCCGAAACTACAAGTATTGGTCGTCACGGGGTATCGATGGCCCGAAACCGATACCCGGTTTGGGAACATTTTGGCAAATATTTTCGAGAACATTGGGTGAAATAAATATGGATAACTATAAAAAATTTGGCAAAATTTATGGGTTAGTCATAATCATAAAAAAATTTATGATTTAAAAAAAATCATTTAATCAAATCATAATAATTGATTTTTTTTATAACAAACATTAGAATATTCATTGCCGATCGTCCAGTACTTGTGGTATCGGATCCCGAAATAATCAAAGATATGAATATTAGAGACTTTCATTTGTTTGTCGATCGCAATGACTTCGAAACGGGTGATCCGATTAACGACAGATCAATGTTTAACTTGAAGAGCGACGAGTGGAAGAAAATGAGATCAATTGTAATTGAAAAACAAATAATAATTTTATTTTACAATATATTTTATAAATTATTATTATATATATATATAATTATTAAATTAGATTTTAATTTAAACTTAATATTAACTTAAATTAGATATCACCGACATTTTCATCCGGTAAAATGCGTTCAATGCATCCGATTATTATTGATTGTATCAAACGTTTGGACAAACACTTATCGGACAAGAAAGAGGTTGAAATGAAGAAAACAATGGGTAATCTGACAATGGATGTCATAGCTACCTGTGCTTTTGGCACACAAATCGATACATATAATGATCAAAAACGCAGTGAATTTATATTGAATGCCCAGAAAGTGTTTCGGGGCAGTTGGCGTGTTTGGGCAGTGTTTGTATTGATGCAAATATCGCGAAAACTATTGGAGTGGACGGGTCTGAAATTTTTGGATCCGACGGCCCAAAAGTTTTTTGTTAACGCTGTAAGCATTAGTTCATAATATAATAAATGTTTTTTTTTTGAACAAAAAAACTAAAAATTAATATTATATTTAAAAAAAAACTGTAAAAATATAGATTAAATCAATAGTCACGCAAAGAAAATCTGAGGGCAACACCAAAAAACACAGGGATTATCTGCAGCTTATGATTAACGCACAGAACAAGACATTGGACACCAATGATGATCATGAAGTGGTCGTTGACGACAAAAGCGACGAAATCTATGGCGCGACCGATAGTCTGAAGTATAATAAACCAAAAGGAGACGTCTCGGACACGGATCTGTTGGCCACTTCGTTGATATTTTTTGTGGCCGGTTATGAAACAACAGCCACAACACTGGCTAATGTTGTCTATTCATTGGCCATCAATCCTGACTGTCAACAAAAATTATATGAAGAAATCAGACAATTTGATGGTAAGTATGATTACGAAAGTATAGCTCAAATGCCATATCTGGAGGCCTGTGTCGCCGAAACATTACGTCTTTATAATCCACTTACGGCTGTAAGTCGTATAGCAGCTGAAGAATATACTATAGGTTTGTTATTTAAATATATAAATAATAAATATTTTACAAATTATTTATTAGTTTTAATTTAAATGTATTATTTTTAGGCAATACCGGCTTAACTATTCCAAAGGGAATGATTGTTAACTTTGATATCGAAGTACTACATCACAATCCCGACTACTATCCCGAACCCGATCGTTGGAATCCCGAACGGTTTATGCCCTACAATCGGGATAAGTTAGTTCCCTATACTTATATGCCGTTTGGTTTGGGTCCCAGAAATTGTGTGGGAATGAGGTTTGCATTGATGGAAGCAAAGACAGCCATCGCATACCTGATCATGAAATACAAGTTTGTAAAGACAGCGAACACTACTATACCATTGAAACCCAAGAAATATGAATTTCTCTTAACTACCGGTCCTATAAACGTTGGAATTGAAAAAAGAAATTAAAAACTTAATTATTGATTAAAATTTGCTTAAAAATATGTTTTTCTTATAAAATTATTAACAACTTATTTAACGTTTGTATTTTGTTAAATATTGTATTAATAATTAATATCATTTTTTAAATAAACATAATTTTTAACACTTTTAAACATTATTAATTTAAACTGTAATAAGTTTTTATTTATTTATTCTATAATATTATATTTTAGACTATAATACATACAAGTTTAGATATACTAAACTTAATTATTCAGCATAACTACTGTGAATAAGTAATAATTTTGTTTATTTTTACACTTTTTTATAAAAAAAATTACATAATATTTTCTAATGTACAATAAAATTATTATTTTATTTTAATCAAAAAAAAAATCAATAAACTAAAATTAACCTAAAATTATGAACTCAATGTTTGCTTCTGACATTGAAATTATTTAATATTTAAAATCCATTAATAAAAAAAAATATTGTACGTAATGTACTGTACCTAATGAACAGCAGTTTATTTATAAAGTTTTTATATCAGTTTATTAAAATTTATAACATTTTTTTTACTACTATCAGAATTGCCAGATTATATTTTGAGAATAAAAACATTTCATAATAGACCGTAATATTTAAAAAAAAAAAATAAATATTTTTCTGTTTTTTAACTTTATAAAATATACTGTATTTAACTCTAACTAAAAACCAACAAATTTTTAGATATATAAAAAAGTTTCATAAAGTTAATAGTAATTTTGTTATTTGCATTTTTTTTTATAAATATAATAATCCAGTTGGTCACACTGTTTTTAAATATATATATATATTTATTTATTTATTTTATGAAAACCTTGAATTTTACTTTTTAATAATAAACTAAATAAATCCTAAATAAATTTTGTGTGTTTGTACTTTATATATAAATACTGGTATATTGTAATAGTAGTTGTATATACTGTATAATATAAATATTGTATGATATACAATGTATTATATTACACACACACACACACACACAGATTATTAATATTGTTAACTAATTGGCTGTTGTATAGTATAGCTGCCACTTGTTGTTCACGCGATTAATATTTAATACAATTTTAAAGTTAAATATACAAATATCGCGTTAATTACAATAGATTTTATTAAATATAAATATATTATTATGAAATAATATTTTACATTGCAAATTAATATATATATACCTGTATATACTGTAATTAAAATTACATTAAAGGGTTGTATAATTGTTTTATACAATCAATAAAAAAAATAAAATTATCTAAATTGTTGTGAAGTACGTGTCGGCGCCAAAGATATTCGGCTAAATGTAGATAAAGGTTATCTTGTGGTATACCCCCTCTTAAAAGATTGCGTTTCATAGCTCTCCATTGAGATTCAATGGTCTGTGTGTTTGCACCGGTATGTGAATTGACAAACTCTTTCGAATGATTCACAGTAAAATGGACAAAACCTAAAAATTAAAAAATTAATTAACTTAATAATATGTTTTATCTATCATTTATACCATTGTCTGTTAGTCTATAATATCCAGCCCAACAGTCAGACACAATAGTTGTCCCAATTTTTACATGCTTACGTATCAAAGGTAAAAGAGTGTCGGCATCTCTTTTATTTAGGGGACATATTTCTAAACGAAATCTACCTCCACGTCGACAATTAGCTCCTATTTGAATCTCAACTAAACCTAAAATCCACGTCCCATCAACTAGTCGACCTCTATTGTACTTTCTTTTACCAACTTTTGTTTCGTCAATTTCTACGACAACTCCTGAATTAAAAGTTATCAAAATATTATCATTATAATTAGGTTTAGGTTGCGGTCGGAACTCCAGGTTAGGTAACAGAGCAAACACTAATACACTATCAGTTTGGTATTACCATTATAATTAGGTTTAGGTTGCGGTCGGAACTCCAGGTTAGGTAACAGAGCAAACACTAATACACTATGAGTTTGGTATTACCATTATAATTAGGTTTAGGTTGCGGTCGGAACTCCAGGTTAGGTAACAGAGCAAACACTAATACACTATCAGTTTGGTATTACCATTATAATTAGGTTTAGGTTGCGGTCGGAACTCCAGGTTAGGTAACAGAGCAAACACTAATACACTATCAGTTTGGTATTACCATTATAATTAGGTTTAGGTTGCGGTCGGAACTCCAGGTTAGGTAACAGAGCAAACACTAATACACTATGAGTTTGGTATTACCATTATAATTAGGTTTAGGTTGCGGTCGGAACTCCAGGTTAGGTAACAGAGCAAACACTAATACACTATCAGTTTGGTATTACCATTATAATTAGGTTTAGGTTGCGGTCGGAACTCCAGGTTAGGTAACAGAGCAAACACTAATACACTATCAGTTTGGTATTACCATTATAATTAGGTTTAGGTTGCGGTCGGAACTCCAGGTTAGGTAACAGAGCAAACACTAATACACTATCAGTTTGGTATTACCATTATAATTAGGTTTAGGTTGCGGTCGGAACTCCAGGTTAGGTAACAGAGCAAACACTAATACACTATCAGTTTGGTATTACCATTATAATTAGGTTTAGGTAACGTGCATAATTAAATATGTATCATATACTACCTTCTCCTCCTAAGAGATCAACTGATTGATATTTTTCGACCCAATCAAATACCACTTCTCGACAAAAGTTAAGCCAATCACTTATAGTGTTATGAGATGTTGTTTTAGTTAAATCACTTGTTTCTCGTTTAATGTCCTCATATTTTGTTGTGCCGACCGAAAACAGGTACGTCAAGATTATTATGTTTTCAATGCTAAACTTTGATCCAGAAAACCACGTATTATTCAAAGCACTTAGTCTATAATCATGAGGTTGTCCATGCTTTTGGTGGCACCGGTACGATAATTGTTTGACAATTATCTTCTATGAAAATAATTTTTTAATGTATTTTTTTGCAAATTAATTATTTACCATTTCGTTGTCACAAATGGGACACTTTTTAGTTGCTAATAATAAACCCATTGTTATACACCAGTTAATCATTGTCTCCTGTGAGACAAGTATTAGTCTAAATAATGTCTTTAGATTAATCATTTTGTTCACTAAATTTAAGTCATAGCTTTCAAAAGAAACATAACTTTCAAGAAAAACTTAACAAAGAAAATATTCTCTAATTTACAATAAAATTAATAGTAATTCACGAGACATTCATATATTTATCTTTAAAATTGTATTAAATATTAATCGCGTGAACAACAAGTGGCAGCTATACTATACAATACACTTGTAATAAACTAAAATTAACCTAAAATTATGAACTCAATGTTTGCTTCTGACATTGAAATTATTTAATATTTAAAATCCATTAATAAAAAAAAATATTGTACGTAATGTACTGTACCTAATGAACAGCAGTTTATTTATAAAGTTTTTATATCAGTTTATTAAAATTTATAACATTTTTTTACTACTATCAGAATTGCCAGATTATATTTTGAGAATAAAAACATTTCATAATAGACAGTAATATTTTTTAAAAAAAATTAAATATTTTTCTGTTTTTTAACTTTATAAAATATACTGTATTTAACTCTAACTAAAAACCAACAAATTTTTAGATATATAAAAAAGTTTCATAAAGTTAATAGTAATTTTGTTATTTGCATTTTTTTATAAATATAATAATCCAGTTGGTCACACTGTTTTTTAAATATATATATATATATATATATTTATTTATTTATTTTATGAAAACCTTGAATTTTACTTTTTAATAATAAACTAAATAAATCCTAAATAAATTTTGTGTGTTTGTACTTTATATATAAATACTGGTATATTGTAATAGTAGTTGTATATACTGTATAATATAAATATTGTATGATATACAATGTATTATATTACACACACACACACACACAGATTATTAATATTGTTAACTAATTTATATACAATATAATTGCAAATAATAGCAACAAATAAACTAATTATTTTAATTGTTTCATTAAATTTTTAATTAAAAAAAAATTAGTAAACAAATAACAAACAAACAAAAAATGATTTTCTCGGCGCTGTTTGGCTGGAATTCATTGATTATTTTCGGTACTGTTTTGATAGCATTATATTTGTAAGTATTATTGTGTGTGAATTATATATTTTTAAAAATATTTTATTAGGAAACTTATGAAAACTAATTTTTGATTTTGTTAAAATTTTTTTATATAAAATATAAATATATTTCTTATAAATATTATTTTTTTTAAATACAAATAGTTATTTGACGCGAAATTTTAACTATTGGTCGTCCCGTGGTATCAGTGGTCCCAAACCGATACCCGTTATGGGCGGATCGTATCAAGTATTTCATAAAACAATACCTGAATTGGGCTGGGACAATTATCAAAAATATGGTAAAATTTATGGGTTAGTATCTAAATTTTATTTTTTTTAAACTTGTTGTAAACTAATTGTATTTTCTTTATAGTTATCAATTCAAAAAAAAATATAATCTTATTTTTTTCTATCAATTAGTACATATATGGCTGATCGCCCGGTGCTTGTAGTGGGCGATCCCAAACTAATCAAAAATATTTTTGTCAAAGACTTTCATTTGTTTGTCGACCGAAACGATTGGATAACCTATGATCCGATAAACGACAGATCATTATTGAATCTTAAAGGCGATGACTGGAAGAAAATGAGATCAATTGTATGCTAAACAATATGATATTAATAGATATTTATTTTATTTTTTAATTAATATAATTATTATTTAGATATCGCCGACCTTTTCGTCCGGAAAAATGCGTTCAATGCATCCGCTGATCATTGATTGTATCAAACGTTTGGACCGATATATGTCGGACAAGCATGAGGTGGAAATGAAGAAAGCTATGGGCGGACTGACTATGGATGTGATCGCTACCTGTGCTTTTGGCACCCGAATCGATGCATATATAAATAGTAGTAGTAGTAGTAGTAGTAATAGTAGTGATCAAAAACCCAGCGATTTTGTTTTGAACGCACAAAAAGTATTTCGCGGAAATTGGAGGTTATATGTTGTGCTGACTGTGATGGCGATATCAACGAAACTATTGAAATGGTCGGGTATTAAGTTTCTGGAACCGGGAGCTGAAAGATTTTTCGTATCAGTTGTAATGAATATAATTATTTTAAAATGATAAATTTCACTATTATATCAATTGATATATACGATTACATCCAATAGATTCAGTCAATTGTCGACAAACGTATGGCAGCGGCGGCGGCGGATGGACTGACCAATCAAAAACATAACGATTACATACAACTAATGATTAACGCAAAAAACAAAACTATAGACAACTATAGCAATGATAGTCATCAAGTGGTCGGTGATGACAAAACTGAAGAGATTTATGGTTCGACAGACAGTCTGAAGTATAGTAGACCTAAGGATGATATCACTGATGAGGATTTGTTGGCCACTTCGATGCTGTTTTTTGTGGCCGGTTATGAAACAACTGCCACTACGTTAAGCACACTAATGCATTCACTGGCCGTCAATCAGGATTGTCAGCAAAAACTGTACGAAGAAGTTACCAAACAATTTGATGGTAAGTATGACTACGAAAGTATCGGCCAAATGCCATATCTGGAGGCCTGTGTCGCCGAAACATTACGTATTTATAGTCCAATTACATCGCTGTCCAGACATCCTGTCGAAGATTATATTATTGGTTTGTGATATAAAATTTTTTTTATTAATAAATATATAATTAATTTAATTATATAATATGTGATATATATATGTTGGATAAACAACAATCAATAGATGACATCAGTCTAACAATACCAAAGGGTATGCCTGTTATGATAAATGTCTCGGCTTTACACCGCAATCCCGAATACTATCCCGAACCCGATCGTTGGAATCCCGAACGGTTTATGCCCTACAATCGGGATAAGTTAGTTCCCTATACTTATATGCCGTTTGGTTTGGGTCCCAGAAATTGTGTGGGAATGAGGTTTGCATTGATGGAGACAAAGACAGCCATCGCATACCTGATCACGAAATACAAGTTTGTAAAGACACCGAAAACTACTGAATCGTTGAAATCTAAAAAATATGAATTTTTGTTCACTACTGACGATATCTATGTCGGAGTTGAAAACAGAAATTAATTTTATTTAATAAAGATTTACTAATTTTAAAAAAAAATCCTCTAAATTATATATTTTATAAAAGTATTTTACGTGTAGATTATTATTATATTTAAACTTATGTAATATCTGCACAATATTTTTTAGTTAAAAATTCTTAACTAAAAATTAGCCTTTTTATTAATAAGTTAATTATTTTAGTTTACAATTTTAATTTAAACTTATAAAACATACTAGTACTAGTAATACTGTTAAGTTAAATAAGTTTTTTAAATTAATATATATATATTTATAACTCAAGCATTAAATTAATAATTTTTTTATTTTAAAAATTTATAAATTGTTAAAATAAAATTTATTTATTATTATTATTAATATCAAATTAAACCATTTGTGTTATGTATATATTAATTAATTAAACTATTTTTTACACATAATATCTGGACACTGGTTTGCAATTATTTAGGATTATTTAGGGGTTTAATCACAAATATTTTGGTCACGACTATTTGGTACTTTTATTGACTATATTATTAGGTTTTATATCACATTTTATCCTATAAATACTTAAGTACTAAAATAACACATGGAGTTACATGTTTTTTTTGGTCAATATCACATACAATGACACTGTATGTGTGTAATACTATTATGTTATGCTATTAGAGGCGTGACTTAATAGTGATTATACTGCTTTATACACACATTAATCGTTTTGTATGTATATATACTACAGTATATAATACATAATCTATAGTTAATAAGTATTTTTATCATTTATTATGRTATGTTGTGACGTCACGGACTACACTAGTCTTCAATGTACTTGAAATATATTAACAAATAATAAAACATATATTATTATTGCATAACAACTCTAGTATTATTTTTATCAATTGATAATTTATTTATTTATTGTTGATTTAAATGTCATTTATCTATGCACTGGATATTTGCCAGCAGTTTATTTTTATTTCAAACATAAAAGCATATAAATATATATATTTTTATTTATAAATTATATTATTATTGATATTTATAATAAAAATAAATCTATCAATGAATATGACCCTGAAATATTTTCTATATTATATAAACAAATTATATGATATATAAATATACTGTAAATGTGTTTTCTCATATAAATAGTAGTTTTAAGTAGTTTTGAAAATAAAGTATTATTTAGTTGACTAATAAATTTTTAGTTTTTTCAAAACTTTATTATAATAAAAATTATTTTTTTTCAAAAATAAATAAATAATAATTGACCATGTTGTTTGCTGCATTATTTGGTTGGCAACAATTGGCTATTATATCAACAATCTTATTATATCTATATTAGTAAGTTTTAATATACACAAAAAAATGATTTTAAAAAATAAAGTTTTAATTAAGTATTTTTCTAAAACTTTTTTTTAATAATAATAATAATTATTTATTTWTTTTAGTCGACTGACCCGCAATTATAGCTATTGGTCATCCCGTAGTATCAATGGACCCAAACCGTTGCCAATATTGGGCACAATGTGGCAAATGTTTCAAAAGCCAGCCTTTCAGATAAATTTAGATAATCGCAAAACTTATGGCAATCTTTATGGGTTAGTATATCGGAAATCGTATTAAATTTATATATATATTAATATATATAAATTATCCAAAAAAAAAATTATTTTTGTATCTTATATTTTTTATGTCATTTAATAGAACCTATTTGGGTACCCGACCCGTACTAGTACTAACTGATCCACAATTGATCAAAGATGTCAATATAAAAGATTTCAATATATTTGTCGATCGCAACGATCTAATCAATTTCAATGACCCGATTGCCGATCGGGCATTGTTTACGGCAATGGGCGACAAATGGAAAAGTTTGAGATCAGTGGTAAGTATACCTGCAGAGAGAAGACATACCTATTCAATTGATTCATCAATTATATCATAAGTTTTACACAAAATATTAATTATTAAAAAAAAAACATTTGTAGATTAGTCCGACATTTTCATCGGGAAAAATGCGTGCAATGCATCCGATTATCATTGAGTGTGTGAAACGTTTGGACAGATATTTGTCGGACAAAAAAGAGATTGAAATGACGACAACAATGTCAAAGATGACAATGGATGTGATAGTCCGGTGCGCTTTTGGCAACGAAATCGACACTTACGACGAACAACGGACCCATGATTTTATAGTCTACTCGCGACGCCTACTGAGTGCCAATTGGCGGACACTATTGACGTTCATTGTGGGCGCCATTTCACAAGATTTGCTTCAATGGTCGGGACTGAAGTTAATCGATCCGGCGGTCGAAACATTTTTCAGATCAGCTGTAAGTGTCAAATAATTTTTATTCAAAACAGTTTATGATTGAATATTTCAATTCAATTGTCATTCAAAAAAAAAATGTTATTATTTTTTTTTTTTAAAGATTAAGACAATTGTCGATAAACGCCGGGCAGACGGATCGGGTCCGAAACATAAAGATTATATACAGCTAATGATTGACGCCAGAAATAAGACATCGTTGTCGTCGGACAACAATAAAGAAGTGGACGATAACATCATCAACAGCGACGAAATATTCACGAAGACAGCGAAGTCGTCATCGGTGGACAAACATTTTGCCGACATTAAGGGCGAAGTTGATGACGACGACGTATTGGCCAACTCTATCATCTTTTTAGTGGCCGGCTATGACACCAGTTCGATGGCACTGTCCTTCCTGTTCTATGCACTGGCACTTCATCCCGATTGTCAGCAAAAACTTTACGATGAAATCAAACGGTTTGACAATCAATACGATTACGAAACTATAGCCAAAATGTCATATCTGGAGGCGTGTGTGGCGGAAACGCTCAGAGTCTACAATCCGATCAGTACTGTCGGACGTATGGCTGCCCGAGAGTATACTGTCGGCGATACTGGCATTACAGTACCGAAAGGCATGTTGATTATGTGCGACATACAATCGCTACACCGAAATCCTGAATACTTCCCGGATCCCGATCGTTGGAATCCCGAACGGTTTATGCCCTACAATCGGGATAAGTTAGTTCCCTATACTTATATGCCGTTTGGTTTGGGTCCCAGAAATTGTGTGGGAATGAGGTTTGCATTGATGGAAATGAAGACAGCTGTAGCCTATCTGATCACTAGATATCGGTTCATACAGACGGCTAATACAACAATACCGTTGACGTACGCGAAGTATGACTTTCTTTTAAGGCCCTGTGCTGTCAATATTGGTATTGAACGCCGTCTATAAAAACATACAGTTTATTTTATTTATATTTTATTAACTGTTCATATATTTAATAGAAATGGATTATTATTATTAATAATATTTACAATTACCGGTATATCAATTGTTATAATTATATTTAATATTGTATAATAATTTACTATTTAATTTTCATCAATGTTTATATTTAACATATTATCAAAGATATTTAATTTTATAAATTACCGGTAGTGTTTTCTAATTTAATATTAAAAAAGTAAATAACATGTAATTAATTCATAAATTGTGTATTATCTATAAATATATTAAATAGATTAATGAAAAAATAGATTTTTTTAAAAAAAGTATTTGTCATTTTCCATATAAAATAAAAAATTATAATTTTAAATCTTTAATAATTTATTATTTAACTTTGTATGTCTATGTGTTTGTATGTGTGATATACTAATTTTTATTTCTATAAAAGTTTTTAATTAAAAATAAAACATTATTTCTATCTAATAATTAATAATTTACAGATATTAATATTTAATAAAAAAAATAAAATTAATCATTTAACTAAAATATGATATATATATATATATATATATATATTACATGATATATTTGTTAGTATTATGGTATATGATTTCGATTAGTTTAATTAGAAAACTATTAGACTTTAGAAATATCTATTTGTAATTAAGAAAAAGTGTGAAAATTTTATTATAATATTATTGATATATTGATATTTATTTTGACGTCACGGACTACATAAGTACTAAAAATATATAGCGAAACGTCTATAACGTAACGTATAGTAAATATAAAGTACAGGTAATACCTGTAATCATATAAAATTCATACATAAGATCTTAAGTACATTTTTGAATATCAATGAAATCATAGTAATAAATAATAATTTTCTTTGTTTTTTTAATTCAAAAGTAAACAATTATATTGTTGCAAATAATTGTTTAGTAGACTAGTAGTATATAAACTTAGTAATACTATTGTAATTTTTACATTATATAAAAATACATAATTATAGTACAATATAATATAAATTATTAGTAAAATAAAAATCTTATTTTTTCAAATATATTTAATATTTTTTAAATTTTATTTAATGATAATATTGAATATCAAATTAATATATTATGTCATTAACTACATTAATTGCAATCATTACTATAATTAGTTTAATCTATTAGTAAGTAAAATAAATAAGTTTTATATACAGTATTATAATTAAGTTTAATTAATTAATTTTAAAAAATTATTTTTATACTATTGATGTAATGCATATATTATAATTTATAATATAAAAATAATATATATATTAAATATAAAACAAATAAACTGTAATTATTATGTATTTTATAGTCATTTGACCCGTAATTTTGATTTCGGGACCTCTCGTGGCATACCTGGACCCAAACCGCTACCAATTATCGGCACTTTATATAAAAGCTTTACGAAACCTATTCAAGAGGTGTTTGTCGACAATGTTAAACAATATGGCAAAATCTATTGGTAAAAAATTAAGATTTTATTTTAAATTGCTTTATAAAATAACTTAAACATTGAATTTAGTGATCACTTTGGAACAGTGCCATCGGTGGTGATATCGGATCCGCAATTGATTAAAGATATTATGATAAAAGACTTTCATTTGTTCACCAATAAAGATAACTTCAACACTGGAGACAAACTGAACGATAGATCACTGTTTAATCTTAAAGGAAATGAATGGAAAAATATGCGATCAATTGTATTATTATTTTTTTATATTTTATTATTTATTAATATATATTTTTAAAATTAAAATTATTTTATCTATTTTTTTTATAGATAAGTCCAACATTTTCGTCCGGAAAAATTCGTTCAATGCATCCAATAGTCAACGATTGTATCAAACGTTTGGATGAAAATTTTGAAAAACATTTAACAAATAAAAATGTGGCCGAAATAGAGGTCAAGAAAATGATGTCGAGTCTGACTATGGATGTGATCGCTTCGTGTGCTTTTGGGACCAAAATCGATACCTATGGACAACAAAAAAGTGAATTTCTTATAAACGCTCAGAAAGTGATCACTCATTCGTGGCGTTCATTCATTTTTTTGTTGACTTTAACATTGTTTCCCAAATTGATTCAATGGACCAGTTTTACGATTCATCCCCCGAGTGTTGATAGATTTTTCAGGACAGCTGTAAATATTATATACTTTATAAAAAAATTTTAAAATTTAAAAAAAACTAAAATTTGAAAATTGAAAATTTATATGACATTAGATCCGATCGATAATCAGTCGCCGAAAGACTGAAAATACTAAAAGTAAAAACTATTTGCGACTCATTTTGGACGCACAGAACAAAACACTGGACACCACTGATGACAATGATATCAGTGGTGACAATAGTGAAGAAATTTATGGATCAATTGGTGATAAACAAATAAGTACTAATAAATCCAGGATTGATATTACCGAAGACGATGTTTTGGCCACTAGTATGTTGTTTTTTGTGGCTGGATATGAAACAACAGCTTCATTGTTGACATTTTTGACATACAATTTGGCGATGAATGACGATTGTCAACAAAAATTATACGAAGAAATCAAACAATTTGATGGCAACTATACCTATGAGTCCATCTCAAAGATGCCATATCTTGAGGCGTGTATTGCAGAAACACTTCGTTTATATAATCCCTTGTCTGCCATCAATAGAATAGCTGCTGAAGATTATAAATTAGGTTTTGTTTTTTGTATTAAAATTTATTTTTTTTAAATAATTTAAAATATTACATATAAATATTATTTTAGGCGATACCGGCATAACTTTACCAAAGAGTACTATTGTTAGTTGTAACGTCCAATACTTACATCGCAATCCCGAATACTATCCCGAACCCGATCGTTGGAATCCCGAACGGTTTATGCCCTACAATCGGGATAAGTTAGTTCCCTATACTTATATGCCGTTTGGTTTGGGTCCCAGAAATTGTGTGGGAATGAGGTTTGCATTGACTGAGGCCATGTCAACGGCGGCCTATTTTATCAGTAAATACCGATTTGTGCGGACAGACAATACTCCCGAAAAATTGAAACCATTGAAAATGCAATTTGTGGTTAACTGTGGAGAAATTAAAGTAGGAATCAAACATCGAGTGTAAAATTTAAATATTTTTATTTTATTTTTTTAATTATTAATATTTATCAACAAATTGTTTAAAACTTTATCATTAAAATGTCTGTCAATACGATTATATATAATTTAAATTAATACAGTATTTATTTATCATGTATTTTATCAAATAAATACAAATATATTTTTGTAGTATTTATTTAATGTTTAATATGATATATTGCAGATATTAATATTTATTTAAATAATAAAATATGATATATTACACAAAAATATATTTGTATGTTTATTTCATTTATCATTGATTGATATAAATAGAAAATTATTAAACTTAAACATCAATTGTTATTATTAATAAAATGTGAATTTTTTTCTATAATAATTATAATGTAAGTCTATTATAATGAACTACATGAGCCATAATAATATAGCAAAACGTATATACAGTATATTATATCTATACGTATATAGTAAATGTACAGTAAATTTCATAGTATAGTAACAAACAATTTTTAGTGTACTATTTGCTGATTTAGCCTAATATATTGTTAGGCTATATAATGATGATGCTATTAAAAAAAATTGCTAGTCTATTATGTAATTTATGCTACACCATCAATATATTATTTTAATTAAAAACAGTTAATTAATTTATAAAAACTATAGCTTAATATTTTTTTAAACTTAAATTATAAAACTTGACCGTCAAATAGTATTAACTGTATGTATAGTAACAAACAATGAAAATTCCATAGTTTTTTCATGCATTTTGATCATCAATCATATATATACAGTATATTTATTTAATAATAATAATAAATGATTTTATCTTTTAATTGAACAATTTTATCAATTTATTTATATCCTTGAAAAAACTTGTTTATTAGATCTAATTATTATTATTAGTTATAATAATCTTTTTAAAAAATCTTTATATAGTTATTATATTATCAGTGATTGAATTTATCAGTACGTAGTTAAACAATAATTTTTAATAAAAAAAWATATATATATAATATTCATAAATAAATTCAATATTTATATATATACTGTATTTATATATTGTTAAAATTTACATTTTTAAAAAATCGTTGAAATAAATAATTTATTGACTTATATAGTAATTATTTTATTATATAAGTTATTTTATTTGTTTAAAAAAATTTTCAATTATAAGGTGTGTAAATACTACTAATATAATTATTGTATTGTTGTACACATGTATTACTGAAAATGTATTAATGTATTTACTTAATAAGTAAATTTATATATATATATATATATAGGTATTATTCGCTTTTGAAATATATAATAGATATTTTTCGTATATTATTAAAATTTTCATTTTTGATATCGTTTTAATAAATTTTATTCAATGAAATTGAAATAATTTTAGGAAAATATATTAGTTGTGAATTTAATAATAATATATTCTATATATATATACCTATATATTAATATATATTATTTGTTTAATTAAAATAACATTTTCATTATAAAGGTGTGTGTCTGTAAAAAAAGTAAAATATTATGGCATTAGTTATATTGATTGCGATCATTACTATAATTGGTTTACTCTACTAGTAAGTTATATAAATAATTTTTTTAAAAACAATATTAATAATATGATTAATTTCAATTTGTCCATTATTTTAGTATTTATTTAATCCTATTAAATGTATTTATAAAAAAAATCTATAATATAAATTATAATTTTCTAGTTATTTGACCCGTAATTTCCGTTTCGGTACCTCACTTGGCATCCCTGGACCGAAACCGCTACCAATTGTCGGCACATTTTATCAAAGCTTTACGAAACCTATTCAAGATGTGTTTGTCGACAATGTTAAACAATACGGCAAAATATATTGGTATGCATTTGTTGTATTATTTTTTGATAATAAACAATAGTAATAATCTTTAAAAACAATGATTTTTAGTGATTACTTTGGATCGATGGCAATGGTAGTGATAGCGGATCCACAATTGATTAAAGATGTTATGATAAAAGATTTTAATTTGTTCACCAATAGAGATGACTTAATCACTGGCGATATACTGAACGATAGATCACTGTTTAATCTAAAGGGAAATGAATGGAAAAATATGCGATCAATTGTATTATCAATTTTAATATTTTAGTTTATTTTATTAATTAAAAATAATTTTAACATTTTTAGATAACACCAACCTTTTCGTCGGGCAAAATGCGTTCAATGCATCCAATAGTTAGCGATTGTATCAAACGATTGGATGAAAATTTTGACAAACATTTGACAAATAAAATGGTGGCCGAAATAGAGATCAAGAAATTGATGTCTAGTCTGACTATGGATGTGATCGCTTCGTGTGCTTTTGGGACCAAAATCGATACCTATGGACAACAAAGAAATGAATTCCTAATAAACGCTCAGAAAGTGATCACTCAGTCGTTTCGTACATTTATCTTCTTCTTCACGGTTACATTGTTTCCTAAATTGATTCAATGGACAGGATTTACGGTTAATCACCCGAATGTTAATAGATTCTTCAGGACAGCTGTAATAAMTATATAACTAAATAAATAATAATTTTTATTATCAGTAATAAAAATATAATTTAATTAATAATAGATCCGATCGATAATCAGTCGCCGAAAGACTGAAAGTATTAAAAGTAAAGATTATTTGCAACTCATTTTGAACGCACAGAACAAAACACTGGACAGCAGTGACGACAAAGATATCGGTGGTGATAATAGTGAAGAAATTTATGGATCAATTGGTGACAAACAAAGCACTATTAGTAAACCCAAGGTTGATATTACCGAAGACGATGTTCTGGCTTCTAGTTTGTTGTTTATTATTGCCGGCTATGAAACTACCGCTTCTTTGTTGACATTTTTGACATACAATTTGGCGATGAATGACGAGTGCCAACAAAAATTATACGAAGAAATCAAACAATTTGATGGCAACTATACCTATGAGTCCATATCAAAGATGGCATATCTTGAGGCGTGTATTGCAGAAACACTTCGTATTTACAATCCATTGGTTTCCGTCAATAGAATGGCTGCTGAAGATTATAAATTGGGTTTGTTTTGACATATATTTTATTTATTATTTTATATAATTTTTTTTATTAAATTAAATTTAATATTTGTTAATATTTAAGGCGATACCGGCATAACATTACCAAAGAATACTATTGTTAGCGCAAACATTCAATACATACATCACAATCCCGAATACTATCCCGAACCCGATCGTTGGAATCCCGAACGGTTTATGCCCTACAATCGGGATAAGTTAGTTCCCTATACTTATATGCCGTTTGGTTTGGGTCCCAGAAATTGTGTGGGAATGAGGTTTGCATTGATGGAGACAAAGACAGCCACAGCCTATTTGGTCAATAAATATCGATTTGTGCGGACAGACAACACTCCCGATAAACTAAAACCATTGAAAATGCAAATTTTGTTAAATTGTGGAGAAATTAAAGTAGGAATCAAACATAGAGTATAAAACTTGAATATTTCTATTTAATTTTTTATACTTTTATATGTTTAGTAGTATTTCATTTATTGATATAAATATAAAATTATTAAATTAAACATTAATTGTTAGATATTTTTATATGTCTTAATTGATAACTATACACAAATTATGGTAAATTTTATTATGAAATACGATTATCTAGTATTTGATTATTATTAACAATTAGTATTATGTTTTTTAAATCAAATTATTATAATAATTATAAATAAAAATATACTGCAAAATATTGTACTAGTTTTCTATAATTACTAATTAATATTATATTTTGCAAAAATTAAGATTTATTTTTTTTAAAAAATAATTAAAATAACTAATACAATTTTATAACACTATAGACATACCTATTATTTGACTACATGAGCCCTAATACTCTAGTAATGTCAGAGATGCTGAGTGAAACATAAATTATTTTAAATATGATATTAAATAAATCTTATTTTATTCATAAAACTTTACTATAAAATCTAATTCAAAAAAAAAAATTGTTAAAAAATTAATGATAATGTATTATAAGTCCTAACTATCAATATAACCTAAAACTAGTGGACAGTTAGACATTGTTATTGATAGTCATTTTGTGTTAAATTTTGTACTATAGTTATATGTTAGTCAAAAATTAAATTTCTAAAATTATTAATTGTTTATTTTTCATTGTGTTTTTAAATAAAAATGTTTTTGTAAGTGATTTTTGTTGTTGTTTGATTTTATTAGATATATATATATAATTGAAAATCTACTAAAGTATGTATGTATATAATATATAGTATTTTAATTTTGTTTACTAAACTATAATTGCGTTTAAAATATAAATTTATCTATTATTTATTGTATTATAATATAATTTATATATTATCTGTTGAATATAAAGTTTATGTTTATGAAATTAAATATATGTCAGATAAACATTTWWAAAAAACTATAATTAAAATCATAAGTAAATTATATGTTGTTTTTATCATACAATTAGACAATTAGACAATTTTGACAATTTATTTATATATTTTTGAAAATACATGTTTATTAGTCTTAAGTTTGATTGATGTTTTATATTATAATATTACTGATAATTTATTAGTATATAAATACAGTACATAACCATATAATATGTAAAAAAAATTATTCACAAATATATTCAATATTTATTATATATTGTAAAAATATACGTTTTAAAAAAATWTTTGAAATAAATTTTATACTGGTATTGTAATTATCTTAGAAAATTATAGCAATAATAATAATAAAGTTATTTTTTAAGTTARAATAACATTTACAGTTTAGAGGTGTATCTGTAAAAATTATAATATTATGGCAATAATTATATTAATTGCGATCATTAGTATAATTGGTTTAATCTACTAGTAAGTGAAATAAATAATTTTTATAAATTATATAAATATTTTAATTAATTTTATATTTGCACATTTATTATGTTAGTACTCATTTATTAAGTGTATTTAATAAAAGTAACAACATTTTTAAATGAAAAAATAAATAAATTATTCTTATTTATGTTTATATATATATATATAATAATTTATATATATACTACACTACTATATAATTTTTAAATGTTAGGAAACGATTATTAATAATTATTAATTTATTTAAATAAAAAATAAATAAGCATACAATATATACCATATATTGTTTATACTAATCTATTAATAAAACAGAGATCTAATTAGTATATAAATTATAAATTTCTAGTTATTTGACCCGTAATTTGCATTTCGGGACATCACTTGGCATACCTGGACCCAAACCGCTGCCAATTATCGGCACTTATTATCAAAATTTTACAAAACCTATTCAAGACGTGTTTGTCGACAATGTTAAACAATATGGAAAAATATATTGGTATTAATTAATATATTTTTTTTTTTGTRTAAACAATATWAATAATTTTTTTTATATAAAAACAATATATAAAAACTTAAACAATGATTTTTCAGTGATTACTTTGGATCGATGCCAATGGTGATGATAGCGGATCCACAMTTGATTAAAGATATTATGATAAAAGATTTTCATTTGTTCACCAATAGAGACGATTTAATCACTGGCGACAAACTGACCGATAGATCACTGTTTAATCTTAAAGGAAATGAATGGAAAAATATGCGATCAATTGTATTATCATTTTTTTATATATATTAGTATCTTTTATTACCGGTAATTAAAATTATTATTTATTAATATTTTTTAGATAACACCAACCTTTTCGTCGGGCAAAATGCGTTCAATGCATCCAATAGTCAACGATTGTATCAAACGATTGGATGAAAATTTTGAAAAACAATTGACAAATAAATTGATGGCCGAAATAGAGATCAAAAAATTGATGTCTAGTCTGACTATGGATGTGATCGCTTCGTGTGCTTTTGGGACCAAAATCGATACCTATGGACAACAAAGAAATGAATTYCTAATAAACGCTCAAAAAGTTATCACTCAGTCTTGGCGTACATTWATYTTCTTCTTTACCGTTACATTGTTTCCCAAATTGATTCAATGGACAGGATTTACGGTTAATCACCCGAATGTTAATAGATTTTTCAGGACAGCTGTAAATATTATAATTAGTATTATTATAAATATGAATTAATTAAATGTTAATTATTAGATCCGATCTATAATCAGTCGCCGAAAGACAGAAAGTATTAAAAGTAAAGATTATTTGCAACTCATTTTAAATGCTCAGAACAAAACACTGGACACCACTGACGACAAAGATATCGGTGGTGATAATAATGAAGAAATTTATGGATCAATTGGTGACAAACAAAACACTATTGTTAAGCCCAAGATTGATATCACCGAAGACGATGTTCTGGCTTCTAGTTTGTTGTTTATTATCGCTGGCTATGAAACTACCGCTTCGTTGTTGACATTAATGACATACAGTTTAGCGATGAATGACGAGTGTCAACAAAAATTGTACGAAGAAATCAAACAATTTGATGGCAACTATACCTATGAGTCCATCTCAAAGATGCCATATCTTGAGGCGTGTATTGCAGAAACACTTCGTATTTACAATCCATTGGTTTCCGTCAATAGAATGGCTGCTGAAGATTATAAATTGGGTTTGTTTTGACATATATTTTATAATTATTTTATATATTATTTTATATGATTTTTGTTAATATTTTAGGCGATACCGGCATAACTTTACCAAAGAAAACTATTGTTAGCGCAAACATTCAATATATACATCACAGTCCCGAATATTATCCCGAACCCGATCGTTGGGATCCCGAAAGGTTTATGCCCTACAATCGGGATAAGTTAGTTCCCTATACTTATATGCCGTTTGGTTTGGGTCCCAGAAATTGTGTGGGAATGAGGTTTGCATTGATGGAGGCAAAGACAGCCACAGCCTATTTGGTCAATAAATACCGATTTGTGCGGACAAACAACACTCCCGATAAACTAAAACCCTTGAAAATGCAAGTTTTGTTTAATTGTGGAGAAATTAAAATAGGAATCAAACATAGAGTTTAAATTTTTTAAAAGTTTTATTTGACTTTTTATTGATATATAAACAAATTGTGTTAAACTATATTATAAAATTGTTTGTTCAAACTAATGTATTTTATCAAATATTATATAAATACTTTTTACAAATTAATAATAATAATACTAAATATAATATATTATATATTTATTGTTTAATTGCTTTAAGTTATCGATTTTAGAAAATTACATTATTAACTAATTTGATTTTACTACTTGATTATACAAGTAATTTAACTTAAATAATATAATTAGAAATCAGTTTATTATGAAATTGTCTGTCAATATGATTATCAAAATATATTATATTAATTAATATTTACTTATCATTTATTTTATCAGATAATTAAAAATAATGCAATAATTATAAATACAAATATACTTCAAAAAAAATTTATACTAATAAATAATATTTTGCTAATATTAATACATATTTTTTTTTTTTAAAAAATAATATAATATAATATAAATATATACAGTGTATATTATATACTATATTTGTATGTTAGTATTATTTTATTTATTATTGATTGATATAAATATAAAATTCAACATCAATTTGTTATTAATAATAAAGTGTGAAAATTTTCATGCCCAGGATTTAATCTCACACATACACATACACATACACATACACATACACATACACATACACATACACATACACATACACATACACATACACATACACATACACATAACACATACACATACACATACACATACACATACACATACACATACACATACACATACACATACACATACACATACACATACACATACACATACACATACACATACACATACACATACACATACACATACACATACACATACACATACACATACACATACACATACACATACACATACACATACACATACACATACACATACACATACACATACACATACACATACACATACACATACACATACACATACACATACACATACACATACACATACACATACACATACACATACACATACACATACACATACACATACACATACACATACACATACACATACACATACACATACACATACACATACACATACACATACACATACACATACACATACACATACACATACACATACACATACACATACACATACACATACACATACACATACACATACACATACACATACACATACACATACACATACACATACACATACACATACACATACACATACACATACACATACACATACACATACACATACACATACACATACACATACACATACACATACACATACACATACACATACACATACACATACACATACACATACACATACACATACACATACACATACACATACACATACACATACACATACACATACACATACACATACACATACACATACATATACACATACACATACACATACACATACACATACACATACACATACACATACACATACACACATCATATCACTTATTCATTGTTGTATATATTATCGTAACGTTTTTCTATCGTATTTTCATTTATCATTATATCATTTAGATTTTGTTTTAATTAAAATAAATGTTTTTGTATTCATGAATCGTTTCGTTATATTTACGCAATACTGTAATTATTGTCTGTCTGTCTCTTTACTGAAACAAAGATTGAAATAATTTGAAATTGAAATAATTGCTAATAAACTAATAGTTAATGAATCTTGAACTGCATTTTGAACTTTCACTAAAATATAATATTGCTATTATTTTATTAAATTATTTATTTATTTATCCTTGAAAATACTCATTAATAAGTTATGAATAAAAATCTTTATTGCAATTTTTTTATTTTATTTTTAGTATATAAATAACTAATGTAATTACAATATAAACCTAATATTGTTTTTTTGTGTTTTCATAAATATATATTATAATTAATTTTTTTTGAAACAAATTTTATTCGCAAATATTGTAATTATTTAATATAATAATAATATTATTATTAAATAAAATAATATATATATATATATATATATAAAAGTTATTTATTTTGATTAAAAATTAAAACATTTTCAATATAAAAGTGTGTGTTTGTAATAATTTAAATATTATGGCATTAATTATATTAATTGCGAGCATAACTATAATTGGTTTAATCTATAAGTAAGTGAAATTTTGAATAATTTTTCATATAATATAAAAAATATTTTTTGATTAATTTTATATTTTATATTTGCACATTATTTAAGTATGATATATATATAATATAATAATAGCAAAAAATTTTTAAATAAGAAAATATATGATATTATATATGATCTAAATCTAAATATTAATTTATAATTTGGTAGTTATTTGACCCGTAAATCGCATTTCGGGACCAGTCTTGGCATTCCTGGACCAAAACTGCTACCAATTATCGGATCATTTTATAAAAATTTTACAAAAACCATACAAGAAATATATGTCGAAAATGTTGAACAATACGGCAAAATCTATTGGTATGTATTTAGTTTTAAATTTTAGTTTTATTTTTTAAAAAAAATAAATATTTAATAATATTAATAATTTTGTAAATAATGATTGCAATAGTGATTACTTTGGATCAGTTCCATCAGTGATTATATCGGATCCACAATTGATTAAAGATATTATGATAAAAGATTTTCATTTGTTCAGCGATAGAGACGACTTAATCACTGGCGACAAACTGACAGATAGAGCGCTGTTTAATCTTAAAGGAAATGAATGGAAAAATATGCGATCAATTGTATTATCATTTTTTCTAAAGTATTATTTTTATTAAAATTATTGTAATTTTTTAGATAAGTCCAACCTTTTCGTCGGGCAAAATGCGTTCAATGCATCCAATAGTCAGCGATTGTATCAAACGATTGGATGAAAATTTTGAAAAACAATTGACAAATAAATTGGTGGCCGAAATAGAGGTCAAGAAAATGATGTCGAGTCTGACTATGGATGTGATCGCTTCGTGTGCTTTTGGGACCAAAATCGATACCTATGGACAACAAAAAAGTGAATTTCTTATAAACGCACAGAAAGTTAGCACTCAGTCGTTGCGTACATTTGTCTTCTTATTTATTGTTACATTGTTTCCCAAATTGATTCAATGGACCGGTTTTACGATTAATCATCCAAATGTCGATGGATTCTTCAGGACAGCTGTAAATATTATAATTAAATAAATAATAATTTATTAGTATTATTAGTATTAAAAATACAATTTTAATTAATATTAGATCCGATCGATAATCAGTCGCCGAAAAACTGAAAGTATTAAAAGTAAAGATTATTTGCAACTCATTTTGGACGCACAGAATAAAACACTGGACACCTCTGACGACAAAGATATCGTTGGTGACAGTAGTGAAGAAATTTATGGATCAATTGGTGACAAACAAAATACTATTGATAAGTCCAAGATTGATATCACCGAAGACGATGTTTTGGCCACTAGTATGTTGTTTATTGTCGCTGGATATGAAACTACCGCTTCGTTGTTGACATTTTTGACATACAATTTGGCGATGAATGACGAATGTCAACAAAAATTATACGAAGAAATCAAACAATTTGATGGCAACTATACCTATGAGTCCATCTCAAAGATGCCATATCTTGAGGCGTGTATTGCAGAAACACTTCGTATATACAATCCATTAGTTTTCGTCAATAGAATGGCTATAAAAGATTATAAATTAGGTTTGTTTTGTTATATATTTTATTTATTATTATATATATCTTTTTATATAAATTTAAATATAATTGTTATTATTTGTCAATATTTTTAGGCGATACCGGTATAACATTACCAAAGAAAACTGTTGTTAGCGCAAATATACAATACATACATCACAGTCCCGAATACTATCCCGATCCCGATCGTTGGAATCCCGAACGGTTTATGCCCTACAATCGGGATAAGTTAGTTCCCTATACTTATATGCCGTTTGGTTTGGGTCCCAGAAATTGTGTGGGAATGAGGTTTGCATTGATGGAGACAAAGACAGCCACAGCCTATTTGGTCAATAAATACCGATTTATGCGGACAGACAACACTCCCGATAAATTAAAATTTATGAAAATGCAATTTTTGCTTAAATGTGATGAATTTAATGTAGGAATTGAGCATAGATTGTAAAACTTTTTTTTTAAAAAAAAAAGTTTTATTTGACTTTTTATTGATATTTATTAACTAATTATGTTAAACTGTAACTGTAATTATAATGTATTTTGTCAAATAAAACTACTTTTACGTAATAAATAAATAATAATAAATACAAATATAAATTTATTATATATTTATTATATATTTATTGTTTAATAGATTTAAAGTTATCAATCATGTAAAAAAATTATATTACTAACTAACTTGATTATACAAGTAATATAATTTAAATATAATATAATTATGCAATAAGTAGAGTCAGTTTATTTTGTTTTTTAAACTTATTATTTAATTTTCTGTAATAATCATTATTTATATGTGTAAATATACAATAAATCATAAAATTTGGTATTAGTGTTATTAAAATGATACAAATAATTATAATTTATTACCTATTAATATACTCACTTTAATATTCAACTTAAATATAAAAAATATAACTTTTCTAATTAAAAATTTTAATTAAAAAATATTAACTTATTTATTATAAGATATTTATCAAAATAATCATATTATATATTTATATATTTAAATGTAAATAAGTCTTTTAATTTGTTAAAAATATTTATAACTTAAGCACTAATTAATATTTATTTCTTTAAATTATAAATAGTTAACAAAAAAATGTTGTTATTATATTATAAATATGTTATATTTATATATTTTAATATAAATATTATTATTATCAAATTAAACAAATATCATTATGTTTAAGTAATTTTAGCACTTATTTCTGTATAACGTTTTTGTATCGACTTTTAAGTTATAATTTAATTGTAATTAAAATAAACTCATTTTTTCGTTAATCGTTTCGTTATTTTAACGCAATTGTCGGCCTCTTGGCTAACATAAGAAGCGTAGAAATAATTTGATTAAATTATTACTATTTAAAAAAATCATATAAAAACTATATTTATAATCTTAACTGCATTTTAACCTTTCATTAATATATAATTTTTTGTTTTGTTTAAATCATACAATTGAACTAATGTTATCAAAAATTATTTATATCCTTGAAAATACTAGTTTAATCAGCTAAAGAGTTATAATCTTTTTTATAGTTTTTTATTTAAAAAATTTATTTATTATTAGTATATAAATACATACTGAAATTACAATATATACCTAATATTATTTTTGTGTTATAAATATTGTATTTAAGTATCGTTAAAGTTTACATTTAAAAAAAAACATTTTCAGTCTAAAGGTGTTTTTGTGTAAAAATTATTATTATTATCAAATTAAACAATTTATCACTACTGTATGTATAAGTAATTATATCAATAACTCACTTATTTCTATATATATATAATCTAACGATTTTGTATCGTCTTTTCAGTTATTAATAGGTAATTAAATTAAAATATTATTATTAATAAATAAATAAATGTATTATTAAAACATTTTATGCATTATGATGTGATACTATTGATGTCCAATATATATAATATATATATATATATATAGTTAACAAGTTTAGATTGTATGGATTTTTTAAAGGGTTGGTATGGGGGGAGTGGGGGGAGTAAACCATCCTATTTTTTATTAGAGTTCATTGATTGATTATTATTGGGGGTAAAAAATTTGTTGGGGACTTTAATTTCCTTTAATATATATATTAAATTTGTGTAATTTAAAATAAACAATTTTTTTCAATAATAGTTTTGTTTTTGTTAAAGCAATTAAATGTCTGTCTCTTGTCTAACACAAAAATCATAGAAATAATTTGATTAAATTATTACTATTTTAAAAAAAACATATAAAAAGTATAGTTAATAAATTGCATTTTGAATTTTCATTAATATATATTTTTTTGTTTTGTTTAAATCATACAATTGAACTAATGTTATCAAAATTATTTATATCCTTGAAAATACTCGTTTATCAGCAGTTAATGAGTATATAATCTTTATTATAGTTTTTTTTAATAATTTTATTTATTATTAGTATATAAATATATAAATACATTATACATCTAATATAAATTTTGTGTCTTAAATATTATTCATAAATATAATTTCATCAAATATTGTTAAAGTTTACATTTTTTGTTTGAAATTTGTTGAAATAAATTTTATTCACAGATATTTTAATAATTTTAAAACAATATAATAATTAAATAAGTTATTTATTTAAATTTAAAAAAAACATTTTCAGTCTAAAGGTGTGTTTGTCTTTAAAAATTATAATATTATGGCATTACTTATATTAATTGCGATCATTACTATAATTGGTTTAATCTATTAGTAAGTAATAATTTTTTATTCAATATTAATATTATGATTAATTTTATATTAATACTTATTTATCTAATGTATTTAATAAAACATAACAAAATATTTTTAAAAATTAAATAATATATATATATTGTTGTTAATGTATATATATATATGTATATAAATTTAAATATAATTTTGTAGTTATTTGAGCCGTAATTTGCATTTCGGTACCACTGTTGGCATTCCTGGACCGAAACCTCTACCAATTATCGGCTCTTTTTATAAAAACTTTACGAAAATACTACAAGAAGTATATGTCGATAATGTTAGACAATATGGCAAAATCTATTGGTATGTATTTATTTAGTTTTAAATATATAAATATTTATAATATTAATAATTTTTTTAAAAAACCACTGATTTTCAGTGATTATATTGGATCGATGCCAACAGTGGTTATATCGGATCCACAATTGATTAAAGATATTATGATAAAAGATTTTCATAAGTTTAGCGATAGAGACGACTTAATCACTGGCGATATACTGAGCGATAGATCACTATTTAATCTAAAGGGAAATGAATGGAAAAATATGCGATCAATTGTATTATCATTTTTTCTAAAGTATTATTTTTATTAAAATTATTGTAATTTTTTAGATAAGTCCAACCTTTTCGTCGGGCAAAATGCGTTCAATGCATCCAATAGTCAGCGATTGTATCAAACGATTGGATGAAAATTTTGAAAAACAATTGACAAATAAATTGGTGGCCGAAATAGAGGTCAAGAAAATGATGTCGAGTCTGACTATGGATGTGATCGCTTCGTGTGCTTTTGGGACCAAAATCGATACCTATGGACAACAAAAAAGTGAATTTCTTATAAACGCACAGAAAGTTAGCACTCAGTCGTTGCGTACATTTGTCTTCTTATTTATGGTTACATTGTTTCCCAAATTGATTCAATGGACCGGTTTTACGATTAATCATCCAAATGTCGATGGATTTTTCAGGACAGCTGTAAATATTATAATTAAATAAATAATAATTAATTAGTATTATTAGTATTAAAAATACAATTTTAATTAATATTAGATCCGATCGATAATCAGTCGCCGAAAGACTGAAAGTATCAAAAGTAAAGATTATTTGCAACTCATTTTGGACGCACAGAACAAAACACTGGACACCACTGACGACAATGATATCGTTGGTGACAGTAGTGAAGAAATTTATGGATCAATTGGTGACAAACAAAACACTATTGATAAGTCCAAGATTGATATCACCGAAGATGATGTTTTGGCCACTAGTATGCTGTTTATTGTCGCTGGATATGAAACTACCGCTTCGTTGTTGACATTTTTGACATACAATTTGGCGATGAATGACGAATGTCAACAAAAATTATACGAAGAAATCAAACAATTTGATGGCAACTATACCTATGAGTCCATCTCAAAGATGCCATATCTTGAGGCGTGTATTGCAGAAACACTTCGTATATACAATCCATTAGTTTTCGTCAATAGAATGGCTATAAAAGATTATAAATTAGGTTTGTTTTGTTATATATTTTATTTATTATTTTATATATTTTTTTTATTATTTTATATATTTTTTTATATAAATTTAAATATAAATTACAATTTATTTGTCAATATTTTTAGGCGATACCGGTATAACATTACCAAAGAAAACTGTTGTTAGCGCTAATATACAATACATACATCACAGTCCCGAATACTATCCCGATCCCGATCGTTGGAATCCCGAACGGTTTATGCCCTACAATCGGGATAAGTTAGTTCCCTATACTTATATGCCGTTTGGTTTGGGTCCCAGAAATTGTGTGGGAATGAGGTTTGCATTGATGGAGACAAAGACAGCCACAGCCTATTTGGTCAATAAATACCGATTTATGCGGACAGACAACACTCCCGATAAATTAAAATTTATGAAAATGCAATTTTTGCTTAAATGTGATGAATTTAATGTAGGAATTGAACATAGATTGTAAAACTTTTTTTTAAAAAAAGTTTTATTTGACTTTTTATTGATATTTATTAACTACGGTAATTATGTTAAACTGTAACTGTAATTATAATGTATTTTGTCAAATAAAACTACTTTTACGTAATAATAATAAAAAATACAAATATAAATTTATTATATATTTATTATATATTTATTGTTTAATAGATTTAAAGTTATCTATCATATAAAAAAAATTATATTACTAACTAACTTGATTATACAAGTAATATAATTTAAATATAATATAATTATGCAATAAGTAGAGTCAGTTTATTTTGTTTTTTAAACTTATTATTTAATTTTCTGTAATAATCATTATTTATATGTTTAAATATACAATAAATCATAAAATTTGGTATTAGTGTTATTAAAATGATACAAGTAATTATAATTTATTACCTATTAATATACTCACTTTAATATTCAACTTATATATAAAAAAATATAACTTTTCTAATTAAAAATTTTAATTAAAAAATATTAACTTATTTATTATAAGATATTTATCAAAATAATCATATTATATATTTATATATTTAAATGTAAATAAGTCTTTTAATTTGTTAAAAATATTTATAACTTAAGCACTAATTAATATTTATTTTTTTAAATTATAAATAGTTAACAAAAAAAATGTTGTTATTATATTATAAATATGTTATATTTATATATTTTAATATAAATATTATTATTATCAAATTAAACAAATATCATTATGTTTAAGTAATTTTAGCACTTATATCTGTATAACGTTTTTGTATCGACTTTTAAGTTATAATTTAATTAATTTTTTTGTAATTAAAATAAACTCATTTTTTCGTTAATCGTTTCGTTATTTTAACGCAATTGTCGGCCTCTTGGCTAACATAAGAAGCGTAGAAATAATTTGATTAAATTATTACTATTTAAAAAAATCATATAAAAACTATATTTATAATCTTAACTGCATTTTAACCTTTCATTAATATATAATTTTTTGTTTTGTTTAAATCATACAATTGAACTAATGTTATCAAAAATTATTTATATCCTTGAAAATACTAGTTTAATCAGCTAAAGAGTTATAATCTTTTTTATAGTTTTTTATTTAAAAAATTTATTTATTATTAGTATATAAATACATACTGAAATTACAATATATACCTAATATTATTTTTGTGTTATAAATATTGTATTTAAGTATCGTTAAAGTTTACATTTAAAAAAAAACATTTTCAGTCTAAAGGTGTTTTTGTGTAAAAATTATTATTATTATCAAATTAAACAATTTATCACTACTGTATGTATAAGTAATTATATCAATAACTCACTTATTTCTATATATATATAATCTAACGATTTTGTATCGTCTTTTCAGTTATTAATAGGTAATTAAATTAAAATATTATTATTAATAAATAAATAAATGTATTATTAAAACATTTTATGCATTATGATGTGATAYTATTGATGTCCAATATATATAATATATATATATATATATATAGTTARCAAGTTTAGATTGTATGCATTTTTTAAAGGGTTGGTATGGGGGAGTGGGGGAGTAAACCATCCTATTTTTTATTAGAGTTCATTGATTGATTATTATTGGGGGTAAAAAATTTGTTGGGGACTTTAATTTCCTTTAATATATATTAAATTTGTGTAATTTAAAATAAACAATTTTTTTTCACTAATAGTTTTGTTTTTGTTAAAGCAATTGTCTGACTCTTGTCTAACACAAAAATCACAAAAATAATTATTATTAAATTATTACTATTTAAAAAAACATATAAAAACTATAGTTAATAAATTGCATTTTGAACTTTCATTAATATATATTTTTTTGTTTTGTTTAAATCATACAATTGAACTAATGTTATCAAAATTATTTATATCCTTGAAAATACTCGTTTATCAGTTAATGAGTATATAATCTTTATTATAGTTTTTTAATAATTTTATTTATTATTAGTATATAAACATATAAATACATTATACATCTAATATAAATTTTTATGTTTTAAATATTATTAATAAATATAATTTCATCAAATATTGTTAAAGTTTACATTTTTTTGTTTGAAATTTGTTAAAATAAATTTTATTCACAGATATTTTAATAATTTTAAAACAATATAATAATTAAATAAGTTATTTATTTAAATTTTAAAAAAAAATATTTTCTGTCTAAAGGTTTATTTGTCTTTAAAAATTATAATATTATGGCATTACTTATATTAATTGCGATCATTACTATAATTGGTTTAATCTATTAGTAAGTAATAATTTTTTATTCAATATTAATATTATGATTAATTTTATATTAATACTTATTTATCTAATGTATTTAATAAAACATAACAAAACATTTTTTTAATTAAATAATATATCAATATATATATATATATATATAAAAATTTAAATATAATTTTGTAGTTATTTGAGCCGTAATTTGCATTTCGGTACCACTGTTGGCATTCCTGGACCGAAACCKCTACCAATTATCGGCTCTTTTTATAAAAACTTTACGAAAATACTACAAGAAGTATATGTCGATAATGTTAGASAATATGGCAAAATCTATTGGTATGTATTTATTTAGTTTTAAATATATAAATATTTATAATATTAATAATTTTTTTAAAAAACCACTGATTTTCAGTGATTATATTGGATCGATGCCAACAGTGGTTATATCGGATCCACAATTGATTAAAGATATTATGATAAAAGATTTTCATAAGTTTAGCGATAGAGACGACTTAATCACTGGCGATATACTGAGCGATAGATCACTATTTAATCTAAAGGGAAATGAATGGAAAAATATGCGATCAATTGTATTATCATTTTTTCTAAAGTATTATTTTTATTAAAATTATTGTAATTTTTTAGATAAGTCCAACCTTTTCGTCGGGCAAAATGCGTTCAATGCATCCAATAGTCAGCGATTGTATCAAACGATTGGATGAAAATTTTGAAAAACAATTAACGAATAAAAAAGTGGCCGAAATAGAGGTCAAGAAAATGATGTCGAGTCTGACTATGGATGTGATCGCTTCGTGTGCTTTTGGGACCAAAATCGATACCTATGGACAACAAAAAAGTGAATTTCTTATAAACGCACAGAAAGTTAGCACTCAGTCGTTGCGTACATTTGTCTTCTTCTTCACGGTTACATTGTTTCCCAAATTGATTCAATGGACAGGATTTACGATTAATCATCCAAATGTCGATGGATTCTTCAGGACAGCTGTAATATTATAAATAATAAATAGTATTATAAATACAGTTTAATTAAAAATTATTTATTAGATCCGATCGATTATCAGTCGCCGAAAGACTGAAAGTATTAAAAGTAAAGATTATTTGCAACTCATTTTGGACGCACAGAATAAAACACTGGACACCACTGACGACAAAGATATAGTTGTTGATAATAGTGAAGAGATTTATGGATCAATTGGTGACAAACAAAACACTATTGATAAGTCCAAGATTGATATCAACGAAGACGATGTTTTGGCCACTAGTATGTTGTTTATTGTCGCTGGATATGAAACTACCGCTTCTTTGTTGACATTTTTGACATACAATTTGGCGATGAATGACGACTGCCAACAAAAATTGTACGAAGAAATCAAACAATTTGATGGCAACTATACCTATGAGTCCATCTCAAAGATGCCATATCTTGAGGCGTGTATTGCAGAAACACTTCGTATTTACAATCCATTGATTTTTGTCAATAGAATGGCTGCTGAAGATTATAAATTGGGTTTGTTTTGTTATTTATTTTATTTATTATTATAATTTTTATTATAAATTACAATTTATTTGTTATTATTTTAGGCGATACCGGTATAACTTTACCAAAGAAAACTGTTATTAGCGCTAACATCCAATATATACATCACAGTCCCGAATATTATCCCGAACCCGATCGTTGGAATCCCGAACGGTTTATGCCCTACAATCGGGATAAGTTAGTTCCCTATACTTATATGCCGTTTGGTTTGGGTCCCAGAAATTGTGTGGGAATGAGGTTTGCATTGATGGAGGCMAAGACAGCCGCAGCCCGTTTGGTCAATAAATATCGATTTATGCGGACAGACAAYACTCCCGATAAACTAAAACTYATGAAAATGCAATTTTTGCTTAAATGTGAAGAATTTAAAGTAGGAATTGAACATAGAGTGTAAAACTTATTTGACTTTTTATGGATATTTTTATAAACACATTATTTTAAACTATATTATAAAATTGTCTGATTAAACCATTATCTATAGTTTAAATATAATGTATTTTATAAATTAAAATTATWGTTTTAAAATTAATAATAATAATATTAAATAAATTATATACTGTATATTTATTGTTTAATAGTTTTAAGTTATCAATTAATATAAAAAATTACATTACTAACTAATTTGATTTAACTACTTGATTATACAAGTAATATAAGTTAAATATTATAATTAGAAATCTGTTTTATTTTCATTTAATCAAAATAATAAAATATTATTTATAATAATATAAAAATTATTAAATTTGCTKTACTAATTATTAGTTTGTTTCAATATATATAAATATTTGTCATAATAATGATAATAATAATAATATAATTAAATTCTATTAATATAACWATTTYTATTATACAAGCAAAATAAGACATTACTTTGATATTTTGTTTAGTTTTATGAATATTTAATTTTCATTCATTATAATAAGTTTATTATATATACATTATGACAAAATATTAGATTTTTTTTAATCATTTATGTTGTTATTGTCATACAATTCAATCACTAAAAACTAGTTATTTTAATATTAGTATAGCCTTGAAAATATTACTGATTACATTGATATATTGTAATTAACACATTAAGTACATTAAGTTTATAAATAAATTGGATTTATTATATTTATATAAATATATAGTCATTAAATTATCAATAGATATTTAATTTAATTTAAATGTCATTTTTTTTGTATTATGACAACTTAAAAATAAAACTTAATATAAGTAAATAATAATAATAATAATAATAATAATTTTGTACAACAAAAGTAGTAGTGTATACATAAAAAATCAAATAAAATGATTTACTTGTTAATAACAATTATTATTATTTTGTTATTATTATACTAGTAAGTAATTATATAACTAATAATTATATAAAAATTGTAATAATATTTAATCTGATTTTATTATTATTATTTTTAAATATACAGTTACACTACCCGTAACTTTACCTATTGGTCATCGCGTGGTATTACTGGACCGAAACCGTATCCAATATTAGGCAATTTATTTTCAAATTTTATAAAACCACTTCCCGACCTATTGTTGGATAATCATAAAACTTATGGCAAAGTTTACGGGTATATATATATATATAATATATATATATATATATATATATATTACATAAATATTGTACTATTTTATATATATACAAAAAATTTATTTACATACAAAAAAACAGTACATATTTGGGTAKTCGACCAGTACTTAACGTATCGGATCCACAATTAKTAAAAGATATGAATATTAAAGACTTTCATGTGTTTGTCGACMGAAACGACTTTAATTTTGTCGACGAATTACAAGAAAGATCTTTATTTAATCTAAARGGGAATCAATGGAAAAATATGCGATCAATTGTATTATCAATTAAATATATATATTMTWTTAAAAAATAAAATTTCAAAAATAATTTTATTTATATAGATATCGCCGACCTTTTCGTCGGGCAAAATGCGTGCAATGCATCCGATTATCATTGATTGTGTTCATCGTTTGGATGAATATCTGGAGCCAAAAGCCGTCAACAAAGAGACAATTGAAATGAAGAAAACAATGGGTTGTCTGACAATGGATGTGATCGCTGGCTGTGCTTTCGGTACCAAAATAGACACATATAATGACCGAAAGCCGAGTGAGTTTGTCATTAATGCCCAGAAGGTGTTTACTGTTAGTTTCAGATCCATTGTATTCATGATTATGCTATCGTTGAGTTCAAAATTAATTCAAATAACTGGACTTAAATTTACGGCGCCTTCAGTTGAAAATTTTTTTACACAAGCGGTCAGTTATTATAGCTAAAAACAATTAACTTCATAATAAAATAATTTTTTTTATTTTGTAAATTTTAGATCCAATCAATTATAGCTAAACGAAAGTCTGAAAAACATCGAAAATATAAAGACTATTTGCAACTGATTTTGGACGCAAAAGACAAAACATTGGACATCAATGAGGAACAGTTGGTCATCAGTGGTGATCAAAGTGAAGAAATTTACGGACAGTTAGACGATAAGGCAATAAGCAAATCGATAATTAACAAAATAGACATAACCGACACCGACATACTGGCCTCRTCTTTCTTGTTTCTAGTGGCTGGCTATGAGACTACCGGTTCTCTGTTGTCATTACTAGTCTATAGACTGGCATTGGATGAGAAATGTCAGCAAAAATTATATGAAGAAATTAAACAATTTGATGGTCAATACGATAATTACGAGACAATCGCYAAAATGCCATATCTTGAGGCCTGTATAGCGGAAACACTTAGAATCTATAATCCCTTACCAATGATCGGTCGGATGGCATCACAAGACTATAGAATTGGTATTAAAAAAACACATATTAATTACTATTTAATATATAATTATTTCAATTATAATTTATGTTTATATAAATAGAGAGTATTGGACTAACATTACCAAAGGGAATGCTCGTTAACTTTGATATACAATCACTACATCACAATCCCGAATATTATCCCGAACCCGATCGTTGGGATCCCGAACGGTTTATGCCCTACAATCGGGATAAGTTAGTTCCCTATACTTATATGCCGTTTGGTTTGGGTCCCAGAAATTGTGTGGGAATGAGGTTTGCATTGATGGAGRCMAAGACAGCGGTCGTCTATTTGTTAAATAAATATCATTTTTTTCGGACACCGAAAACAAAATTGCAGTTAAAAGCACCGATTATGCAATTTTTGCTTAATTTGAAACCAATTGATATCGGTATTGAATTGAGACAAACTAATTAATTAAGTTTAGTTACTAAAATAAAAGAAAATTAAAAATTAAAAACTTGTTTGCAATATAATTGTTATTAATGTAAACAAATTATCTGTTATGTATTGTATATATAAAAAATAAATCTTATAAATAAATAAATAATTAATTAATTACCGGTACTTGATAATAATTTATATTTTATTGAATCTATGCTGTTAAATATATATATATAAATTATATAATTAATAGTTTATTTTTTTAAATACTCTAGATAAAATCATATTAAACTTTACATACTTTACAATATACTATAAAATTTAATATTAAATTATGATTGTAATAAATTATTAACTATTATTATTATTATTACTAATAATAATAATAATAGTTAGTAACAAAATTTATTATAATAACTTTTAGTCTATGTATTATGTTTTGAAATTTATATTTATTTTCAATTAACCTTGATAATACTATATATATAGACTTGTAGTCCGTGACGTCCCTTTAAAAAATAATAATAATAATAATTTTAACTAATAACTTGTTTATTGACAATAAATTATTATTATTATTATTATTATTATTATTAGTTATAAATTGTTGATATGTTTTTTGTATAAAAAAAAGTGATATCACGGACTACATAAGCACTCATTGAATCCTATGTTCATTATATGATTATTGGTTTAAATCAAATTTTATCAATTTTKATATATTTATTAATATACAGTTTATATATATACAGTACTATTCATTCAAATGTCAATCATATAAATAGTCTTTAAAAAAAACATTTAGTATATAATATTATAATAAATTTTTCAAACTATTATWATATAATAATAATATTAATATTTTCTAATATAGACTAACATTGTTTTATTCTATTAGTATATTAATTTCAATTATAATTATTTTAATAATAATAATAAAAAATGATTTACTTAATCATAACGATTATTGTTATTTTATTATCAATATTAGTATATTATTCGTAAGTATTGTATAAAATATATATAGATATCATTTATTTAAAATGCAATTCTAGATATAATTAATTTTTAATAAAATATTTAATTATAATTATAATAGTAATAATAAAAGTGAAGATACCTATTGGTCATCCCGTGGTATTCCTGGTCCAAAACAGTCTCTATTTGGGAGAATAATTAAATTTTTTACAATGAGTATACAGGAAACGGTTTTTGATAATTATAAAAAATATGGCAAAGTTTATGGGTTTGTTTGTGTTTTTTTTCTTAATAAAAAAAAGATTGAAATTATTAAGTAAAGGTTTTATAATAACTGTAAAAAAGTGTAAATTTAGGTAATCGACCAGTTCTTGGTATATCAGATCCACAATTAGTTAAAGAGATGAATATTAAAGACTTTCATGTGTTTACCGATCGAAACGACTTTTCATTTAACGATGAATTACAGGACAGGTCTTTGTCTAATCTAAGGGGAAATGAATGGAAAAATATGCGATCAATTGTATTATCAATTATATATATATATAATTAATATATCTGTTTTTTTTAAATTAAATATTTTATTTATATAGATATCGCCAACCTTTTCGTCGGGCAAAATGCGTGCAATGCATCCGATTATCATTGATTGTGTTCATCGTTTGGATCAATATCTGGAACCAAAAGCCGTCAACAAAGAGACAATTGAAATGAAGAAAACAATGGGTTCGCTGACAATGGATGTGATAGCTGCCTGTGCTTTCGGTACCCAAATAGACACATATAATGACCGTAAGCCCAGTGAGTTTGTTAGGTATGGCCAGAAAACGTTTACTGTCGGCTGGAGATTATTAGTATTCATACTATTGATGTCTTTTGGCAAAAAAGTTATGAAAGCCGTAGGATTTAAATTGACACCGCCGTCGGTCACAAATTTTTTCAGTCAAGCGGTCAGTTGTGTTGTCACTAATAATTTAATGCCAAACAAACTTAATGTTATTTTTTGTTGTCTTTGTTTATTACAGATTCAATCAATTATAGTTCAACGAAAATCTGAGACAAATCTGAAACATAAAGATTATTTGCAATTGATTTTAGACGCAAAAAATAAAACACTTGACACAAGCGATGATAAAGATATCATCGGCAGTGAAAATAGTGAACAAATTTACGGACAATCAGATGATAAGACAGATAATAAAACAATTAACAAAATAGATATCACAGACACCGATGTCTTGGCCTCGTCTTTCATATTTTTTGTGGCCGGCTATGAAACTACTGGTTCTCTGTTGTCATTACTTTTCTATAGACTGGCATTGGATGAGAAATGTCAGCAAAAATTATATGAAGAAATACAACGATTTGATGGTCAATACGATGATTACGAGACAATCGCTAAAATGCATTATTTGGAGGCATGTATTGCGGAAACACTTAGACTTTACAATCCGGTTGCGTCTCTACAGAGAATTGCATCACAAGATTATACAATTGGTATTTAAAAATATTTAATTAAATTTATTTTTTTTATATATATATATATATATTTATTTCATATGATATATGTTTATATATCATAGAAAGTATTGGCTTAGAAATACCGAAAGGAATGATTGTCAACTTTGATGTCGAAACTTTGCATCACAATCCCGACTACTATCCCGAACCCGATCGTTGGGATCCCGAACGGTTTATGCCCTACAATCGGGATAAGTTAGTTCCCTATACTTATATGCCGTTTGGTTTGGGTCCCAGAAATTGTGTGGGAATGAGGTTTGCATTGATGGARGCAAAGACAGCCACAGCTTATTTGGTCAATAAATATCACTTTTTTCGGACACCGAAAACCCAAATACCATTGATTGAAATGAAAATGCAATTTTTGCGTAATTTTAAGTCTATTGATATCGGTTTAGAATTGAGATAATATTTGTTAAAATTTTTTTATTATATAAATGTATATAAAAATCTTTTCAAAATAACAACAACAACAAAAATCTCACTTATTATAAATTTTATTACTATTACTAATAAATATAACTAAATACTAAACTAAAATAGTCATTTATTAGATAAACAATTGATTCATTTATGTTGAAATTAAATTAACTCATATGACGACTATATTTATCAAAATTTGTCGTATATTTGCTCAATAAATATCACTTTTTTTTCGGACACCGAAAACTAAATTGCAGCTAAAATCACAAATTATCACAATTTTTGCTTAAATTGAAACCAATTGATTTGACAGCGTTTATAAACTTTTATATAACTTTTATAAACTAACATTTTCTATGCAATAGAATTGTTATTGAAATAGTTAATTATCAATATTAGTTATTGTATAAAAAAATAATAATTATATTTTATTGAAACTATGCTATATAAATATATAAATAATATAATTAATAGTTACTAAATAATTTAGTTATATTGTTATTATTAGTTATTATTATTATTAGATAGGCTTCTGCTTAATAGAGATATTATGTAGAGGTAGTACTGTATTAGCAATTAGTATAAACAAAACTATATCATGTATTTGATTAAATAATATTATAAATATTTATAATTTATTATTATAGCTATGATATTGTTTAATAAATTAGTAAATGATACAAATAAACATAATATTATTAAATCATATTAATATATAACTATTATATTTATTAGATAATTGAATAACTAAAATTTGTTTAGTTTTTTAACACTATTTTTTTCAGTCTAACCTTGAACATCTTACAAACCCACTATATTTATGTTTATTTATAGTATATAATTATAGTATATGATTATATTGACATTAAATGCACTGTATATATATATATATACATATGTACCTTATAAGCTATAATTTAGATTATCAATGTTAAACGACAAAATAATTAATAATTAATAAATAGAAAATTTTAGTATTATTCCATAAAACTATTATTATAAGAATATTTAATAATAATATTAAATTTTTAATATTTAAAAAGTTTTGATCAAATTTTGTTTTTGATTAGTATATTATTGTATTTTTTTTGTCTATTATTCTATAAATAAAAAATGTTTTACTTAATCATTGCGATAATTGTTATTTTATTAACAATATTATTATATTATTAGTAAGTATTGTCTAATAAATTCATTAAAAAAAATACTAGAAAATAAATTTTTAATAAAATAAAAAAAATTTCTAATTCTAACAGTAACTATAAAAGTAAAGATACCTATTGGTCATCCCGTGGTATTCCTGGTCCCAACCCGTATCTGTTTGAGAGAATAATTAAATTTTGTACAATGAGTATTCATGAAACGGTTATTGATAATTATAAAAAATATGGCAAAGTTTATGGGTTTGTTTGTTTTTAATTAAATAAAAAGATAAATATATATATATATATATATATATATATATATATTGTTTTATTTAATTATCTATTTGTTAAAAACAGTATAAATTTGGCAAATCGACCAGTTCTTGGTATATCTGATCCACAATTAGTTAAAGAGATAATGATTAAAGACTTTCATGTGTTTACCGATCGAAACTACTTTTCATTTAACGATGAATTACAGGACAGGGCTTTGACTAATCTAAGGGGAATTGAATGGAAAAATATGCGGTTCAATTGTATTATCAATTATATATATATATATATATACAGTATATAAATATATTTAATAAATCATTTTATTCGTAGATATCACCGACCTTTTCGTCGGGCAAAATGCGTGCAATGCATCCGATTATCATTGATTGTGTTCATCGTTTGGATCAATATCTTGAGCCAAAAGCCGTCAACAAAGAGACAATTGAAATGAAGAAAACAATGGGTTCGCTAACAATGGATGTTATAGCTGCCTGTGCTTTCGGTACCCAAATAGACACATATAATGACCGTAAGCCCAGTGAGTTTGTCAGGTATGGCCAGAAAACGTTTACTGTCGGCTGGAGATTATTAGTATTCATGTTAGTGATGTCTTTGGGTGAAACTGTCAAAAAATTGGTTAAATTTAAATTGACACCGCCGTCGGTCACAAATTTTTTCAGTCAAGCGGTCAGTTAATGTTGTCACTATCAATAACTTAAGTGTCAAACACTTGAATGTTGACTGAGAATGTGTTTTGTTTGTTTGTTTGATTTATTACAGATTCAATCAATTATAGTTCAATGAAAATCTGAGAAAAATCTGAAACATAAAGATTATTTGCAATTGATTTTAGACGCAAGGAATGTACGTAAACTTTGATATCGAAACTTTACACCGCAATCCCGAATACTATCCCGAACCCGATCGTTGGGATCCCGAAAGGTTTATGCCCTACAATCGGGATAAGTTAGTTCCCTATACTTATATGCCGTTTGGTTTGGGTCCCAGAAATTGTGTGGGAATGAGGTTTGCATTGATGGAAGCAAAGACAGCCACAGCCTATTTGGTCAATAAATATCACTTTTTTCGGACATCAAAAACCCAAATACCATTGATTGAAATGAAAATGCAATTATTACGTAACTATAAGTCTATCGACATCGGTATTGAGTTGAGATAAAATTTTGTTAAAAGTTTTATTATATTACTGTAATGTATAAAAAATAAATCTTTTCCTCAAAATAACAACAACAAAAATTTCACWCATTTTTATGTTTATTGAAATCTATAATTATAAATCTAATTGTAATAACTATTACTAATAAATAAACTATAATTTTCATGGTATTTATTTTAAAATTAAATTAACTCATATGACGACTATATTTATCAAAATTTGTCGTATATTTGCTCAATAAATATCACTTTTTTTTCGGACACCGAAAACTAAATTGCAGCTAAAATCACAAATTATCACAATTTTTACCTGAATTGAAACCAATTGATTTTGATATCAGCATTGAATTGAGACAAACTAATTAAATTAGTTAATTATTATTATTTTATTAATTATTACTTATTAGGTATTAGCTATTGTATACAAAAAATAATAATATTAGTAAATCCTATAAATATATAACTATTTTTAATTTTATTATTGTACAACTAAAACTTATTATTAGTTGTAACATTACTTTTTCAGTCTAACCTTGAATATTTTATTGATATTACAAATTATTTACATTAAATATACTGTATAAGCTATAATTTAGATTATTAAAGTTAAATGACAAACTAATAAATAGTCAAAATAATTATTTAATAAAAACCTTGAATATAAAATCATATAATAGATTTTGTAAATAATTATTTAATAAAAATATTTAATAATATTAAATTTTATAATATTATTTACAATATCAACCAAAATTGTTTTTTTTAATTAGTATATTATTGTATTTTATTTGTCATTTATTCTATAATATAAAAAATGATCTATTTAATCATAACGATTATTGTTATTTTATTATCAATATTAGTATATTATTAGTAAGTATTGTATAATTTTGTTTATATATTATGAAAAATTTACTGTTAAATAATATAAAAAATTATTAATATATAATTAATAGTTACACTACAAGTACAGATAACTATTGGTCATCCCGTGGTATTCCTGGACCCAAACCGTATCCAATAGTTAGTACACTTAAAGATATGTTTACAATGAGTATACAGCAAATGATTTTAGATAATTACAAAAAATATGGCAAAGTTTATGGGTTTGTATTTTTATTTCTTAGATATTTAATATTAAGTAATAAATTATATATTTAATGAATAAAAAAAAATCTAATATATTGTTTTTTTTCTCAATTATCATTTTTTTTAAAAATAAAAACCAACTATAAATCAGTGCATATATGGGCAATAAACCAGCACTTGGTATATCAGATCCACAATTAGTTAAAGAGATGAATATTAAAGACTTTCATGTGTTTACCGATAGACAAGAGTTTTTATTTGGAGATGAATTACAGGACAGGGCTTTGTCTAATCTAAGGGGAAATGAATGGAAAAATATGCGATCAATTGTATTGTTAATTCATATATATTTATATTAAAAATATTAATAATTTTATTTATATAGATATCGCCGACCTTTTCGTCGGGCAAAATGCGTGCAATGCATCCGATTATCATTGATTGTGTTCATTGTTTGGACGAATATCTGGAACCAAAAGCCGTCAACAAAGAGACAATTGAAATGAAGAAAACAATGGGTTGTCTGACAATGGATGTGATCGCTGGCTGTGCTTTCGGTACCAAAATAGACGTATATAATGACCGAAAGCCCAGTGAGTTTGTCATGAATGCCCAGAAGGTGTTTACTATAGGCTGGAGATTCTTAGTATTTATAATATTGATGTCTTTGGGCGAAAATGTTAAGAAATTGATAGGATTTAAATTGACACCGCCGTCGGTCACAAACTTTTTTACTCAAGCGGTCAGTTGTATTGTCACTAAATAATTAAATGACAAAAAACTTGGATGTTATCTCCAATAATAATAAATGATTTTTTTTAAAAATAAATTTCAGATTCAATCAATTATAGTTCAACGAAAATCCGAGAAAAATGTCAAACATAAAGATTATTTGCAATTGATTTTAGACGCAAAAAATAAAACACTTGACACTAGCGATGATAAAGACATCGGCAGTGAAAATAGTGAACAAATTTACGGACAATCAGACGATAAGACAGATAGCAAAACAATTAACAAAATAGATATCACAGACACCGATGTCTTGGCCTCGTCTTTCATATTTTTTGTGGCCGGCTATGAGACTACTGGTTCTCTGTTGTCATTACTTTTCTATAGACTGGCATTGGATGAGAAATGTCAGCAAAAATTATATAAAGAAATACAGCGATTTGATGGTCAATACGATGATTACGAGACAATCGCTAAAATGCATTATTTGGAGGCATGTATTGCGGAAACACTTAGACTTTACAATCCGGTTGCGTCCACACAAAGAATTGCGTCACAAGATTATACTATTGGTATTTAAAATTATTATTTAAAAATATTTTTTATATAATTATTTATTAAAAATGTTTTTTTTATTAAAGAAAGTATTGGCTTAGAAATATCGAAAGGATGTGTTGTTAGCTTTGATGTCGAAACTTTACATCACAATCCCGAATACTATCCCGAACCCGATAGTTGGGATCCCGAAAGGTTTATGCCCTACAATCGGGATAAGTTAGTTCCCTATACTTATATGCCGTTTGGTTTGGGTCCCAGAAATTGTGTGGGAATGAGGTTTGCATTGATGGAAGCAAAGACAGCCACAGCCTATTTGGTCAATAAATATCACTTTTTTCGGACACCGAAAACCCAAATACCATTGATTGAAATGAAAATGCAATTTTTGCGTAATTTTAAGTCTATTGATATCGGTATTGAGTTGAGATAAAATTATTTTTAAAGTTTATATTAATGTATTATATTTGACTAATAATTCAAAAAATGTTTACAATATTAAAAAAATCAAAATTATGCTCATTTTAAAATTTAATTGAAATTACTATTTTAAATCTTAAATCTTTAAATGTTAAAAAATTATAAGTAAATTAAATGTATTCATTTTTTTAATTTATATCAATGGCTACAATTATTTTATAATATATTATTTTTTTGTTATTAATCAAATATGACCTTGATAATTTTATTTAGCAACATTAGTTGGTTGTAGTTAAAGTACCCAATGTATTTTAATATGTTCATCGATATAATAGCACTATCAAAATTCAATAGCAAACATGTAAATAGTAATAAAAAAACTAAAATTATATAAAACTAAAATTATAAAAATAATAAAACAATATTTAATAATATTAAATTCCATTATTTACAATATAAACTAACATTGTTTTTTATTAATATATTTATTAGTATATATATATATAGCAAATATGACCTTGATACTGTCTTGATTATTGTAGTTGTAGCTAATCTACCTAATGTTGTAGTTAATGTACTTAAAAGATAAATAAATTGTAGATATTATATAATTTTATTGTTAAAAAAACTTTGAGGACTATAATTAGGTTTAGAGTAAATAATATTTATCTAAATATCTAAAAAAATCTCCTAAACGTATAAATATGAAACACTATTTATTGCGATTCAACATTATTATAAAACATTAATATAAAACTAAATTATTATTAAATAATAAACTAAAGCTATATTACAGTATTTATTAATTTGAATATGTTTATTTAGAAATCTATGATTAAAAAACATTAATAATTTGTTGATATATACTTTACAATATGTTTTTTAATATATTAATTGTGATTATAACTATACTTGTGGTCAGCTATTTGTAAGTTAATTAATATACATATGTATATTGATATTTCATTTTTTTGATATTATTAATATTAATTAAAATTTTTCTATTGTTAATTATAAAAAAATATAACATAAATTTTATAACAGATATTTGACACGTAATTTCAAATTTTGGACCTCCCGTGGTGTTCCCGGACCTAAACCCGTACCAATTTTCGGTACATTTTATAAAAACTTTTTTAAATCCATGCAAGAGGTTTCCATTGATAATGTCAAACAATACGGCAAAATCTATGGGTTTGTATTTATATCATATATATATATATAGTAGTGTATATTACAGTATATAAATACATAGACTTTAACAGATTTTATAAACTTAATTGAAACCAATTTTTTATATATATTAAAAAATAATAATAAATATATAAAAATTAATAATGATTATTATTATTTATTTATTTTTTGATGGTCAGCGATTTTTTCGGAACAATTCCAATGCTGTCTATAGCTGATCCTAAACTGATTAAAGATATAATGATTAAAGATTTCAATATATTTGTCGATAGAGATGACCTAATATCTGGTGATCAGCTTAACGATAGATCACTGTTTAATCTTAAAGGAAATGAATGGAAAAATATGCGATCAATTGTATTATATATTAATATAATCTGATAAATAATTAGTTTTTTAAAAAAACTAGAAAAGCAATTAATTGATTAATTAATTCATTAGATAAGTCCGACATTTTCGTCGGGAAAAATGCGTGCAATGCATCATATGATGGCTGATTGTATTCATCGATTGGATCAATACATTGAAACGAAATTACAAAACAAAGACATCGATGAAATTGAATTGAAAAAAGTGATGTCCAATCTGACTATGGATGTGATCGCTTCGTGCGCTTTCGGTACTAAAGTCGATACCTATGGTCAACAAAGAAGCGATTTTCTAATTAATGCCCAAAAAGTGGTTAACTTAGACTTAAGATTTTGGATTTCATTTCTAATTTTAACAATTAGTCCCAAACTGTTTAAGTTGGCTGGCCTTAAGCTGACTGATCCAAATGTGGCCAAATTTTTCAATAAAGCTGTACTAATTTTTTAAAAATTAATTATTAATTTATATATTTAATACAAATTTATTTATTTAATAAATATTAGATCCGATCGATAGTCAGTCGCCGAAAGACTGAAAGTATTAAAAGTAAAGACTATTTGCAACTGATTTTGGACGCACAGAATAAATCACTGGACACAAATGACGACAAAGATATCGGTGGTGACAATAGTGAAGAGATTTATGGATCAATTGGTGATAAACACGCGCCGTCCGACAAAATTGATATCACTGATGATGATGTGTTGGCTACAAGTTTTTTGTTTTTCGTTGCCGGCTATGAAACTACCGGATCGCTGATGACATTATTGTTATACAATTTGGCGATGAATGACGACTGTCAACAAAAACTGTACGAAGAAATCAAACAATTTGATGGCAACTATACCTATGAGTCCATCTCAAAGATGACATATCTTGAGGCGTGTATTGCAGAAACTCTTGGTTTATATAATCCGTTGGTTACTGTCGAAAGAATTTCAACTAAAGATTATACATTAGGTTTGAATTTTATATTCATTTATTATATACTCTACATATAGTGTATACTGTTATAGTATTTCATAGTATTATTACTTTTATTACTTTTTCCAAAATAATTGTCTTTATTATAAACAATATCTGTAAAGCACACAAAAAATACTATTATTATTCATTATATGTATTATTATTTTTACTCAATTAATATCTAAATCATTCAATAAGTATAACAATATTTAATGTAACCAACAAATGATTTTTAATTATGTTTATTTATTATTAATTTTTAAGGCGATACCGGCATAACTATACCAAAAGGTACACTTGTTAGCGCTAACATCCAATATATACATCACAATCCCGACTACTATCCCGAACCCGATCGTTGGAATCCCGAACGGTTTATGCCCTACAATCGGGATAAGTTAGTTCCCTATACTTATATGCCGTTTGGTTTGGGTCCCAGAAATTGTGTGGGAATGAGGTTTGCATTGATGGAAGCAAAGACAGCCACAGCCTATTTGGTCAATAAATATCAATTTGTGCGGACAGACAACACTCCCGATAAACTAAAACCACTGAAAATGCAATTTTTATTAAATTGCGGAGAAATTAAAATCGGAGTTAAAAAGAGATAGTAAAAAGTCATGTTATTTTAAATAAAAAATTTAATAAAACTAATATTTGAATCACTTTATATAGATATTTATCTAAAAAATAAAAATAAAGAATATAGTTTATATATATATTATACTTAATAATTTAATAACTGTATAAAAATTTTATATTGTATTATATTTTTTTTGTTTATATATTACGAAAAATTTATTGTTAAAAAATAAAATTTTTATTAATATATAATTAATAGTTACACTACAAGAAAAGATAACTATTGGTCATCCCGTGGTATTCCTGGACCCAAACCGTATCCAATAGTTAGTACATTTAAACATATGTTTACAATGTGTATACAGGAAATGATTTTAGATAATTACAAAAAATATGGCAAAGTTTATGGGTTTGTATTTTTTTCTTAAAAATTTAATATTAAGTAATAAATTATATATCAATATTTAATGAAAAAAATCTAATATATTATTATTATAAATTTAATATTTTCATGTGTGCAAAATTTTTAATTAATTTCAATATGAATATAAAAGAATATTTTGTAAAAATAATTATTTATATAAAATAAAAGCAATTAATTTAAATAAGATAATATATTTATCTGTATATATATAATTGTATAATATAATGTATTTATAAATATAATGTAATTATATTCACTAATATAATAAGCAGTAATTTTATAATGTAATTTATGATTAGTTAAAAACAATTCAGTATATTAATTAAATAATTATAAATATAAAGTTTTACGCTAATCATTATATAAACAGTATTTTATTTTATTGTTTTTTTTGTAAAAAAAACATTTCTAATTTAATAAATTGCGAAATGTTTTATTTGATTCAATTTTTATATTTAATTTAAATTTAATTTAAAATATTATTATATACTAATGTACTATAATTTTATTATTATATATATACTGCACATTATATTATATTTATTTTTATGACATTTTGATTTACACACTATTTGATAGTTATATCATATCACTTATATAAAAAACTATAATTTATATATAATAATAATATGTTTTATAATTTACTCTAATTCTTAATTAATTAAAAAAAAATCTATTATTTTAAAATTCATTGTTTTTTTTACTTAACGGCGCAAACTATGCAAAATCATCATTAATTATCAGTTTTAGTTAAATTTTACTTCATTTATATAAGTATCATCAAAACTTAACTATAATAAACATTAACTATAATATTAATATTTAATTTTTTCTGATAAATACATTTACAATATGTTTCTGAATATATTAATTGCGATCATAATTATACTTGTGGTCAGCTATTTGTAAGTTAATTAATATTTATACATATATATATATATTAATATTTCATTTTAATATTATAATAATAATTAAAAAAATTATTGTTAATATAAAAATATAAAACAAATTTACAATAGATATCTGACAAGTAATTTCAAATTTTGGACCTCCCGTGGCGTTTCCGGACCCAAACCGATACCAATTTTTGGTACATTTTATAAATACATTACAAAATCCCGTCAACAGGTGTGCATCGAAAATGTTAAACAATACGGCAAAATCTATGGGTTTGTATTTTTATATATATATATTAAACAAAATTTTAAATAATTATATATATATAAATATATATATAAATAAATGTATGATTAATAATGATTTTATTTTTTGTATTTTATTGGTTAGCGATTACTTAGGAAAGTCTCCAATACTGACTATAGCTGATCCTAAACTGATTAAAGATATTATGATTAAAGATTTCAATATATTTGTCGATAGAGATAAAGTAATAACTGATGACAAACTTCACGATAGATCACTGTTTAATCTTAAAGGAAATGAATGGAAAAATATGCGATCAATTGTATTATATATATATATATTTATATATTATCTAATAAATAATTATTTAAAAAAAGATAAATAATTATTAAAATCAACAATTAATTCATATATTATAGATAACTCCGACATTTTCGTCGGGAAAAATTCGTTCAATGAATAATATGATGACTGATTGTATTCACCGATTGGATCAATATATTGAAACTAAATTAAAAAACAAAGACATCGATGAAATTGAATTGAAAAAATTGATGTCCAGTCTGACTATGGATGTGATCGCTTCGTGCGCTTTCGGTACTAAAGTCGATACCTATGGTCAACAAAGTTGTGATTTTCTAATAAATGCCCAAAAAGTGGTGAAATTTGACTTAAGATTTTTGTTTTCAATTTTTTTGTTGAATATCAGTCCCAAACTGTTTAAGTTGATTGGCCTTCAACTGATTAATCCAAATGTGGCCACATTTTTCAAAAAAGCTGTACTTATTTTTAAAAAAATTAATTATTAATTCATAAATTTAATTAAAATATATTTAATTAATAAATATTAGATCCGATCGATAGTCAGTCGCCGAAAGACTGAAACTATTAAAAGTAAAGACTATTTGCAATTGATTTTGAACGCACAGAACAAAACACTGGACACCAGTTATGACAATGATATCGGTGGTGACAATAGTGAAGAGATTTATGGATCAACTGGTGATAAACACGCGCCGACCGACAAGATTGATATCACTGATGATGATGTGTTGGCCACAAGTTTTTTGTTTTTCTTTGCCGGCTATGAAACTACCGGATCGCTGATGACATTATTGTTATACAATTTGACGGTGAATGACGATTGTCAACAAAAATTGTACGAAGAAATCAAACAATTTGATGGCAACTATACCTATGAGTCCATCTCAAAGATGGTATATCTTGAGGCGTGTATTGCAGAAACACTTCGTTTATATAATCCGTTGGTTACTGTCGACAGAATTTCAACTAAAGATTATTCATTAGGTTTGCAATTTATGTTCATTTAATATATAGTCTACATATACTGTATATATTATATATATATATTATTATTATTATATATATTATAAATCCACCTAACAGTGGATAACCAATTAACGGACGGATAAACTAAATAATTAAATATTTATGTTATTTGTTAATCAATTGTTGTCATAAAGGGGTCATTTGAGAGCTATTTATATGCCCTCTCATAAAGTAATGTAAAATTAGTAAAAAAATTGGACACAAATTCACAATTAGATCCCAATTAGGACAACGTCTGGTTAACGCAATAGTGGATGAAATAAAGGGTAAGTTTGAAAATTAATTATAATTAAACTAATAATTAATTAATTAATTTTTTATTTTTTATATACAGGTTAAATATCTAAGAAAATATTAGTAAAGAGAATAAATTTTTAAAAAATTTTAAAAATAGTTTTATTAATTTATTAAATTATTTTTCTCTAATCCCCATTCAGCGGACGGACCACAAAACATTGAATTAAAAATTTTTGTCCATAAATTATGACCAAAAATTAAAAATTGTATAAAATCATTAGATTATACCGTATGACCTCACATTAAATGATTTTCACAATTTTTACCGTATAACCTCACATATAAATGATTTTCACAATTTTTACCGTATAACCTCACATTTAAATGATTTTCACAATTTTTACCGTATAACCTCACATTTAAATGATTTTCTCAATTTTTACCGTATAACCTCACATTTAAATGATTTTCTCAATTTTTACCGTATAACCTCACATTTAAATGATTCTCAATTTTTACCGTATAGCCTCACATTTAAATGATTTTCACAATTTTTACCATATAACTATTTTTAATATGGGAATACGGTACTTTTTCAAAAAAACTATTTTTAATATGGGAATACGGTACTTTTTCAAAAAAACTATTTTTAATATGGGAATACGGTACTTTATCAAAAAAAACTATTTTTAATATGGGAATACGGTACTTTTTCAAAAAAACTATTTTTAATATGGGAATACGGTACTTTATCAAAAAAAACTATTTTTAATATGGGAATACGGTACTTTATCAAAAAAACTATTTTTAATATGGGAATACGGTACTTTATCAAAAAAAACTATTTTTAATATGGGAATACGGTACTTTTTCAAAAAAACTATTTTTAATATGGGAATACGGTACTTTATCAAAAAAAACTATTTTTAATATGGGAATACGGTACTTTTTCAAAAAAACTATTTTTAATATGGGAATACGGTACTTTATCAAAAAAAACTATTTTTAATATGGGAATACGGTACTTTATCAAAAAAAACTATTTTTAATATGGGAATACGGTACTTTATCAAAAAAAACTATTTTTAATATGGGAATACGGTACTTTTTCAAAAAAACTATTTTTAATATGTGAATACGGTACTTTATCAAAAAAAACTATTTTTAATATGGGAATACGGTACTTTATCAAAAAAAACTATTTTTAATATGGGAATACGGTACTTTATCAAAAAAAACTATTTTTAATATGGGAATACGGTACTTTATCAAAAAAAACTATTTTTAATATGGGAATACGGTACTTTTTCAAAAAAAACTATTTTTAATATGGGAATACGGTATTAATTTTAAAAACATGAGTTAACTATGGGAAGACGGTAATATGATTGCTTATAAGATAGTTTAAATATATATTTGAGTTATTACGGTATTATTTCATATATAAATTAAAAAATATTATTTTCTTAATTAGTGACATAATTGATGCCCATTTTGATCGATAGATGTATTGTTTATATTATTTGTTATAATTTATCCGTCCGTTAAAAGGTTGATATATCATATATAAAGGACAGTAGTCGACCCTCATTACCGACCCCTACATAGAAGTGGCTTTGTGTGTATATCACTATATGTGATCTATTAGCTACAGTACGCTATACAATGTGATACATATTATGTATTATATAACACACTTAAACAAATTATAACTTATAATTTATAAGCATTGATATCATGTGTGTGAGACATAGCATCAAATTTTTAGGCAACACTTTCACAGAGTCTTAAACAGCGGCGGCGGAGGCGATGATATTAATTACAATTATATGGTCAACAATACATTCAATTAAAAAGTGACCAAGGGCAATGTTGTAGATAATTTTAAAATAAACAAAACTGTAATTGGTCATTTTTTTTATTAATTGTATGATTGGCCAGATAAATGCCAATCGACTATCATTTATAAATTTTTTTTAAACAGTCGACTGTAAATTATTAGCATATAATAAAATTTTATTAAAAAAAATGACCAGTTACAATTTTATTTATTTTAAATTTATCTACAACATTGCCCTTGGTCACTATTTAATTCAACCTATTGTTGATCACATATAATTGCAATTAATATCATCGCCTCCGCCTCCGCTGTTTAAGATTATCTGACACTTTCACAAAGTTTTCATAACATTTCAAAACTAATATTTCAAATTATTTGTCGCTATTACGGTCTCAATACTATCATTGAATAAAAAATATTTATAAAAAAACACAATTTATGTTTTAATTTAATAAAAAACGGGCCGTAATTACGGCCTTAAAAGTCTTGTTATATATATATATATACTGGTATAATGTTTGTTATTATTATTTTTATTTTTTTAAAAAAATAATGATCTTTATTATAAACAATATCTAAATAAAAAAACAATATTATTATTCATTAGTTGTAATATTAATTAATATTACAATATTATTGTTTTAATCATTAATATCTAAATCATAATTATCATAAATATTTATTTTTTTTTAAAATCACTTAATTAAATTTAAATATAGTTTTTATTATATATATTTTTAGGCGATACCGGTATAACTATACCAAAAGGAACGGTTGTTAGCGCTAACATTCAATATATACATCACAATCCCGAATACTATCCCGAACCCGATCGTTGGAATCCCGAACGGTTTATGCCCTACAATCGGGATAAGTTAGTTCCCTATACTTATATGCCGTTTGGTTTGGGTCCCAGAAATTGTGTGGGAATGAGGTTTGCATTGATGGAAGCAAAGACAGCCACAGCCTATTTGGTCAATAAATATCAATTTGTGCGGACAGACAACACTCCCGATAAACTAAAACCACTGAAAATGCAATTTTTATTAAATTGCGGAGAAATTAAAATCGGAGTTAAAAAGAGATAGTAAAAAGTCATGTTATCTTAAATTAAAAATTTAATAAAACTAATGTTTAAATCTCTTTAAATAGAAATTTGATCTAAAAAAATAATAGTTTTTTATTTGATAGATTAACCTAATTAAACATTATTGTATAAAATATCTAATAAATCTAAAATGTATTAAATTTGTTGAAAATTTTTTAAAAATATACATATATATTATAGCTAATGAAAAGTATTTTACAATAAATAATATTATATATTTTTAGTTAAAAAAAATTAATCAATAAAAAATTATAATTAAAATTTATTACATAATAATGTGTAACATAGAAAACAATAATACAATATTAATAATAACAATAATAAAGTGATAAAATGTTTACGTAGTTCACTATTATTAGTGAATTAACACTTTTTTTAATCAATAATAATGATTAATAAAAACCAGTTAAGAATGCTAGAAAGCATTTTCAGAAAAAAAACTTGAATAGCATTGAAAACCATTAGTTTGTATAATTATAGCGTCTATATAATAATATATAAAAATTTAAAAACTGGTCAAATATACATAATATAAATATTGTCATGTATGGTATCAAATGATTCAGTATGACAAAATAAGCTTAACTTTAGTCATGTAGGGTATCAAATGACTCGGTTTGACAAAATAAGTACTCATGTGTGGTATCAAATGATTTAGTATAACAAAATAATCATAAAAATAATTATACTTTTGCCTCTTATACTTATTCTTTTTGTTCCCGTAGATATCAAAATTTTAATGCATATTTTTATCCTTGTTTTTGATGCTTTATTCAAATCTATACTTAAAAAAAATTACTTAACATTTTTCTTATTTTGGCCGCCATTTTGTCTATGTTCCCGAAGAGATATCAAAATTTTGATGCAACTTTTCAATATATTATTAGTAGTCCTCTAACCGAATCTGAAGTCAGAATTTCAAAATTCGCAAAATGAAATGCTACAGACACACAGACACACACACTAAAAAGGCTCATATAGATTTCAGAAAACAAAACTTTTCAAGTTTTTTTGAAAATATATTTCTAGATAAACTTGATAATAGTTTAGTTGAATAAACTATAGAAATATTATACATTACATCTATATATATACTGTAAAATATTTTAGGATATAATCATTCAATTTGAAGGTCGTTCTCCAATATAATAATAATAATAATAATAATATAAATAGTAAACAGAAACCAGTATTACTACTACTGTAGTTTACATTAATGTATAGTTAGTAGCAGGGTTGGAAAAATACAAGGTTTTCAATTTCAACTTTGTAAAATACAGTAAAATACAATGTATTGGATGTATTTTACAATATAGAAAAATTACATTAACAATGATAAAATATTTATTTTTTTTATTAAAATGATTATTATTACATAATTTCAATATCGTTATTAGAATCGTTGTTTTCTAAAACTATTAAAAATTAATATTAATTATTTTATTAATATATTTCAATACCAGAATTAAATTGAATAGCTAATTTCAATTTTTTCAAAATAAAAAAATTATTATTATTACAAAACATGTGTTTGTTTGTGAATTTTAGTATTTTTGTTACTAGGTGGCGCTAAATTTTTTTTGTAAGCCAAAATTGTCATGTAATTTACATTGTATTATACTGTATAATACGCTTTGTATTATACATACACTTTGTCTCTGCCAACACTGGTTAGTAGTACTAACTTAGTTGTACAGTATAATTAAGAGAGAGAGAGAGAGAGAGAGAGAGAGAGAGAGAGAGAGAGAGAGAGAGAGAGAGAGAGAGAGAGAGAGAGAGAGAGAGAGAGAGAGAGTTTGTGCAGAATATTCATTGAATAGATTAGTTCGTGTCGTACCTAATGTACTGAATGACTATTGAAAACACAAATGTTTAGTATATAAACACACCGTATGTTTGCATTTGATTGCAATAAATCTGACAATTATTATTGAAAATACATTATAGTTGTTCACAACTTTTAGAAAATTTCATTGTTTTGTGCGATAACTTATTATTATTATTAAAATGTTTGACATAAGTTATACAACATTAGCTATCATTACTACAGCATCATTGACTGCACTTTATTTGTATGTATTAGTACCTATATATTAATATTAAACGAAAGTATATAAATGATATCAAAAATTTGTAAATAAAATTGATTTTTAACAGTTATTTGACCAAAAATTTTAACTACTGGTCATCCCGTGGCGTAAAAGGTCCGAAACCGGTCGTATTGTTTGGAAATGTTTGGGAATTGATTATCAAACGATTTCAACTGATAGAAGAGGACCGGTTAGCTAAATATGGATCTATCTATGGGTTAGTCATATTTATTACAAGTATTACAAATGTTGATAGATATGGTGTATGAATTTGGGAGAGTATTCGGTTAGACAGGTATTACACTCATTAGTTTATATTAAATATATGATAAACAATACATTTAATTTAAAGATGACCAAGGGGCATAATTATAGATAATATTAAAATCAACATTATTATAATTGGTTATTTTTTTATTAATTGTAAAATTAATTAGAAAATAGCATCCACATAAAATATTTAACTATTATCTACTATTATCTAATTAATTTTACATTTAATCAACAACAAAAAAAGACCAATTACAATAATGTTGAGTTTAATGCAATATCTACAATTATGCCCATGGTCATTTTTAAAATTGATTGTATAGTTTATCAGATATTTAATATAAACTAATTGATTGAATTGAATACCTGTCTAACCTGAATACTCTACCCAAATGCATACACCATATCTACCCATACTTGCAATACTGTTTAATGACTATTATATTTAATAATTATTTATTTTTATAAATATATATTTATATATATATATATTATATTAATATGGGTTTTTAATTTACAGTATATATATGGGCAAAGATCCGATGTTGGTTGTGGCCGATCCCGAGTTAATCAAAAACATTATGGTTAAAGATTTTCATATTTTTGTCAATCGCCGAGACTTGGGACCAATTGATGAAGTGATGGATCACGCGATGACCGTTGTTAAGGACGACGAATGGAAAAGACAGAGATCTATTGTAAGACAATTATCTATTTAACTACTAATAAATAACTAAACAAAATCCATGTGATTAACTTAAACTGTCGTTCAGGTGTCGCCGTCATTCACTACGGGAAAGTTGAGAAAAATGATGACATTAGTGGATCATTGCGCCCAAAGTGTCGACCGGGTCTTAGATAAGGTGGCCACTGATGGTAATGAAATAGAGATGAAGGGACTGATGGGCAACTATACCATGGATGTGATCGCCAGCTGTGCTTTTGCCACCAAAACCGACACTCATAACGACCCGAACAATCCGTTTGTTGTGAACGCCAAGTCATTGTTTTCGGGTAGTCTATGGAGAGGTGTCTTATTTTTATTGGCCAATCGTATGATGCGCTTCTTCAAGATATCTATTATCGATCCGTCTGTCTATAAGTTTTTCCTGAATGCCGTAAGTATTTCTTTCTTTTTTTTAGTGATATTTGATATACATTTGATATAATTTGTTGGATCAGATCAAAGAGATTATCAAACAAAGAAAAGAGGATCAAAGTGGTCACAAACACTACGACTTTCTTCAGCTGATGATTGACGCACAGAAAAAGGTTGACAACAATGTGACTGCTGTTGATGATGACAACAACAGCAGCAGCAGCGCCGATGACAAGCTTATGGATGCTGAAGCACATCACGGCCTGGAAGACAATAGCCGATTGTTGAAGAACAGAGACAAACTGGAAATCAAAGAGATTGATATATTAGCCACGAGTTTTGTTTTCTTTTTGGCCGGTTATGAGACAACGGCCACACTGTTGGCTCATTTGATCTATTCGTTGGCCATTAATCCGGAATCTCAGCAGAAATTGGTGGACGAAATCCGCGGTAATTGTGACGCCAGCGGCCATATTGATTACGAGACAATTATACGGTTGCCTTATTTGGACGCCTGTATATCGGAGACACTGCGTATGTATAGTCCGGCTCCGCAAACCGGTCGTGTAGCCTCTCAGGACTACAAATTAGGTAAACATATTATTTAACTTACTTTCCATACCAGTGCTCAACAAATTTGTAAAAATTATATCTTATAATTGTCTATTAAAATTTAAAAAAAAACAGGCGATACGGGAATAACAGTGGAAAAGGGTGTACACATAATCATACCGATTCACGCACTACACTACAACCCCGACTACTATCCCGAACCGAAACAGTTTCGACCGGAACGCTTTCTCCCGGAAAATCGTGATAAAATCATACCCTACACCTATCTGCCGTTTGGTGCCGGTCCGCGAAATTGTGTGGGTATGCGTTTCGCGCTTATGGAGGCCAAGACTGTAGTCGTCCGGACACTCATAAAGTATGAATTTGTACGAACAGCCAATACTAAAGTTCCCTTAAAGTACGTACAAAAGTCAACGTTCCCCATACCGACCGATATTACAATAGGCGTACAGTACAGGCAAACCGTTTAGGACTGATTAATAAATAATGTTTTTATTTCAATAATACAGTAATTCTATAGCTATTGAATATAATAATTTTATTTAATTATATTATTGTATTATAGCTATACATTATCTATTATATATACAGTTTTTATTATTGTAAATTTACTTATAATTAATTGTAAATATAATAATTGTCTGTATCATTTTAGTGATTGTATTGTTCATACTTTATATGTAGAGTATATATAACTATATATATATATATTATAATTTTTATTTATATTAAACTAGTTTATACTATTTCTTGCTTGATAACTCCATTATAATGATAAATGTTTTTTTTTAAATTATATATTACAATCTAATTATTTAATTTATTAAAATATATATACAAATATTATAACTTAGATAAAGCATAAATAAAGTGATATATTTATACAATAATTAATTAATTGTAATTGATAAATTATTATCTTAAAGTGTTAGTTATGATTATCAATATATTATTTGGTTGTTGTTATATACTGTATAATATATTATGATATGATATAATATATTATAAAAAAAACTGTTAATAGAATAAAAAAAGTTTGATAAAAACTTTTTTGATTATAATGTAAAATTATTTAACAATTTACCAAAAAAATATTAGAAATGAAATCAATTATAATAAAATAACTAATTTGCTTAATTGTTACTTTAAATAAATATGTAATTATATATATATATATATTATCATTTTTATTGTCATAAACATATATTGTAATTTAATTATGTAAATATTGTATTTCATAACAAGTATGTAAAATAAAGATTATTATTATACCGTTATTATATAGTACTAATATATAATTATTCATTAATAAAGTATAATTTAGCATTTTTTTCTTAAATACTTTAATGATATGAAATAATTGTTATGATAATAATTTTTGATAATATATTTCCTTTCAAACTGAGGGTTAGTAATGGATAATATTTCATTTTCCTTATTTTCAGAAAAATATTTTAATAGATTTTTTTTTAAATTACTAAAATTCACTCCTTTTTAAAAGTTTCTAGAACTCTAATTATATTAATTAGAAATTTTATAATATTAATTTTGTTACTTATATGATAATTTCTTTGTATTATATAAATTTGTAAAATAATTTTTAATATAAATGTTTTGAGTTTTTTTTTTAAAAAATTTGATTGACATATTATTTTCACTTATAATTAATTGTAAATATAATAATTGTCTGTATCATTTTAGTAATTGTATAGACATTCATAATTTATATGTAGAGTATATATATATAACTATAAAAATATAAATATATATATATATATATAATAATAATTTTTATTTATATTAAAATAGTTTATAATATTTCTTGCTTGATAACTCTGCTTGATATTGTGATAATTGTTTTTTTTTAAATATACACAAATATTATAACTATGATAAAGAATATATAAAGCTATATTTTTAGACAATAAATAATTAATTGTAATTCAGGAATTATTATCTTAAACTGTTATTTATGATTATTAATATTTTGTTTGGTTGGGTTGTAATATACTGTATAATATATTATATAGCATATAAAATAAATTATTTATTAATAAAGTATAATTTATTTTAGTAAAAGTATTTTCTAAATACTTTAATGATATGAAATTTATTGTTATTTATAATATATTTTTGTTATGAAAAAAACGAATAACTAAATATATATTGTTAGACTAGTATGCGATAGACAAAAAAAAAATTAATAACAATTTGTTAAAATTGAATAAATTTTTATTAATGTTTAACAAAAAAAAATGTCGTATAATATTAAATAACTGATTGTTACTGATTATAACAATACTAAAGCATAAGTATATATATATATACAGATAGGGAGATTAAAGTTGATGACGTTTTTTAATGTATGATTTAACATTAAAAACACGTGATAGACTTATTTGTTTTGAGATAAAAACATTTTTAAAAATGATATAATTATTGTGATATCATTTGATTTTAAGTACAATTAAAGATATGGCCAAAAATTTCCACCGAAGAATGGGAACAAATCCTTGTTTTTGAGATTTTTTAGAGGTTACTGCTTTCATCAGAAGTCGGCACCCAGTCATGTGGCCATAAGGACATTGGATTTTGTGAATGTGACATTTTTTAAACCACAGCAATGGGTGCACTCAAGTCCTGATGCGTCATCGATGGATTATTTCTTCTGTGGTTACCTTAAGAAGCGTTTGACTAGAAGAAAGTTGACTAAAATTTCTTCACTTAAAAAAACCAATTTTCAGATATCTAATATCTGTTTGTGAGTGAATATTATTTTTGCTTCCGTTTTCTTTACATGTGTTCGACATTTTCAGTAAGACTGGACTGTTGACTGTGCGCACCGCAAGTCCAGTACGCTGAGAACGGTTTCGGTGTCTTCGTCTTTGGAGCGTTTACTTCGGGATATGCTTCGTCTGAGTGTTGAGCAATGATTGCCAATTCCTAGTATTATTGTCTTACTATTTATGTATCACTGGCGACTATACCACCGAACAGCTAATACACTAAACGCTAAACAGATGATTATCGTATAGACCTGTCTATTACTGGTCAAATCATTCAAACCAACCAATAATATGTTAGTATTTACATACACTAACCATATCTATCAATACAGTATATATACTACTTTTTATTTAAAATATATTTTCTCAGTGTCTCTATCTTTTAGTCATTATGAGTGTTACCTTAATTATCAAGTACTGTCTCATCTATGTTAAAGACATTACCAAATGATTAATAAATATCTGTCTGACAATTCTTAAATATATGCATAAATATTAAGCAATTGATATCTGAATTTAAAACCATAACCTTATCACGCAATGAATGGCAAAACACACTAAATTTAGATATTATTAATATTATTGCATTTATTGATAGACTCAATCAATAAATGTCACTGTTTGAAAATAAATGGCAATGCGGGACAGGGCAGGTAAATATAAAACTATGAGTCTATTGTTTTTGACTGTACCGCTAAAAACCATTGTCATAACATATAGACTCAAGTTATAATTAAATAATAATAATAATGGGTGTTATTATTAAATTAATGAATTATTCATACTATACACCGACTGGTCCTAACATTCACTGTCCGCTTCTACTGTCCCCACCGTTTATAGGACTAATAAAGTCATATACTACTGATTCGGGTCAGTCCAAGCTTAGCCTTTGGACCACAACTGCAGATCGTTTATCACTTCAGGTCTTCATAATTGATGCATTGGTTGTCAATCATAACACACATTATAACACATTTGAACAAAATCAGGACAAGAATCTTATTCCTGTTCTCGAATCATAACAATATTATAATGATTTGACAAATTGAATGTTTTTTTTCGAGAGAGTTAAACAACGGCGCCGACGATGACAGCGGCGGTGCTTTAAATTTCAATATCTGGTCAACAATACGTTGGTTTTAAAAGTGACCAAGGGCAATGTTGTATATAATTTAAAACTAAATAATATTGTAATTGGTCATTTTTTAATTAATTCCATGATTGGGCAGATAATTGCAGTCGACTATCATTTTTACAATTTTTTTTAACAGTCGACTGTATATTATATGGCCAATCATGCAATTAATTAAAAAATGACCAATTACAATCTTATTTAGTTTTAAATTATCTACAACATTTACCTTGGTCACTTTTAAATCCAACGTATTGCTGACCAGATAATTTGAAATTAAATGCATCGCCGCTGTCGTAGTCGGCGCCGCTGTTTAAGACACACTCGTTTTTTTCATTTTAAATTATTTTTTTTTTAAATGTCAAAATTTCTAAATGAGAAAAATTTTAATTTACAATAATAAACGATAATCCAAAAGTATAAAAGGATTGACATTTTTTTATGTATTAAACTATAGTTATAATATAGTATTAAAATTATAAAAACATTGTTACTGTATTAACTAAACATTTAATTTTATTTGTTAGTATATTAATTTTTTAATTTTTTTTATTAATAAAAAAACAATGATTTACTTGATCTTAAAGATTATTGTTGTTTTTCTATTAATATTATTATATTATTAGTAAGTATATTTTATAATATTTATTTTATTAAAATATATTTTTACAATTAAAAAAATAATAATAATAATAAACCAAAATACTATAATTAATAGTAAGACTAAACGTAACTATACTTATTGGTCATCCCGTGGTATTCCTGGTCCCAAACCGTATCCAATTATAAAGTTACTTAAATCTATGTTTTCAGAGAATCATCACGACTTGACTTTGAATTGTTACAAAAAATATGGCAAACTTTATGGGTTTGTATTTAATTTTTTGTTCCTTCAATATTATAAATAATTAATTATATATATATATATATATATTAAATCTCTAATATATGGTTTTTTACAATTAATTTATTTTTTATTTTTTTTAATTAATAAAACAACTAATAATTAAAAAAAAAACAGTCTATATTTCGGTGATCAACCAATTCTTTGTACATCTGATCCGGAAATTGTTAAAGAAATTAATTTTAAAAGCTTCCACTTATTTACCGATAGAGACGACTTTATATTTGGCGATGAATTGCACGACAGAGCACTGTCTAGTCTAAAGGGAAATGAATGGAAAAATATGCGATCAATTGTATTGTTAATTATAAATATTAAAATATTATATATATATATAATTGTCTGACATAGTTGTGCCCAATTATTTATATATATATATATATATTATATCTAAATTTATATATACTGTATATTTAAAATATATATTAAAAATTTTAATCATTTTATTTATATATATATAGATATCTCCGACCTTTTCTCCGGGAAGAATGCGTGCAATACATCCGATTATCATTGATTGTGTTCAACGATTGGATGAATATCTGGAGTCAAAGATGTTGAACAAAGAAGAAGACATTGAAATGATTAAAACAATGGGTTGTCTGACAATGGATGTGATCGCCGCCAGTGCTTTCGGTACGAAAATAGACGTCTATAGTGACGGAAAGCCCAATGAGTTTATATTGAATGCTAAAAAAGTGTTTTCAATCGGCTGGAGATACTTAGTATTGAAACTATTGTTGTCTTTTGGCAAAAATTTTGCAAAAGCCGTAGGATTTAAACTAACACCGCCGTCGGTCACAAAATTTTTCACTCAAGCGGTCAGTAGTTATTGTCAATAATAATATTAATTACATTATATTTTGATTATATGTTATTTATATATTTAATATTTAACGAATCATTGTTTTTTTCATTCAGATCCAATCAATTATAGATCAACGAAAATCCGAGAAAAATGTCAAACATAAAGATTATTTGCAATTGATTTTAGACGCAAAAAATAAAACATTTGATACAAGCGATGATAAAGACATCGTCGATGATAATAGCGAACAAATTTACGGGAAATCAGACAATAAGATTAATATGAAAACAATGAATAAAATAAGTATCACAGACACAGATCTATTGGCCTCGTCTTTCATATTTTTTGTGGCCGGCTATGAAACTACTTGTTTTCTGTTGTCATTACTTTTCTATAGACTGGCATTGGATGAGGAATGTCAGCAAAAATTATATGAAGAAATACAACAATTTGATGGTCAATACGATTACGAGACAATCGCTAAAATGCCATATTTGGAGGCCTGTATTGCAGAGACACTTAGACTATACAATACGTTTGCGTCCACACAAAGAGTTTCATCGCAGGATTATTTAATTGGTACTGTATTTATATATATATATATTTAATATAATTATGTTATATATGTTTATAATTTAAGAGAGTATTGGCTTAGAAATCCCGAAGGGAATGATCGTTAACTTTGATATCGAAACTTTACATCACAATCCCGAATACTATCCCGAACCCGATCGTTGGGATCCCGAAAGGTTTATGCCCTACAATCGGGATAAGTTAGTTCCCTATACTTATATGCCGTTTGGTTTGGGTCCCAGAAATTGTGTGGGAATGAGGTTTGCATTGATGGAGACAAAGACAACCGCAGCCTATTTGGTCAATAAATATCATTTGTTTCGGACAACAAAAACAAAAGTACCGTTAATTGAGATCAAAACGCAATTTAGTCGTAATTTTGAATCAATTGATATCGGAATGGAGTTGAGATAAAATTTTTGATAAAACTATTATTATATAAATGTATTTGATTAATAAACAGCCCACCCTATAGACAACCCACCCTATAGACACCCCCAGATTAAACTTAAATAGATAGATGATATTAAATTATTTCATCCATCTATAAAAATTCTGTTGACTAACTGTTCAGCTTTCAGACTGTGTATAAAACTTAAGATTAAAAAAAGTAATTTTAATTAATAAAAGTGATATTAATATTGTTTTTTTTAATTTTAATTATTAACATTAAATATTTTCTAATATAAATGTATTGTCAATAAAAATTTTTAGTATAATGTATGATTGTATTCGTATACAGTATATTAATTTTTTAAAAATAATTATAAATGCCATAATAAATTTGTATTGTCATTGAATTTAACTTAGCCTATATTTACTATATATTTATACAAAACAAATTAAATATTTTTTATATTAAACATAAATAAAAATTGTTTAGTAATTTTAAATACCACCACGTAATCAAATACTTATTTAAAGTATTTAAAACTTAGTATTTAAAAAAATTAATTATTAGAAATGTAAAATTTTTTTGTTTTGGTTCAACATTCACTATTATAATACAGTACAACATTATAATAAATATAGTTTATTTAATTTAGTATACAGTATATACTGCATTTTAATACTTTAATATAATTTTTATTAATAAATATAATATTAAATTATTAAAAAATAATCTCATTTTAAGTTTATATAATTTATAAAGTTCAAATTTTTTTTAAAAATATGTCATCTATTAATACAATAAACTACTTTTATTGCCTACTAATTGCATTTATTTCAATACTAGTTATCATCTATTAGTAAGTATTTTGCTGTAATATTAATTAATTACTTGATTCAGAAATTAGTTAATAATATTTGAATTCAGTACTTATTTTTTATTTATTAAAATTTACATTTATTATACCAACAAAAAAAAACATTTCAGTTATTTGACCAGAAATTTTAATTACTGGAAAATTAGAGGAATTGATGGCCCGAAACCCCTCATATTTTTTGGTACATTTTATCAATCGTTTTTTAAGCCCAGTCCTAGAGTAGCTATGGATAACCATCAAAAATATGGCAAAATTTACGGGTCAGTTGTTGTGATTAAAAAATTAATTTAAAATATTTTCAACTACCAAACAAAATATATATATTTTAAAACAAATATTTTATATATTGATATTTTTTATAAATATTTTATTTCAGTCTATTTGTTGGCAGCAAACCAGTGCTCTGTATGTCTGATCCGGATGTCATCAAAAATATATTGATTAAAGATTTTCATTGTTTTGTCGATCACTTTGACTTTACATCCGGTGATCCAATTAATGACAGATCGCTGTTCATTCTTAAAGGCGATGACTGGCGACAAATGCGAGCCATTGTTTAGTGATATTTATTACTTATTTATATAAATATATATTAAACTAATCTTAATTGCTATTTGTTTGATGACATGATTTAAATTTTTTCAATATTTTTTTTATTATTAATATAAACAATAAACAAATAGATTAGTCCAACATTTTCTTCGGGCAAAATGCGTGCAATGCATCCATTGATCATTGATTGTGTTAATCGTTTGGAGACCTATTTAGACACAAAGTTAGATAACAGTTATAGTAGTAGTAGTAGTAGTAGTAGTAGTAGTAGTAGTAGTAGTAGTACTGGTAAACCTGTAGTGGAAGTGGAGCTCAAGAAGTTGATGTCCAATCTGACAATGGATGTGATAGCTTCGTGTGTATTCTCTACCCGTATCGACACATATAGCGATCAGAAGGGCAACAATTTCATGATAAATGCTGAATACTTTTTTAAGCCAAGTCCCAGATTTTTACTATCGATTATAATCAACGCAACGGTTCCCAAGTCTATCAAATGGATCCGATTTTCATCATTTAGTAAATCGGTTACCAATTTCTTTAGCGATGCTGTATGTTATATAACACTTTAACTTATGATTAACTAATGTAAAAAAATATTATTATTATTATTAATACTAATATATTTTTCTTAATTTAATATCAGATCCAAACTATAATTAGTCAGCGAAACAGCAATAAAAATGTCAAATATAGAGATTATTTACAACTTATGATTGACGCCAAACATCGACCCGAAGATACAACAAAGTCAGACAAAGTTGAACAAAATGACAGTATTTTTGATACCACACAGTCATCTGATCCGTCATCGCATGTCTTGTCGACCAATAAGCCAAAGATGACAATCACTGATACAGATATAGTGTCCACTTCTATATTATTTTTTGCCGCCGGTTACGAAACAACGGCAACAATACTATCATTTCTATTGTATTTGTTGGCATTGAATGAAAATTGTCAGCAAAAACTGTACGAAGAAGTGAATGGTCAGACAGTGAAGAATGAAACCAATAGTTACGATAATCTAACAAAACTGTCATATCTTGAGGCCTGTATTGCGGAAACACTTAGACTTTATACACCAGTTTCGCTATTAGGAAGAACAGCCTCAGAGGACTATACCATAGGTTTGTTTAATTTTTTTATATATATAAAAAATCTACAATTGATTGAAAAATATTGAAGTTTTTATTTTTTCTTTAGAAAGCATAGGTATTACTATACCGAAAGGTATGCAAATTAATTTGGATGTCGTAAGCAATCATCACAATCCCGACTACTATCCCGAACCCGATCGTTGGAATCCCGAACGGTTTATGCCCTACAATCGGGATAAGTTAGTTCCCTATACTTATATGCCGTTTGGTTTGGGTCCCAGAAATTGTGTGGGAATGAGGTTTGCATTGATGGAAATGAAGACAGCCATCGTTTATCTGATCACAAAATATAGATTTGTTAAGACATTGAATACTAAGCCATTGACCAGAGATATGATGAAAAAACTTTCACCAATTGTTAATTACGGCGATCTTTATGTTGGAATCGAGTTGAGAGACAGAAACAACAGTAGAGATTAAGTTAAAAAATTTTGTCGAATAAAACATTTTTTGAAAATTTATTAAATAAAAAAAATAAAATAAAAAATAATTTATCAAACTGTCTATTAATATAACAAATTTTAATTAAGAATAATTAATAAATAATACATTTGTAGTTACACTGAACTTAAATTTAAATAAATAAATCGTATGCTTATAATTTGATTATTGAAATCATTTATTTAATACTATATAAATATATATTCAGGTATATATATATATATATATATATCACACATAAAACATCCTTAAGTTATGAAATGAATATGAAAGCTATGATAATATAACAACATTTTTAAATTAATAACCATTGATAAAACTTGAATATATTGAATAAAATATCATACATTACACATACACACACTGTACAGTACAAACCAGTCATAAGTACAGTATCTATTGATATTTTTTAAAGCCCAATAAAAATATCAACAATAATCAACAAATTACTACTACATATAGATACTCATCATAATAATGATAACGAGAGAGAGAGAGAGAGAGAGAGAGAGAGAGAGAGAGAGAGAGAGAGATTTGTACAGAATATTCATTGAATAAAATAGTTCGTGTCGTACCTAATGTACTGAATAACTATTAAAACACAAATGTTTAGTATATATAAACACACCGTATGTTTACATTTGAAACAACACATTAACTGACAATTCATAGTTAAAATAGTTGACTATAAGTTTTGTAATTAAAATCTTATTTTTGTGTCTTTTAAGTTAAGCTAATTTAATGTTTTAAAGTAATTATTTTTTTCCATTTGTTGTCTAAAAATTAATTATTAATTATTTTTTTTATATACTGTATAAACTTAAATATGTTTGTTATAAGTTTTACTACATTAGCTGTTATAACAGCAGCGTTGATTGCATTATATTTATATGTTTTATATTATTTAATTACTATATATAAAAAAAATAACCTATAATAATAATGTAAATTAATTTTTTTACCACTAAGTTATTTGACCAAAAATTTTAACTACTGGTCATCCCATGGCGTAAACGGTCCGAAACCGGTCGTATTGTTTGGCAATATTTGGGAGTTGTTTGTCAAACGATTTCAACTGATAGAAGAGGACCGGTTAGCTAAATATGGATCTATCTATGGGTTAGTTATTATTATTATTAATTTTTTAACACTAAAATCAGTGAATTTGTATTCAACAGAGTAGTATAATTATAATTATTATAAATATACTTTTTTTTTAAATATTACAGTGGTTTCATATTTTTTTTAACAATAATATAATTTTTCGTAATTACAGCACATATACGGGTAAAAATCCAGTACTGAATGTGGCCGATCCCGAGCTCATCAAAAACATTATGGTTAAAGATTTTCACATTTTTGTCAATCGTCAAGACTCGGGATCAGTTGATGAAGTATTAGATCATTCATTGCTTGGCGTTCGCGATGACGAATGGAAAAGACAGCGATCTATTGTAAGACACTATCTATTAATATAGATATTATCAAACAAATCAAACCAAAACTATTGAGATTTAGTTAACTAATTGTATGTCAAACACCTGAATATGTGTCCATCACTTTTCATTTTTAGGTGTCGCCATCATTCACGACCGGAAAGTTAAGAAAAATGATGACACTGGGCGACCATTGCATCGAAAGTGTCGACCGAGTATTATATAAGGTGGCCACTGATGGTAATGAAATCGAGTTAAAGAATCTGATGGGTAATTATACAATGGATGGTATAGCCAGCTGTGCTTTTGCCACCAAAACCGACACCCATAACGACCCGAACAATCCGTTTGTTTTGAACGCAAATATAGTGGTATCGGGCAGTAAATGGCGGACTTTATTGTTCGCAATCGCCGGTCCAATCATGCGTTTCTTCAACATATCTGCCATAAATCCTTCGGTTCACAACTTCTTTATTGATGCCGTAAGTCTTGTTGTCGTTTTTTTTTCGTGTCCAGTAATATTGATAATTAAGTTTTCTTTGATTAAAAAAATAACAGATCAAAGAGATTATCAAACAAAGAAAAGAGGATACGAAAAGTGATCGCAAACGCTATGACTTTCTTCAGCTGATGATTGACGCCAACAAAAATGTAGACATGAATGATGACAATAGCAGTGCCAATGATAAGCTTATGGATGCTGAAGCACATCACGGCCTGGAAGATAATAGCCGATTGTTGAAGAACAGAGACAAACTGGAAATCAAAGAGATTGATATATTAGCCACAAGTTTTGTTTTCTTATTGGCCGGTTATGAGACAACGGCTACATTGTTGGCTCATTTGGTCTATTTGTTGGCTATTAATCCGGAAGCTCAGCGCAAATTGGTCGACGAAATCCGCGGTCATTGTGACGCCAACGGCCATATTGATTACGAGACAATTATACGGTTGCCCTATTTGGACGCCTGTATATCGGAAGCACTACGAATGTATAGCCCGGCTCCGCAAACAGGTCGGGTGCCCTCTCAAGACTACAAATTAGGTAATGTATTCATATCGATAGTGTGCTTTCAAATTAGATTCAAATTGAATTTTTAAAATAAATGTCTCATTCAAATTTAAACAGCCAATACGGGAATCACAGTAGAAAAGGGTATAACAATAATCATACCGATTCACGCTCTACATCACTGTCCCGACTACTTTCCGGAACCGAAACAGTACCGACCGGAACGCTTCCTACCGGAAAATCGTGATAAAATCATACCCTACACCTATCTGCCGTTTGGTGCCGGTCCACGAAATTGTGTGGGTATGCGTTTTGCGCTTATGGAGGCCAAGGCTATAGTTGCCCGGGTGCTCATAAAATATGAATTTCTACGAACAGCTAATACCAAAGTTCCCTTAAAATACGTACAAAAGTCAATGTTTGCCGTACCCTCTGATTTTACGGTAGGCGTACAGTACAGGCAAACGGTTAGGACATAAAAATAACGATTTATTATTGTAAAAATTGACTTAATTTTATTATTATTTATAAGTTATTATAAGCTATAACTATAATAATACCCATTTGTATCATTTTAATTATTGTATGATTTATATAGTTTTTATGTTTATAATTATATTTGTATTATAAAATAATAGTGAATACATTTAAATATTAAATTAAATAAAACAATATTTTACTCAAAATAAAAGATAAACATTATTTTTTTTATTAAATACTAAGACATTATTAATCAGACATATGATTACCAAAAAAATTGTTTTATTTTTAATTATAACGATCTTAACGTTTGGAGTTTTATATAGCTTATATAATTTATTGAAATTTTATGTAATAAAATAAGTTTAGAAAAATATATTTATTAAAATCTTTTTACAATAAAATACTAATTTTTTAATTAAGAAATAAAAACTTTCTATAAAAAAATTTGCGAATTAACAAAACAAAAATTGAACTATACATTGAATTTAAAAAGTTACCATGGATATCGTTATGAATAATATTGATCACTTTTTTTCATCTAAAAAGTTAAATTATATAATTGAAATATTATCAATTAACAATTTTATTTATATATAAATTATTTATAACCATTGATAACTTTTAAAATTACGTTTGCTCTGATAATAATTATTGTAATTAATAATAATTGCAGTTATTTAAGCCTTAAACTATATGAAAATTGCACTATTGTTTAGTATAACAACATTTATTGTATAATAATTATTTAAATAAACTATTATTCATTTGACTATTTAAAAAAAAACATTACACATAAGATATGTAACATAACAGTGCAAAAAAAATTGTATGATATTATTATCCAGTTTGAAGTCCGATCCAAGATAATGATATTAATAATAAACAACAACAACCAGTACTTTAACTGTTAAAATAGTAGTCATAATAATCATAACGAGAGAGAGAGAGAGAGAGAGAGAGAGAGAGAGAGAGAGAGAGAGAGAGAGAGAGCAGAATATTCATTGAATAAAATAGTTCGTGTCGTACCTAATGTACTGAATAACTATTAAAACACAAATGTTTAGTATATAAACACACCGTATGTTTGCATTTGAAACAACACATTAACTGACAATTCATAGTCAAAATAGTTGACTATAAGTTTAAATGATTAAAAACTTTTTTTATATATCTTTTAAGTTAAACTAATTAAATTTTTAAAAGTTTAAACTATTTTTTATCCATTTGTTTTGTTAAATTAATTATTAATTTATTTATTTTATATACTGTACAAACACTTAAAAATGTTTGTTATAAGTTTTACTACATTAGCTGTCATAACAGCAGCGTTGACTGCATTTTATTAGTATGTATTGTATTATTGAAAATAATTAATTAATTTGTCAATAATATTAATTGATTTTTAACATCCGATAAAGTTATTTAACCAAAAATTTTAACTACTGGTCATCCCGTGGCGTCAAAGGTCCGAAACCGGTCGTATTGTTTGGCAATATTTGGGAGATGTTTGTCAAACGATTTCAATTGCTAGAAGAGGACCGGTTAGCTAAATATGGACCTATCTATGGGTTAGATATTTTATTTTACTTTTTTGTTGTATATATGATAAATCAATCATTTTAGAGATAAATAATAGAAAAACTTATAATTTCATATTTATTAAAATAATAATATTATTTTTCAATTAAACAGTACATATATGGGCACAAAAGCGGTGTTGAATGTGGCCGATCCCGAACTAATCAAAAACATTATGGTTAAAGATTTTCATATATTTATCAATCGTCAAAACATGAGATCAGATGATGAAGTATTAGATCACTCGCTGCTTATGGTTAGGGATGACGAATGGAAAAGACAGCGATCTATTGTAAGACACTATCTATTAATATAGATATTATCAAACAAATCAAACCAAAACTATTGAGATTTAGTTTACTATAATTGTATGTTCCGTAACACCCGACTATGTGTCCATTACTTTTTATTTTAGGTTTCGCCATCATTTACGACCGGAAAGTTAAGAAAAATGATGACATTAGTCGAGCATTGTATCGATAGTGTCGACCGGGTATTAGATAAGGTGGCCACTGATGGTAATGAAATAGAGATGAAGGGACTGATGGGCAACTATACCATGGATGGTATAGCCAGCTGTGCTTTTGCCACCAAAACCGACACCCATAACGACCCGAACAATCCGTTTGTTGTCAACGCAAATATATTGGCGGCTGGAAGTAAATGGCGTACTCTTTTGGCGAGTATTGCCGGTCCAGTTAAGCGGTTCTTCAAAATATCGGCCATAAATCCTTCTGTACATAACTTTTTTGTTAAAGCCGTAAGTCTTGTTGTTTTTATTTTCAGAAATGCAATGATATTAAAGTTAATTATTTTTTGTTGAATATAATGTAAAAATCAGATCAAAGAGATAATCAAACAAAGAAAACAGGATCAAAGTGGTGGCAAATACTACGACTTTCTTCAGCTAATGATTGACGCACAGAGTAATGTTGATGATAACAGTGCGGGAAATGATGACAATAGCAGTGCCAATGATAAGCTTATGGATGCTGAAGCACATCACGGTCTGGAAGACAATAGCCGATTGTTGAAAAACAGAGACAAACTGGACATCAAAGAAGTGGATATCGTGGGCACGAGTTTTGTTTTCTTATTGGCCGGTTATGAAACAACGGCTACACTGTTAGCTCATTTGATCTATTTGTTGGCCATTAATCCGGAAGCTCAACTAAAATTGGTCGATGAAATCCGCGGTCATTGTGACGCCAACGGTCATATTGACTACGAGACAATTATACGTTTACCCTATTTGGATGCCTGTATATCGGAAGCACTGCGTATGTATGGCCCGGCACCGATAACAAGTCGGGTGCCCTCTCAGGACTACAAATTAGGTAATGTATTCATATCGATAATGTGCTTTCAAATTAGATAAATTGTAATTTTAAAATAATTGTCTCATTCAATTAAAAACAGGCAATACGGGAATTACAGTAGAAAAGGGTACAACAATAATGATACCGATTCACGCTCTACATCACTGTCCCGACTACTTTCCGGAACCGAAACAGTACCGACCGGAGCGTTTCCTCCCGGAAAATCGTGATAAAATCATACCCTACACCTATTTGCCGTTTGGTGCCGGTCCACGAAATTGTGTGGGTATGCGTTTTGCGCTTATGGAGGCCAAGGCTGTAGTCGCCCGGATGGTCATAAAGTATGAGTTTATACGAACAGCCAATACTAAAGTTCCCTTACAGTACGTAAGTAAGTCATCAATTCCCCGACCGTCCGATTTTACGGTAGGCGTACACTACAGAAGCCGTTAGGATAAACAAAATAATATATATTTATTAGTTATTTTTAATTTATTATTATTAATGATTTATGAATTGGATAAGTAGTTGTATTGTAATTAGACTATACTGTAGTGTATTTTAAAAATACTGTATTTACTAATAGCTATATTAGCAATGATTGTATGATTTATATATATTTTTTAAATGTTTATATATTTAATATTATTTATATCAAATTGTAATAATATAACAATTTTAATACAATATACTAATTTTAAATGTTTTTTTAATAATACAAATAATATACAAAGTTTTTATACAAAAATAATAATTACATTAAATAATGTGATATTTTATTGTAAATAATAATAAATAAAAACTTTTTAATTTAAATTCTGTGATTTTGTTTTTGCTATTAATTTAACTCATAATTGTTGAATATATATAAATATTGAATAATTTATTTTTATCGAAAATTATATTTGAATCTTATATTTTAAATAATAATTAGGTCATAAATTTTAAAAACATATTTGTTTTAAAACACTTTTTTATTATTATAACTATATATATATATATCTTAATGTTTTCAAATTACATGATATTCAGACAGATCTATATCTTCTCCAAAACGTTGGATTACTTGAATAAAGTTTACTATTAGAGAGCAGTTGTCGTCGTCGGTGATCCTCTTCTTTGTCTTTAATGTATTGCAATTGAAATCTTTGTTTCCAGTTAATCAACTGCTGATGACTGCTACCATTGACAGTATTGACAATATTGACACTTTTGGCTGTTGTATTGACGGATAAGTCGATACCAAAATTTTTACCAAATAACGACCTCCACAGCTGATCTTCGAGACAAATACGATGCCAGCGACTACTTGTTTGCGACAATTGAATCAATGATGGATATGACAGATATTGGATGACTTTGAGACACAGTTCTTCGGGTAATTCATTGATAGTTATGGACAACAGATCGACGAGTTTGTCTACAAACTCGTGTTTGAATCGCTTGATCGCCGATTGTCTCGTCTCTTGCATCCAATTAAGTCTAATGTTTGGCTGTTGTTCATTGAGTTCATTGATAATAGCCGTACAATGTATTGAAAAAGACATCAGAGGAATGACTATCAATTGTATGCAAACATATTGATCACCGAAACGACGACTTTTGTATTGATAATGGCATTCAATTCTGTCGTTGTTTATAATAGTATTACTGATTGTTGGCTGACATTCAAAGCCATTTGCTGTCATCAATGGCAGCAACTCTTCAAACAGGATGTCTACCAATGGATAGTTATGTTTCTCTAAATTATCTGTCATATCCTATCATTGTTTTTATTTAATCCTATTTTTTAAATATTAATCGCGAGTTATTTATTATAATTGACCAATAATTTATAAGTTATTCAACGTTTTTGTTTTTGTTATATTAGACTGTAATTTCAGTTTATTTATATATATTTCTCGTGAATTAACTGTAAATTATTAAATCTTATAACGAGATTCGTAAAACACAAACTACAAAATAAACATAAATTCATAATTATTTCAGCAAAAAAAAATTTAATAAATTAAAACCAAATTAAAACCAATTTAACATTATTTGTATACAATCATTAATAAATCAATAGCAACTAATCATTATTTAGTTTTTTTACATATCAATAATTATTCACATAGTATAAAACATTTATTTTAATAATTTAAAATAAATAAAACTTAAATAAAAATTAATTCAATAAATAAAATAATAGCAATATAATGTATTTTTTATACAATTAACAATAAATTTATTATAATTTAACATTAATAATTATTTTAATAATAACTAATTAATCATTGAATTTACAATTTAAATTATATAATGAATGATATGTTAGAATATTTGCAATACTAATAGATAAATAAAAATTTAATATAAAAAAATTGTTTCAAAAACTATTAATTTTGTTGTTGTTGGAAAAACATTGAAACAATAACAACATTTTTATGGTTAATGCTTTACCGACGATGACTTTGGTTGGACAGACTTTGGTTGTTGTCCTCCACTAACAGGTGATTGTTGTTGTTTTTGTGGTACGAAAACAACTGTCTGGCCAACACTCTTAGGCGACACCGGTAACTGTCCGCCACCAGTTGATTGAACTGATAGTTGTTGTGGTGGGGGTAGAAGCTGTTGCGGTTGTTGTTGTTGTAATGGCACTGTCTGTTGAACACCCGGTTGACTGATACCATATATCTGAATGGGTTGCGGCTGATGATGACGATGATGACGACGACTACTAGTTGTACGATCGAAGACATCATCCAAACCACGACATAGAAGATACAGACAGACACAGCAACAGACACAACAACAGACTAATACTACGAATATGACTATTAGACTAATAATTATTATTTTATTCACTCTTTCTTCCATTTCTTTGTCTTCAATTACAATCGTTTTTGAACTGTCCTCAGAAAATACATAAACATTAATTCATTGATTGATTGATTAATTGTTTTGTTTGAATTAGTTTTCATAATAAATTAAATAATTTAATTTAAACGAAACAGTAAGCTGTATGTTAATACCTGACCGATGCAATCATTTCAATGATAATAATAATAATCATTGCGACCATCGAAGCCAATGGACGGCATCGTTGACTGATATAATTGGTGGTCATGTCTTAAGCCGTTATTATTATTATTTTGTTTCAAAAATAACAACCCGACTATGATTTGTGTTTTAAAAAAAATAGTATTTTATTTAATTATATTTTTTAATTTTTTCTCGTGATTTAACTGTAAATTATAAAATTCTTAAAACACAAAACACAAAATAAACATAAATTCATAATTATTTCAGCAAAAAATTAATAAATTAAAACCAATTTAACATTATTTGTATACAATCATTGATAAATCAATAGCAACTAATCATTATTTAGTTTTTTTACATAATTATTCACATAGTATAAAAACATTTATTTTAATAATTTAAAATAAATAAAAATTAAATAAAAATTAATTCAATAAATAAAATACTATCAATGTAATATATTTTTTTATACAATTGACAATAAATTTATTATAATTTAACATTAATAATTAATTTAATAATAACTAATTAATCATTGAATATACAATTTAAATTATATAATGAATGATATGTTAGAATATTTGCAATACTAATAGATAAATAAAAAATTTAGTATAAAAAAATTGTTTCAAAAACTATTATTTTTTTTGTTGTTGGAAAAACAGTGAAACAATAACAACATTTTTATGGTTAATGTTTAGCCGACGGTGACTTTGGTTGGACAACAACAACAACAGGTGGTACCTGTTGTTGCTGTTGTCCTCCACTAACAGGTGATTGTTGTTGATTTTGTGGTACAAAAACAACTGACTGGCCAGTACTCCTAGGCGACACCGGTAACTGTCCGCCACCACCACCAGCTGATTTAACTGGTAGTTGTTGTGGTGGGGGTAGAAGCTGTTGCGGTTGTTGTTGTTGTTGTTGTTGTAATGGCACTGTCTGTTGAACACCCGGTTGACTGATACCATATATCTGAATGGGTTGCGGCTGATGATGACGATGACGACGACTACTAGTTGTACGATCGAAAACATCATCCAAACCACTACATAGAAGATACAGACAGACACAGCAACAGACACAACAACAGACACAACAACAGACACAACAACAGACTAATACTACTAATATGATTATTAGATTAACAATTATATAATTTTTCACTTTTTCTCCCAACTCGTCGTTACCTGTTTTGTCTGTTGTCGTCGTTGTGTGTAAACTGTCCTCAGAAAACAAATAAACAATCATTTCAATGATGATGATAATAATCAATGTCACCATCGAAGCCAATGGACGGCATCGTTGACTGATATAATTGGTGGTCATGTCTTAAGCCGTTATTATTATTATTTTGTTTCAAAAATAACAACCCGACTATGATTTGTGTTTAAGAAAAATTAGTATTTTATTTAATTGTTTTTTTTTTAAATTATTGAATCGCGTTTTGATTATAATTACTGTTTAAAAAATAATTTATTATTAATTTCTATTTTGTAGTATATATCGCGCGAATCAATCCTATAAATTGCACTAATTTAACAAAATTTAAAAATCAATTTAACAGTTATTAAAGAAAAAAAAACAATCAAACAAACGGACACAAAATATTCTTATAATATAACTTTTGAGCCAAAGAAAACACATCATTACTATCATCTGAAGAGTATATTAATTATATATAATTATTAGAGAAATTTTGAGTTAAAAAAAATGGCAGAATTTGAACAAATTTTGGAAGACTTTCTTCGGACATCTGATTACCAGAAACAGTTGTCCACTGTTGCCGATACTGTTGCCGACTATGGCAACCAATCGTCATCGACAACCGCAACCGCAAGAGAAACCATAGTTGCAAACAATGTCGACAACAACAACAGCTATGATCTGTTGCCAGAAAAGATCAGACAACGAGTCAATGAACTGCAGAAACTGAACGAACAAAAGAAGTCGACTGAGTTTCGGTTTGTCGAAGATTTTTTTTATTTGATCAAAAAGTACGAACAAATATACGAACCGTTACACGAAATGCGAGCCGAAATCGTGTCCGGAATGTACGAGCCGTCGGACAGCGATCTGCCSGACGACTACTACGACAACAACAACAATGTCGACTCAAAGCCGACACTATTGGTCGGAATTCCTTACTTTTGGCTAAAAGTTTTGTACGCATCCGAAGACTTTTCTAAGCGCATTGTCGACGCAGATGTACCGATACTCAGACACTTGGAGGACATTCGTGTGGCAACCGAACCATCGGTGCGTAGGTTTTCCATCGAGTTTTACTTCTCGCCGAACGAATACTTCAGCAACAATGTCATCCAAAAAGACTTTTATCTGCAAATCGATCCGCGACTAACAGATCTGTGTCGTCCCGTAAAAGTGGTGTCCACTGACATTGACTGGAATGTCGACAAATGTCATTTCGTTGAACGATTTGTCGATCAGAATACCGGCGAAGAAAATTACCGCTACTATGACTCGTTCTTCAATTATTTTTGGTCATCAACTGATGAATTAGATGATGTCGATTGTCTTGAATACGACTGGGATGTRTCCCGAGTACTCATACAGGAGTTGGTGCCCAATGCTGTCAACTACTTTGCCAGCGATCTTCATATCGCTGCCGATCACTACGACAAATCCAACGAAGATAATGAGGAAGAAGACGTCGGTGAAGAAGATGAAGCAGAAGAACATGACATTTATGAAGATGAAGAAGAAGGGGAAGAAGGAGAAGAAGAGGCAGTCAATTATTATGACAATCAAAACAACAACCAAAGCAATGATTATGGCTATTATGACGGAGAAGTCAGCGATCAAGAGGTTGTGGACGTTGAAGACGACGACAACAACGAGGAATCAAAAGAATTGGACGAATATCAGGGATCAGAACAACTATATTCACAAAATTATTATTAGTTGTTCAAAGTTTTTCAGAAAAAAAGTTTTCAAAAAAAAAGTTTTTTTTTCAAAGATTATTTGATAATCTCTGTATTTGTGTCCACACAAAAAAATGTGCAAAAATTGATTTAAATTAACAAACAAACAAAAATATTGTATTTTATTTTTGTGCACAAAAATCAATATTAAAAATCAATTATTCAATAACTAATTAATTTTTTTTAATTCAATTAAATATTATTATATTTAATGAATTATGAATTAATGAATTTTCACTTTTAATATTGTGTATAAAAAGTTCAAATGTTTGTTATACACAAAAAAATAATTAGTTTATTATCTTATTATAAAAGTAGCGTTAGATCAGTAAATATGAATTATTATTTATAAAATGAACAACTATTTAATAAATCTTTTTTTTTTAAATTAAACTAAATATTGATATATAAATTATTTTTGTTTCCATCGAAAAATAATATATTTAATTAGATATTAGAAAAAACAAGAATTTTCAATAGTTTGTCGATTAAATTGAATTGCAGTCACTTCTTGTGTATTAAGTTTTTTAATCCCCAATTCAGTTGTCTGTCCAATGGATAACTGATTGAAGGCATTCATTAAGTCATCAAAATTGTTAATTGATTTTTTATCGATAGTTATAATTTGATCACCAATTTTAAAGTTTTGTCTAACAAATTGAAATTTAATTTAACTAATGATTAAACATTTATACAATATTTTTTTATTAATATATTAATGTAATTATCTGTAAATACCTGACATTCTTAGCGTTTGGCATATATTTATGGACACAATAGGTTTGACTATCAGTACTGTATTTGACAAAAACACCGATAAATGGTTTGCCGGAGGAATACAACTGTTTTCTATCATTAACTAATTGCTGACGAATTTCCTGTCCTTTGCCTTTAGCTCTGTCTATAAAATCTTGGATCAATTGAATGATTAGAAAAAAGAAAGAAAGAAAGAGAGAAAAAATAGTAAAATATTATAATTTTTTTGTACAGTATATACTGTATGTATATATTTAAAGTGGTAGTACCTAACAGATCCTGTCTTCTAGTAATGGTCAGTGCTTTAAAACCAGTACTAAATAAAACACCCACCACTTGGCCATTCGTGTTGATCACTGCTCCACCGGAACAGCCTCCTGAAGCCGTAATCGATGCAAACATATATAACTGGTTTGTGGGCCACATCAGGTGCTCATAACCATACCATCCATCTGATATTTCAACGAAATAGTTCATATATTTTATTATACCGGTTATCACTGATTTAGGGAATTTTGGAAATCCAATGGCCATTACTTGATCGCCAAATGTGGCGTCTGTTTTGGCAATCCTAAGCTGAGCTAACTGTCCGGACTTAATCTTTGGTAATGTCAACAGTGCCAGATCCAGATGCGGTTCAACATAAATCACATGCGCCCACCACTCGCTTATTTCTTCCTTATCTCTTAAGATGGGATCTTTATTTGGTATGTCAACCAACAGGCCAGACACTTGGTAAGCACGCGGTAACTCAACCAAAACAACTGGACGGTCCTCGACGTTATGATAATTGGTGACAATTAGGCCATTAGTTGCATCTACTATCCAACCGGTTGCCTTATATTCATATTTATTGTTAGTCATATCGCGTCGTCTAATTTTGACCACACTTTTAATGCATTTATTGTAAACATTGTCTATCCATTGGTTTTCATTATTATCCAACTGAGCAAATCTTATAGWCATCATYGCTGAMAGTGATCTCCAATTAAGACATGACTTGACTGGTATTTGATATGATGTCTGTCTGGTCTGACGCTGTTTCTGACGATACCAATGGTTAACAGCAACCGTAGACAACAGCAACAGTGAAGTCCTTTAAATTAATAAATAATTTAATCGATTAATGACATTCAATGAGTATTGAAATACTTTTAAACATTAATAAAAAAAACTAACTGTTTATTAAAAACATATGATTTATAGGCTATTTGTTGCATATTTTAAAATATTATTCAATTAACTCAATCAATAAAATTCAATATTAGACAAAAAGTTTGAACATYGTTAACATTTTSTACTAATAWTWGTCTTWAAAAAATTGCATTCAATTACATGCAAAATAAAATTGAAATCATATAAAATTTAATTTRATTTAAGAATAGACTATACATTATATCTGAAATCTAATTTATTTGTCTAATTTCATGCACGACAACAATATATCATTAATTAATGATTATTTTTCTAAAAATAACTAATTTTACTTAATATTTGTAATTTTAATCATTTTTGTAATTTTATTTATTCTGTTATCTTAATGAAGTTTTATTTAGATTCATAATGTTTTAGTTGTTTTCATAAATTAATTGTTAAATGTAGTTTTAATAATTCATAAAAACCATAAAAATTAGTTATATATTATCTATAAAATACAGTATATATTTGCTATACTAAAAGATATGGAAGATTTTATTAAATATATTACATTTGATCTGCAAATAAAATTTTTTATTAATAAATTACCAACTATTTAATAAATCTTTTTTTTTTGTTAAAACAAATTAAACTAAATATTGATATATAAATTATTTTTGTTTCCATCAAAAAATAATATATTTAATTACATATTAGAAAAAACAAGAGTTTTCAATAGTTTGTCGATTAAATTGAATTGCAGTCACTTCTTGTTTATTAAGTTTTTTAATCCCCAATTCAATTGACTGTCCAATGGATAACTGATTGATGGCATTCATTAAGTCATCAAAATTGTTAATTGATTTTTTATCGATAGTTATAATTTGATCACCAATTTTAAAGTTTTGTCTAACAAATTGAAATTTCATTTAAATTATGATTAAACATTTATACAATATTTTTTTTATTAATATATTAATGTAATTATCTGTAAATACCTGACATTCTTAGCGTTTGGCATATATTTATGGACACAATAGGTTTGACTATCAGTACTGTATTTGACAAAAACACCTATAAATGGTTTGCCGGAGGAATACAACTGTTTTCTATTATTAACTAATTTCTGACGAATTTCCTGTCCTTTGCCTTTTGCTCTGTCTATAAAATCTTGAATCAATTGAATGATTAGAAAAAAGAAATAAAGAGAGAAAAAATAGTTAAATATTATATTTTTTTTGTATATACTGTATATAAAGTGGTAGTACCTAACAGATCCTGTCTTCTAGTAATGGTCAGTGCTTTAAAACCAGTACTAAATAATACACCTATTACTTGGCCATCCGTGTTGATCACTGCTCCACCGGAACAACCATGTGAACCTGTAGCCGATGCAAACATATATAACTGATTTGTGGGCCACTGTAGGTCCTCATACTTATACCATCCTTCTGTAACCTCATCTAAATAGTGTACATATTTTATTATACCAATTATCACAGATTTATCCAAATCGGGAAATCCAATGGCCATTACTTGATCGCCAAATGTGGCGTCTGTTTTGGCAATCCTAAGCTGAGTTAGCTGTCCGGACTTAATCTTTGGTAATGTCAACAGTGCCAGATCCAGATGCGGTTCAACATAAATCACATGCGCCCACCACTCGCTTATATCTTCATTATCTCTTAAGATGCGATCTTTATCTGGTATGTCAGCCAACAGGTCTTGCACTCGGTAAGCATGCGGTAGTCGAACCTTAACAACAGTGAAGTCATCAACGTTGTGATARTTGGTGACAATTAGGCCAGTATTTGCATCTACTATCCAACCGGTGCCCCAATATATGGMTTCCTCGTCAGTTATATCACGTCGCATAATTTTGACCACACTTTTAATGCTTTTATTGTAAACATTGTCTATCCATTGATTGTCATYATTAGCCGCCAACTGAGCTAATCTTATRGTYATAATCGCTGAAAGTGATCTCAAACTAAGACACGACTTAACCGGTATTTCATATGATGTTTGTCTGGTCTGATGCTGTTGTTGTTGTTGGCGATACAAATGGTTGACAGCAATTGTTGACAACAGCAACAGTGAAGTCCTATATATTAATAAATAATTAAATCAATCAATCAATCAATCAATCAATCAATCAATCAATCAATCAATCAATCAATCAATCAATCAATCAATCAATCAATCAATCAATCAATTAATTAATTAATGACATTCAATGAGTACTTTAATACTTTGAAACATTAATAAAAGACTAACTGTTTATTAAAAATAAATGATTTATAGACCATTCGTTGCATATTTTAAAAAATTATTCAATTAACTCAAAAAAAAAATTAATTTAATTTAGAATAGACTATACATTATATCTGAAATCTAATCATTGATTTATTTGTCTAATTTCATGCACGACAACAATATATAACGAATTAATTATTATTTTTTACTAAATATTTTCAATAGTAATATTTGTTGTTTGCATTTTTGTCTATTTTACAAAACTAAGATCTTTTTTGTTTTATTTTACTGACTGTTACTAAAAACTAATTGTAAAACATAACTGTCCTCAGCTATGAGCAATAATAGACAAAAAATTGAATGTAATATACTGTTTGGTAACAATCGGACACTACTTAATATTGATGTCGGTTGGGAAGGAATTCCCTTTAATATTGTGTTCAATACGATAATAGCTGCGGTAAGTCGGATGGGATTGGATCGGGTGTGACAGTCATATGCAGTATTAATATACTATAGTTTTAATTGAATATTATTTCAAAGGGTTTACTGATAGCATACGCTGTGATTCGTTGGAGAGTCAAAAAAGTTGGTAATAATAGCAAAGAACAGATCGGAAAGTTGTTTTTGGTGGACAATTGGCTGCCATTCATATACGGCGACAAAAAAACAAACGACAGAATAACAGCCAAATTCAAAGAAATCGATAAAAGACATCATTTGGCTTATTTGCCGCCAATTCTTCACGAATACGAAGACCAGATGCCCGAAAAAATTTCGGTCGAAGAAGTCATTGCCGAAGAGGATGCCAGTATCGGCTTCTACAGACATCCCAGTTCACTGTCAGTACACAGTTCACTAAAACGGGGACCAAAACAAGATCAACAGATTTCCAACAACGATATACCGACGGTTAGGTCGGAATTGAGCGAAAAACTGCCGGACGATCCCTATACACAATTGACGACCGAAATATGCAGCGATACCGACGAGGATMGGGAGGTTCGGCAGTTAAAGTCGGTGCTAATCCACGATTATGTCTCCAAAGAAGTAGAAAAGTCGACAAAAGTTGAGGTAAAGATTTTTTTTAATAGAAAATTAATTTAATTAATTAATTAACAATGTATTGACAAACACTACACTATGATAGCCAAAGACACCACCAAAACCTGAGGTCAAACTCTTGGATTATGTGAAACAAGTGATCAAAAAAAATCTAATGATAACCGACGAGAAGATAATGAAGAATAAGGGAACCGATGCCATCAAATATCTACTATTTCAACGATATCTCATCTATTTTCAGACTCTCATGACTTGTGTTTGTTTGTTAATTATTTTACCGATCAATCTCTACGGTAACGCAGGTATGTTATAATAATACAGTAATTATTATTTAAAGAAAACTTATTAGCTTTTAGTAACCAGTGTTTGAACACTTAAACACATACCAGTGCTAAGTAAGCATAAGTTTATGCGGACAACTATTTCCAATTTGGGTAACGAATCCAATCTGGTTTGGATCCATTCGCTGATGGCTTGTATAATGATAGTGACGGTATGTAATCATCAATTTGGTGGACATTTTTTTTCTTGTTTGTTTGTCAATTGTTATACAAACAAAGTGTAAATATTGATTTTTTTAATGGTTAGGGCTATTATATGACGCACCACTTTCACAATGTTGTCAACACACATACGCGTGACGTCGACCAGAAGACACTGATCATCGAAAATATAACGAAATCGGGAAGAAAGTCATCTCAATTGTTTAACTATTTCAAGAAACGGTTCCCGAAAGTGATGATCAAACGGATAACGTTTGTCTACGATATCCGCAAATTGGATAAATTGGATTACAGACTGTTGACAGCCATCGAAGCTAAACAATATTGTCATCGATATTGGCTGGAGTTTGGCTACCGATGCGAAGTCAGGCCATACTGTTTGGGCAAATTTGGAGGCGTCTGTCTCTGTTGCGGCTGTTGTCCCAAATTGGATGGCACTCTGTATTACGCCGAAGAAAAAGCCGAACTCAAGAATCTGATCAAAAAAGAAGTCAAAAGATTATTTTGGGAACCGGTTGGCCGTGTTTGCCGACGAGTCAATGGCTGCACAGTTAGTATTTTTGTCAATKAACCTGACTTTTGGCACTTTTATTAAGTTTTATATTTGAATTATAGGGTTTACAACGAATTTTACTACCGGTGCTCGTGTTGCACCCGTTTCCTGAAGTCCATTGGCCGGATTTTTGTGAGTAACCAAACTACCGATCCACTCGAGACATACAATTGGGRAGTGAATTATGCACCGAATCCCGAAAATCTTGAATGGTTTGTCTCATCCGTAATAATATCTAATCATATATTTATTCAATAAACCCGTTCTCTATTATCCTTTCAATAATCTATAGGACAGACCTATCACTGGACAAAGGATACAGTTGTCTAATGAGTGTCATATTTCATACGATACTGACGTTAATATTTTTGTTTCTGTCGACGCCGTCCATTGCCGTCAATATATTAATGTCTCCGTTTGGCAGTGAAGACATGCCAGTACTGGTAGGTATTTTCGCCTCTAATTTTTTCATATATTAAACGTCATTTAATTAAGTTGTTTGTATGTGAATTCAGGTCGGTTTAAGACAGTTTGGTCAGCCATACCTGTTGATGGTAATCAGTAATTCAGTAATATTGCGATCAGTTTTCCAGTCTATACGACAACCGTGTCGTGCAATCGGATAATAGCCGTCGTGTTGTTGCCACGGATTGTCTTCATTTGGTTCGAATGACACAAAATATGTTTTTGTCAGCTCTTGGTTTCCAAAGTATTCGTTGTCTTCAAACTTAAATATGATTTTTGTCTACAAATTTTTTACACATATTTGATTTTTTTTGTTATTTATGTTTTTAATAAATATACAAAACTATATTTAAATTTTTATTAATAGTATACAATATTTAATAAATCTATTTTTATGAAATAAAATTTTGATTAAAACATTATGAACACAAAAAAAAAAGGTTTTTCAATGCATTAAAAGTGTAGTAAAATATTGAGAAAAATTATTAATTAAAAATAAATAATTAAAAATAAATAATTAATCGATATCATTGTTGACCACAACTATCACCACAACTATCACCACAACTATCACCACAACTATCAYCACAACTATCACCACAACTATCACCACAACTATCACCACAACTATCACCACAACTATCACCACAACTATTACCACAACTATCACCACAATCTCATCCTTTACTTCACTTCTTGATTTCGCACCCACCATAACAACAGAATATTATTCCCGTTTTTATATGAAAATTTTCCTTCGCCTACTAATTTTTCGTCATCAGATAGTGTTGTTGGATACTGAACTCCAGATGGATAGAGAACTACTTCAAAAATCAAATGACTGTCTAGAAGGTTGGCTCGTCGTTTGACTTCTTTGAGATCATCACTAATACATCCATTATTTTTTACAATCTCTTCTACAATTGTGTATAATGGTGTCCAAAATGTGGCGCAAGCAGTCTCTAAACGGATTTTACGTTGTTCTTTGGTTTCTTTAGAACTCATGACAATCAGTCAGTCAGTCAGTCAGTCAGTCGCGGATCAGCTAAAATACAATACAATTTGTTGTCGAGTCTTAACTGTCTTCTAGTTTTTTTTTCTGTGATTTAATTTCTATTTACTGATAATTTTTGTTTTATTAACTGATTTTTCAACTAATTATTGTTTAACTGATTTTTATTTGAAATTTTAAAAAAATAATTATTAAATCACGTGATTTTTAATTTAGTTTGAATTACTTTATATTAAAAAAAATTATTTAGTTATAAAATATCATTCATTTTAACTGATTAACTAATTTATTATTRTTATTATTAACGCGTGATTAACACATTTTTTTTGATCAACCAATAATTTAAATAATTAAAAATCACTTTACAAACAAAATTAATTATTAAATCACGTGATTTTTAATTTATTATAGTTCATAATAGTTTTAATTACTTTATATTAACAAAACAAAAAAATTATTTAGTAATAAAATATCATTTATTTTTAACTGATTAACTAATTTATTATTATTATTAATGCGTGATTAATACAATTTATAATATCAACCAATAATTTAAATAATTAAAAATCAAATCACTTTACAAACAAAATTAATTACAAAAAACTATAACTAAATTACTATTATTTCTGGAACTAATCGCTTAATCATATAATCGTTTTAAAATTAAATTTAATTAGTGATCAATATATCCGTTGACTGACACCACCGATGACTAATCAAGAGTACAACAAGAGTAGGACAATCTCAACACCAACAACAACAACAAGTGATTTGGTTTTCAACAATCCATACATTTTAGCCAAAATAGCCGCCCGTTTGGACATCAGATCCCTGTCCAATGTCCAGAGTGTTAACCGTCACTTCTATAACGCCTCGAACTATGAAACCGCTAAACGTCGAGACATTGTCCATATCTATCTGTTGGACGACTACAACGCCAGCGCTAAGACAGTTAGTCCAACGCATCGGCTTTTCTACTCATTTCGGGCGTACACTCGTCTGTGGCTAAACACTAAACCCATGGAAGCGATAGTAGTAATCGGTGGCTACAATCGCAGTCCAGACTATCGGACACAAACACAACTCATTGGAAAGTTTGTCGCGATATTTGCCGAAACACGTTACAAAAGTCTGACCAATTGTCACATCAATGGATTCAATGACTTTGATCGGACAGCCTATCCATGTATAATACATATATATCTATATAGATATACAGATAATGTATCAGTTAATGTGGTTTTTTAAATAACTTTTCTCTTTATCTCCATTTCCTTTTACATAATAGGCATGTCTTCATTTTTGTTGCCCGAAATAGACGGCATCGAAATCTTCAGATACCGTGACATCTATTCAGTAATTATAGACGAGTCGGTAAATTGTGTCCTATTGTTTCAGTCGCTAAAACTCATGAGAAGAAGTGGCGTCACATATGGAAAGGCTTTGCGACTGACGTACTCGGCGTTAGAGTCGATGATCGCTAAGTTTAGCGATAACTATGAACCGTTGTGGCCGTCAAAAGTATGCAACAAAACTGTCCCGAAGAAGACGATCTGTGCCATACACTGGTGCTGACTATTAGTGGCGATCGTGTCCGCACCGGTAGCACTGTTATCTCCACAACAACAATCAGTTTCGAGCTATTCTATGCTCAGCTAAAGACAGGCTTCGACTGCGATGACAGCCGCCGGTCAACGACTGCCTGCTTTGTGTTTAGCAACCGACGGGCTTTCGGTGACCAACAGTCGCTGGCCCTGCAATTGTTTTTTGTTTTGTTTTATCACTTAATAATTTGTTAACATTTAAAATATATATATTTTTTTAATTCATATATATATACAAATTGTATATTAAAATGCTTTTAAATTGATATCCTCTGTTTCTAATTACATAATAAATACAAAATAATTAACAATTATTTACAACAACAAAAATAATAATTTTTGATGTGTGATGTCATAACTATTGTACTGTATTTATATTATCATATTTTTTATACATATTATAGTAAATCAAAATAATTTTTTGTTGTTGTTGTTGACTATAAATCTAATTAATAATTTATTATTTTCTAATTGATTTACTATTCACTGTATGAATACAACTCATTGGAAAGTTTGTCCCGATATTTGCCGAAACATTGTCGCATAACATACCTGGACGTCGGCAGTACTGTTCTGACCAGTTCTATACGATACCAAAGTCTAACCAATTGTCACAACAATGGATTCAATGACTTTGATCGGACTTTGATCCATGTATAATACATATAAATATATAGAGAAATTTATCAGTTAATGTGGTTTTTTAAAAATAACTTTTATCTTTATCTCCATTTCCCTTTCATAATAGGCATGTCTTCATTATTGTTGCCCGAAATAGACGGCATCGAAATCTGCAGATACCGTGACATCAATTCAGTAATTATAGACGAATCGGTAAATTGTGTCCTATTGTTTCAGTCGCTAAAACCATTAGAAGAGTGGCGTCACTCATGTCAAGGCTTAGCGAGTGACGTATGACAACAACTTTGCGTTTGTCTCTTCGACAGCAATTAGTTTAATATATATTTATAATAAATATCACTAAACAATGGCTCGCATTTGTCGCCAGTCATCGCCTTTCAGGATGAACAGCGATCTGTCATTAATTGGATCACCGGATGTAAAGTCAAAGTGATCGACAAAACAATGAAAATCTTTAATCAATATATTTTTGATGACATCCGGATCAGACATACAGAGCACTGGTTTGCTGCCAACAAATAGACTGAAATAAAAATCAAAAATAAAAATATCAATATATAAAATATATTTTTTTATAAAATACAATTAAAATATATTCAATAATCACAACAGATCGACGAGTTTGTCTACAAACTCGTGTTTGAATCGCTTGACCGCCGATTGTCTCGTCTCTTGCATCCAATTAAGTCTAATGTTTGGCTGTTCATTGAGTTCATTGATAATAGCCGTACAATGTATTGAAAAAGACATCAGAGGAATGGCTATCAATTTTATGCAAACATATTGATCACCGAAACGACGACTTTTGTATTGATAATGGCATTCAATTCTGTCGTTGTTTATAATAGTATTACTGATTGTTGGCTGACATTCAAAGCCATTTGCTGTCGACTTTATGAGAATTGGTAACTGATTAATAAATAATAAAAAAATGCTAATAATTTTACAGTAATTATTATTAATTAAAACTATCAAAACCATTAGGTGCGACAATAATTTTATTAGTACTCTAGTGTAGTAATCATAGCAATTCATTACAAAATTATTATTATTATTATTATTACTAATATCTCAAGAATAAAAAGCAAATTTAATATATTCATACATTAATATAAAAGCATTTATTTTAATACAATTATAAAATAAATAAAATTCAATTGAAATTAATTCAATAAATAATAATAACTATAAAGTGTTTTTTATACAATTGACAATAAATTTCTTATAATTTAATACTAATAATTAATTTAGTAACTAATTAATCATTGAATTACAATTTAAATTATATAATGAATGATATGTTTGAATATTTGCAATACTAATAGATAAATTAAAAAAATTAATAAACAAAATTATATCAAAAACTAAAATATTTTTTAAAACCATTGAAATAATAACATTTTTATGGCTAATGTTTAACCGACGGTGATTTTGGTTGGCCAACAACAGGGGGTAACTGTTTTTGTTGTCCTCCACTAACAGGTGATTGTTGTTGTTTTTGTGGTACAAAAACAATTGTCTGGCCAGTACTCTTAGGCGACACCGGTAACTGTCCGCCACCACCAGTTGATTGAACTGATAGTTGTTGTGGTGGGGGTAGAAGCTGTTGCGGTTGTTGTTGTTGTAATGGCACTGTCTGTTGAACACCCGGTTGACTGATACCATATATATGAATGGGTTGCGGCTCATTACTAATCCATGAATGTTTGGCCAATTGTTCGATGGTTGGTCGATAGATAGGGTCGGGTGTGAAAATGTCATTAAAAAACAATTTGATATCTTCTGACAGTTCATTCAAATCAAATTTACAAACAAATTTTCGTCTAATCATATGACGCAACGCACTCTTTCTGCTGTTAGGGAACGGATACTCTGATGTTCTCAAACAAAACAATATGACCCCAACTGCCCACACATCAACAGCATACGCGTTATATGCATTTGTTGTTCCGTCCATTAGTTCAGGAGCCATGTATTGATGTGTCCCACATAGAGTAGTCGATTGTTTATTGGCAGTAAAACAGCTTAAGCCAAAATCCGTTATTAGTATATCACGTTTGGCGTCCAATAGGATGTTTGCTAATTTCAGATCTCGATGTGCAATATGTTTAGTTTTCATATAAATTAATGCATTTATGAGTTGAGAAATGAATGTCCGACACCTATTCTCGGGAAAGTGGCCATTGACTTTGAGATAATCGGATAGCGAACCTCCCTCCGCGAGTTGCATTACAATAATCAGAGTAAACATATTTTTATTGTCGATTATGTGAAAGTAGTTAATAAGTTTGACAATGTTTGGGTGATCCAGTGTTGATAATATGGCCAATTCATTCTTGAGTGGCTTTGTTGGTGTCTTTCGTTTCCCATCGGGACCTGACAATCGGCAGATTCTTATACTTTTAATGGCTACTGGTGTTGATAGAGTAAGTGCTTTAAATACAGTACCATAGCTTCCTTCTCCGATTTTTGATAGGTTAGTATAGCCAATAGTTGACAGTACCGACATTACATCTTTGCCATCGTCAGGCACTCTATAGCCTGTGTAATAAAATGGTTATATTAAAAATCAGCTTATATATATATATATACCGGTTCCACTTATGTAACAAATAGGTTACATATATATATATATATATATATACTTTCGGCGTCACCGTTAACGTTGATTGTCTCAACATTCGTGTTGGGTAATTGTGTTAATTGTTTAATATACTGTTTTTGTTTTCTTGTTTTAGTGTTAACTGAAACACTTTGGCGTCGATAACAACAACAAAGACAGTTAGACAGCAGGTATTGACAAAATTTATAACACATTAATTATAAGATTATAAATACACTAATAATTATTTTAGTCTTAGAAATCAATTGAAATTTACACGAAAAATAAATTTACAATCAGTTAATGACATTCAATGAGTACTGCAATTGTTTGAAACATTAATAAAAGACTAACTGTTTATTAAAAATATATAATTTTTAGTTAATTCATTGAACACTTTAAATGTCTAATCATTGATTTATTTATCTAATTTCATGTACGACAACAATATATCATTAATTAATGATTATTTTTCCAAATCACTAATTTTTACTTTATATTATAAATAGTAATATATTTGTTGATTGAATTATTTGTCTATATTACAAAACTAAGATCTTTTTTATTGATTGTTAAACTAATTGTAAAACATAACTGTCCTCAGCTATGAGCAATAGTAGACAAAAAAAATCGTCGAAGTAGTGATTGCTAGAGGATGCCAGTATCGGCTTCTATAGACATCCCAGTTCACTGTCAGTACACAGTTCACTAAAACGGGGACTAAAACAAGATCAACAGATTTCCAACAACGATATACCGACGGTTAGGTCGGAACTGAGCGAAAAACTGCCGGACGATCCCTATACACAATTGACGACCAAAATATGCAGCGATACCGACGAGGATAGGGAGGTTCGGCAGTTAAAGTCTGTGCTATTGACAAACACTACACTATGATAGCCAAAGATACCACCAAAACCTGACGTCAAACTCTTGGATTATGTGAAACAAGTGATCAAAAAAAAATCTAATGATAACCGACGAGAAGATAATGAAGAATAAGGGAACCGATGCCATCAAATATCTACTGTTTCAACGATATCTCATCTATTTTCAAACTCTCATGACTTGTGTTTGTTTGTTAATTATAATTATTTAAAGAAAACATGAGTTTTTAGTAACCAGTGTTTGAACACTTAAACACATCATCGAAAATATAACGAAATCGGAAAGAAAGTCATCGAAATTGTTTAAATATTTCAAGAAACGGTTCCCGAAAGTGATGATCAAACGGATAACGTTTGTCTACGATATCCGCGAATTGGATAAATGGGATTACAGACTATTGACAGCCATCGAAGCTAAACAATATTGTCATTGATATATAAACCGAAAATCTTGAATGGTTTGTCTCATCCGTAATAATATCTAATCATATATTTATTCAATAAACCCGTTCCCTATTATCATTTTCCTCAATCTATAGGACAGACCTATCACTGGACAAAGGATACAGTTGTCTAATGAGTGTCATATTTCATACGATACTGACGTTAATATTTTTGTTTCTGTCGACGCCGTCCATTGCCGTCAATATATTAATGTCTCCGTTTGGCAGTGAAGACATGCCAGTACTGGTAGGTATTTTCGCCTCTAATTTTTTCATATATTAAACGTCATTTAATTAAGTTGTTTGTATGTGAATTCAGGTCGGTTTAAGACAGTTTGGTCAGCCATACCTGTTGATGGCAATGACTAGTATACTGCCGTCACTAATCAGTTTAGTCCAGAATCAGATCTCATATAAGACAAAATCTTCATTATCTCACGCACTTATGTTTAAGTCATATTTTTTTCTCATATTAATGGTACTCATACTTCCGGCGCTCGGTCTTTACACGTAAGTAACTGTTCCACAGTATTACGACTACAATAAACACAATCTCTAATTGATCCGATCATCATATCTTTTACGGTCAACAGTTCCGCCGTACTGTTGGACATGTTATTCAGCGGTGAAAACACTTCGTCCAAACAGCAGATCCAATGGAATTGTATGTTTCCTTCGGGTAACAGTGCCTTCTTCATGAACTATGTCCTATCGTCGGCCTTAGTCAGCAATTCTTTACAAATATTGTTAGTTCCCGAAGCCGCCCAATACGCCCTGTATCTACTGGTGCTGTCGCGCTCAGTGGCCGAGTATGAGAGTGCCCGACTAAAAATACATTTTGATTTTAGTTTTGGCTCACGATATCCTATATTGTTGTTGATCTTTACGGTTGTCACCACTTATTCCATATCCAGTCCGTTGATAGCACCCGTAGGTTTGTATATTATATTGTCTTTTATATCATATACAGTATATAATGATAATATTTCTATATTTATATCGACAATAATTATCAATATCTCCAATAATAACAATTAATAGGTTTGTTTGCTAACCAAACATCTGGTCGATCGTTACAATCTATACTATGTTTACAGTCCGTCGCCCATAACCGACAAAATGCATCGGACGGCCCTATATTTTGTACAAATAGCCTTTTTCTTTATGTCCTTTCAAGTGGTAACAACATTATCGCAATACAATCAGACATTTCTGTGGTTCGGGCCAGCGATACCCGTCGGTATTGTATATATCATACAATTGCCAATAATTGTTTACAAGTTTTTTACACATATTTGATGTTTTTGTAGTTATTTATGTTTTTAATTAGTATATATAACTCTATTTATTAATAGTAATAGTTTATAATAGTATATAATATTTAATAAATCTATTTTTATGAAATAAAATTTTGATTAAAACATTATAAAAGTGAAAAAAGTTTTCAATGCATTAAAAGTTTTGTAAAATATTGAGAAAAATAAATAATTTAAAATAAATAATTTAAAATAAATAATTTAAATATTGTAATATAAAAAAACATTTTTCATTAAAATATTTAATGACAACATCGCCGATGACATCATCACTGGTCAGTCATTATCATTATAGTTGGCCATCACTTCATCGATTGCATCCATGTCTTTAGCCAATTGTTTGTCGTGCAGATGTAGTTCACCGGTAAGATAGAGGACAGCGTTGGGCACAAAGTGTTTGATGAGTACCCGAGAGAGACTCCAGTCGTCTTCAAGAAATTCTTCGACATCAATGTCATCGTTGGGCGATCTCTGAAGCAATTGGTTATCAAATAAGTCAAAAATCGACACTAACTTTATATGACTTTTGTTGCCAACACTTGATGTTTCATTCTTTACGCCCTTGACTTTCATCTGCCGTTCAGTAATATTGCGATCAGTTTTCCAGTCTATACGACAACCGTTTCGTGCAATCGGATAATAGCCGTCGTGTTGTTGCCACGGATTGTCTTCATTTGGTTCGAATGACACAAAATAGGTTTTTGTCAGCTCTTGGTTTCCAAAGTATTCGTTGTCTTCAAACTTAAAGATGATATCAATTTTAAAGAGTTTGTCAACAAAACGGATACTGATATCAGTCAGATGTTGGAGTACGGGTTCGTCTCGCGGTTCTATCCATTGATGGATGTGATCAACAGTTTTCATGGCTTTAATCCAAAAGCCAGGTATGCCTTTCACCGGTGATGTTGTTGTTGTGGCGCTTGTAGTCAGTAGTTGTTGATCTTCAAACATCTTCTTGAGACTGTCGACTGAATTAGTAATAAATTCAGTCGTTTGTTGTCTGTAACTGTTGTGTTAGGATCTGTCTGACCACTAATGATATCATATATTTTTTTGTCGATCTTCTCGTAGGAAGTGCTGTACAGGGATATTGGATGAACTTGTGAACGTATTTGATGTAAGATTTGACTGTCTAAACATGTGTTTAAAATATTTATTTTCATACCAAAACAAACTATAGTGTTATATAATTATTGTGATATTTTTTAATTAAAAGTGCAATTGAAAATGTGGCCAAAGGTCACGCCCGAAGTTCGGGCACAAGTAAAGGCGTTTTTAGACATAAACTGGTCATTTTCGGTGATAATTAAATATTTCGAGTCAAAGGGCATCCCGTTATCTAAGAGTATGATATCTAAGATAAAAAATGCGCCAAAAATAGCGGACAATATCCCATAGAAACCCGACTTGAGAGGCAAAAAGAGTGTCCTCTCAGCTAACCAATTAAGTCGATTGAAGAAAATGGTGGAAAATCCCAATCCAATCACACAGAAAGCGATGGCACAACAACTGAAAACTAATGAATGGGTTGTCAACTACCAGATCCGCAATGTTTTAAAGAAAAAGTTGGCCAAAAAACCAAGAGGACAGGTCCTTAGCGCCGCAACCATTGAAAAGCGGGCAAAGAGATCGTGGCCATTTTATCGCCGTCTAAGAGGCCAGAGATGGACAAAACATATTACATCAGATGAGGCACTGTTCCATTTATCGGAAACAGATGGTAAAACAAAGATACAGTATATCTCCTTTCAACAAACCCGTAAAGACATGGAGGTATACTCGCGAGCAAGTTTCCCGAAAGGTGTTATGGTTTGGCTCGGAATCTCGGCAAATGGCAAAACCGAAGTCCGATTTGCAAACCTGGAGTCAAAATAAACTCCGATTATTATATAAATAAGATATTAAAGCCATTTCTCCGCCGAGATGTCCCGAAATTATACCCGAATGGTGACTATTGCTTCCATCAAGACTCGGCACCCAGTCATGTGTCTAAAAAGACATTAAACTTTCTTCGGGAACAAAATGTACCGTTCATAACACCTGAACAATGGATGCCCTCTAGTCCTGATGCGGCACCAATGGACTATTTCTTCTGGGGTTATCTCAAGAAACGATTGAATAGAAGAAAAATAACCAAAATATCTTCCCTTAAAAAAGCTATTAGAGAAGAGGTCAAGAAAGTGCCGCAAAATATGATCAACAATGCACTGAAGAGTTGGAGCCGCAGATGTCGTCAAATCTACTATAATAAGGGTCTTCATATCGAAAAATATGGTTAATTTTAATTAATAAATTTAATTGTTATTTAACTTTGAATTTGTTCACAAGTTCATCCAATGTCCCTGTAATGAGAAGTTATTGTAAACATCTTTTTAGCCAACCGTCCGTCCAATTGGTATCTTTCGTATTGAAGTTTCTTTAGGGCAACAACTCTGTCATTGATAACCGATAGACAGTCATCCGGTTTGCTGGTCGTCGGCTGATTGTCCGGTGCTTTGCTTTTCATTGTGTTTGTCAATTGACTTTCCCAGTAATAGTAGTAATACTAACAACTAATTGATATAGTTTTTAAGTACACAATTGTTAAAAAAAAATTTTTCTACTGTTTTTGATTTATAGAATTTAATATTGAAATCTATTGGAGATATTTGTTATTATAATATTTCTAAATTAGAAATTCTAATGTTTATAAATAAAAAGTCTTAAATCATTATTTTAATAAAGTTTATTAATTATATATAAAACATTTAAAACTTTTATGTCAAAAAATACACTACTATTGAATATACAAGACTTTTAAGCCCGTAATTACGGTCCGTTTTAATTAAATTAAATGAAAATTTTTATTATAAATATTATATTTTTATTAAATGATAGTATTGAGACAATAGTGACAAATAATTTGAAATATTAGTTTTGAATAGTTATGAAAACTTTGTGAAAGTTTCAGATAATCTTAAACAGCGTCGACGGCGATGCTATTAATTACAATTATCTGGTCAACAATACATTCAAATAAAAAGTGACCAAGGGCAATATTGTAGATAATTTTAAACTGAATAAAATTGTAATTGGTCATTTTTAAATTAATTATATGATTGGCCAGATAATTGCAGTTGACTATGATTTATAAATTTTTTAAAAAGTCGAATATAAATAATCTGGCCAATCATACAATTAATTTAAAAATGACCAATTACAATTTTATTCAGTTTAAAATTATCTACAACATTGTCCTTATGCACTTTTTAATTGAATGTATTGTTGACCATATAATTGTAATTAATAGCATCTCCACCGCCAATATTTAAGACTCTGTGAAAGTGTTGCCTACTGTATGTCTCACATATGATATCAATATAAGCGCATATGAAAATTAATAAAAAGCTTATAGAAATCCCCGTAAATTTTAGCACATTTTTAAACGCATATGAAAATTAATAAAAAGCTTATAGTAATCCCCGAAAATTTTAGCACATTTTTAAACGCATATGAAAATTAATAAAAAGTTTATACCCCGTAAATTTTAATACATTTTTAAACGCATATGAAAATTAATAAAAAGATTATAGTAATTCCCGTAAATTTTAATACATTTTTAAACGCATATGAAAATTAATATAAAGATTATAGTAATCCCCGTAAATTTTAATACATTTTTAAACGCATTTGAAACTTAATATAAAGATTATAGTAATCCCCGTTATTTTAATACATTTTTAAACGCATATGAAAATTAATAAAAAGTTTATAGTAATCCCCGTAAATTTTAGCACATTTTTAAACGCATATGAAAATTAATAAAAAGATTATAGTAATCACCGTAAATTTTAATACATTTTTAAACGCAAATGAWAATTAATAAAAAGCTTATAGTAATCCCCGTAAATTTTAATACATTTTTAAAMGCATATGAAAGCTATTAAAAAGTTTATAGTAATCCCCGTAAATTTTAGCACATTTTTAAACGCATATGAAAATTWATAAAAAGTTTATAGTAATCCCCGTAAATTTTAGCACATTTTTAAACGCATATGAAAATTAATAAAAAGTTTATAGTAATCCCCGTAAATTTTAATACATTTTTAAACGCATATGAAAATTAATATAAAGATTATAGTAATCCCCGTAAATTTTAATACATTTTTAAACGCATATGAAAACTATTAAAAAGTTTATAGTAATCCCCGTAAATTTTTTCACATTTTTAAACGCATATGAAAATTAATATAAAGATTATAGTAATCCCCGTAAATTTTAATACATTTTTAAACACATATGAAAGCTATTAAAAAGTTTATAGTAATCCCCGTAAATTTTAATACATTTTTATAYGCATATAAAAGCTATTAAAAAGTTGATAGTAATCCCCGTAAATTTTAGCACATTTTTAAACGCATATGAAAATTAATAAAAAGTGTATAGTAATCCCCGTAAATTTTTGCACATTTTTAAACGCATATGAAAATTAATAAAAAAAAGTAAATTTTAGCACATTTTTAAACGCATAAGAAAGCTATTAAAAAGTTTATAGTAATCCCCGTAAATTTTAGCACATTTTTAAACGCATAAAAAGAATCCCCGCTATTAAAAAGTTTATAGTAATCCCCGTAAATTTTACATTTTTGCACATTTTTAAACGAATATGAAAATWAATAAAAAGTTTATAGTAATCCCCGTAAATTTTAATACATTTTTAAACGCATATGAAAGMTATTAAAAAGTTTATAGTAATCCCCGTAAATTTTAATACATTTTTAAACGCATATGAAGCTATTAAAAAGTAAATTTTAATACATTTTTAAACGCATTAATAGTAATCCCCGTAAATTTTAGCACATTTTTAAACGCATATGCAAATTAATAAAAAGTTTATAGTAATCCCCGTAAATTTTTGCACATTTTTAAACGCATATGAAAATTAATATAAAGTTTATAGTAATACATGTAAATTTTAAGACATTTTTAAACGCATATGAAAATTAATATAAAGATTATAGTAATCCCCGTAAATTTTAATACATTTTTAAACGCATATGAAAATTAATAAAAAGWTTATAGTAATCCCCGTAAATTTTAATACATTTTTAAACGCATATGAAAATTAATATAAAGATTATAGTAATCCCCGTAAATTTTAATACATTTTTAAACGCATATGAAAACTATTAAAAAGTTTATAGTAATCCCCGTAAATTTTTTCACATTTTTAAACGCATATGAAAATTAATATAAAGATTATAGTAATCCCCGTACATTTTTAAACGCATATGAAAATTAATTTTAAATTTTAAGCACAATGAAAATTAATAAAAAGATTATAGTAATCCCCGTACATTTTTAAACGCAATTTTAATACATTTTTAAACGCATATGAAAATTAAAAAGATTATAGTAATTCCCGTAAATTTTAATACATTTTTAAACGCATATGAAAATTAATATAAAGATTATAGTAATCCCCGTAAATTTTAGCACATTTTTAAACGCATATGAAAATTAATAAAAAGATTATAGTAATCMCCGTAAATTTTATAGTAGCACATTTTTAAACGCATATGAAAATTAATAAAAAGTTTATAGTAATCCCCGTAAATTTTAATACATTTTTAAACGCATATGAAAATTAATTTTTATAATCCCCGTAAATTTTAAGCACATTTTTAAACGCATATGAAAATTAATAAAAAGTTTATAGTAATCCATAAATTTTAGCACATTTTTAAACGCATATGAAAATTAATAAAAAGTTTATAGTAATCCCCGTAAATTTTAATACATTTTTAAACGCATATGAAAATTAATAAAAAGTTTATAGTAATACATTTTTAAACGCATATGAAAATTAATAAAAAGATTATAGTAATCCCCGTAAATTTTAATACATTTTTAAACGCATATGAAAATTAATAAAAAGATTATAGTAATCCCCGTAAATTTTAATACATTTTTAAACGCATATGAAAATTATAAAATTATAGTAAGTAAATTTTAATACATTATGAAATAGTAATCCCCGTAAATTTTAAGACATTTTTA